AAACAATGAGTAGATAACCAAAGATAAAGACTGAGGTTTCCAGTATGTGTAGAAGAAAACACATAAAGAGAAGAGGATGAGAAGGTTCGGAGGCTGAAATAATGACTCCATTTGGGGAGCACTGGGTTGGAAAATGTGTTTAGCCCAATGATGTTTAGTCAAGAAATGGAAACTTGGGAGAAAGAAATTAGGACTAAACATAAGGATTTGAGCTCCCAGTACATAGGAGGCTGAGTCCAGAGGATGTCAAGTTCAAGGCCAGCCTGGGCTTATATAGCAAGACCCTGTCTCAAAAAACAAAGGTGGATTGGGAGTTACTTGTCCAGAGTTGATTGAGAAATTCTTGCACTAATGCAAACACCAAAGGAGAGAAGAGGAAGAAGGCAACAAATAAGACCTCCAAGTAATGTGGAATAAGATGGAGAAAAGATGCATGATAAGGTTGACTAATTTTTTTTTGGGGGGGGGGAATGGGGTTTGAACTCAGGGCTTCACACTTAGCAAAGCAGGCCCTCTACGTTTGAGCCACACCTCTCCAGCTCATTTTTCTCTAGTTGTTTTTGGAGATGGGGTCTTGAGAATTATTTACCCAGGCTGGCCTAAAACCTCTATCCTCCCCATCTCAGCCTCCCAAATTGCTCATTTCACGCATGACCCACAAGCACCTGCTTAACTAGTTTTTTTACAGTAATTTTGAAGTAATGAATCATGTAAACATGGCTCATAAAGTAGTTGTGAAGGAGTTGGAGAAATGCTTGTGCCATGACAACATCCCCGAAACAATTGTAGGTTAAGCCTAAGTCCTTTACTTTGTTTTCTGGGTTTTTTTTTTGGCGGCACAAGGGTTTGAACTCAGGGCCTCATGCTTGCTAAGCAGGCACTCTAACCACTTGAGCCACTCTGCCAGCCCAAGCCTAAATCCTTTCAATATGTGCTTTATAGGATAAACTGCAAGCCTCTTAAAATCTGGAACAAGTCATTAACTTGAAAAGGGATAATATTAAGCTCTTGCATATTAGATTCTCCCAATATTAGCTTTTTTCAAAAGTATAATTGTTACATACAGCAATGAGGCTAGGCGCAGTGACTCATGCCTGCAATCCCAGCTATTTGGGAGGCAGAGATAGGAGGATGGCAGTTCAAAGTCAGCCTGGGCAAAACGTGAGACCCTATCTCAAAGAACAAACCAGGAATGGTAGTACCCACTTGTAATCCTAGCTATGTGGCGGTGGATGTAGAATTGAGGTTCAAGGCCAGCTCCAGACAAAAGCTTGTGACCCTATCTGAAAAACAACTAAAAAAGGCCTGAGGTTGTGGTTCAAGCCCTTACCTAGCAAGCATTAGGCCCTGAGTTCAAACCCCAGTACTGCCAGTAAATCTGACCTTGCTTGGTGTCTCACACCTGTAATTTCAGCTACTCTGGAGATAGAGATCAAGAGGATTTGGCTCAAGGCCAGCCTGAGCGAATAGTGAAGTCTCATCTTAATAAGCTGAGTGTAGTGATAAACTACAGCTATGTGAGAGGCATAAATAAGAAGATCAAGGTCCAGGCTGGCCTTGACATAAACATGAGACCTTATTCCAAAAATAAAATGAGCTGAGGGCATGGCTCTAGTAGTAGAGCACTTGCCCAACACAAGACCCCAAGTTCTAACCCCCAGGTACCATGTACACACAAAAAAAACTGTTCAATGGTTTTTACTGATGTCTTAAAAACTTCAGGAGGCAGAATAGGCACGGCTCAAGTGGTAAAACAAGCATGAAGCTCTGAGGTCAGTCCCCAGTACTATGCAAAAACTAGATCAGGGATTGTGTCAGGTATTAAGCCCTTCTTAGTTTCAATGGTGGGAATATGGTGGCACATGCCTGTATTCCCAGCATTCGGGAAGCTGAGGCAGGAAGATCACTATGCTAAAAGCCAGCCTGGGCTACACAGCAAGTTCCAGGTATTAGAAATAAGACTCAGGAGTCCGTCAGCAAGGCAAAAAGTTTTACTTCTGCAGAAGGGTGTGCCACTGACATAGGTCTGATAAGCAAGCACACCTAGTGGGAAGTCTGCTCACCTTTTTATCCCTGACACACACTGCCCCCTTCTATTGGTAGGAGTCGGGGTTCACAATCTTTCCCCATAGATGAGATAAAGGGCAAGATTAACATAAGCGTAACAGGCCAGATTCTAGAACAAGAACCAAAACAGTGAGTAGAATGATGTGTGTTGGGGGCAGATCATGCAGTAGAAAATAAAAGGATAAATATAAATGGTGCATGTGTTGGGGTGGAAGGGGAAGAGTGAAGTGATTAGGAAATTAAGGTAAGCCCAGAGGGATGTTAAAAATTTGTAGGGTTTTTTTTTTGGGGGGGGAAGGGGGGGAACTGGGGTTTGAACTCAGGGCTTCACACTTGCTATGCAGGCGTTCTATTGCTTGAGCCACACTTCCAGCCCTGTAGAGTTTTCTTGTTTTGAGGGAGTATCTCGCTATGTAGCCCAGGTTGGCCTCCAACTCATAATTTTCCTGCCTCAGCCTACTGAGCACTGGGATTATAGGTGTGCCACCATGATCAGCTAGAATTTTGAAATTACCAATTTACACGAACATTGGAAAACCTGGCCTCTCACTCCAAAAGTTACAAGGGAAGCATATGACAATGAAAGGGATAATCTTCAAGTACCAAACCACCTTTGCCAGATTCCCTTCTCTATCTGAGCCTCCATTTTGTAAACCATGGAGCCTTCTTCCTTTCACAGTGTGGTTATTGGTTGCCCTCTACTGGTCATTTCTGCTCTTGGCTGTCCAGATACTTAAATCTGAAAATATGTTAAAAAATGGGATTTGACAGGAAGCAGAATATTGAGCCTATTAGATCCTGTTAATTGTTTCAGTACATGTTTGATCACATCTATATAAGACCTTATAGAGGTGATGCAAGAAAAATATCTACAGTCCTCTTAACTCAAGAAGGGAATGGCAGAGTAGCCCAAGTGGCAGAGTGCCTGCTTAGCAAGTTCAACCCCCAGTTTCACCTACAAAAACAAAAACAAAAAAACTTATGGTCCAGTCTGAGGAATTAAATCATGTACACGTAACCAGTGTAAGAAACTTTTTACATAAAACTTACAAAAAAATCTTGAGTGGCTGATCTGTGTTAAGAGTTTATATTCTACAGAAGAAATACTTTCCATAAGGTTAGGAAGGAAGACATGGTGGACAACAGGTGGTCAGAGAAGACTTTCCAGGAGAACCAACATTTCTTTTTTGTTTTTGTGGGATTGAACCCAGAGCCTTGTAAGAAGTAACATTTAGGGGGACATTGAGGAGATGAGGATGAGAAAGATTGTTTCAGACAAAGAACAGCATGAACAAGGCCAAATAACTGTTCTAGAAAATGAGAATACCAGTGGATGGAATACAGTAATGGAGTGGTGAGATTCTGGGAAGCACAGAGAGCAGTGGCACGAAGGCGGAAAATTCTAAGGTACAAATGTATAGAAAGCTCTATGAATTACCCGTGAGCCCTGGTCTTAGGGATCCTTCTTGGAGAAGATGCTGCTATGCAAGAAATGAAATACAAAAAGAAATCCACAACAAATAACCTTGGTCAACAACAAGGTGATGTTGAGTAAGAAGGGTTAGAAATTAAGAAGAGATGAACTCCATAGCTTGGTTAATAACAAAAAAATTTAAACCGTACCTGTATCTAATGAACACGTGGTGACTCCAGCTAGATTCTGCAGTATTTAAGTTGGTGGTACTTAAGGTACACTTCAATAAAGTCCAACTGACAGAATCCCCTGCTTTCCGGGTCTTCAGTGTCCTCAAACTTACCAGGAGTGGCTTCTGGTCATGAAATTCAGAGGTGGCCTCTTTGCCTACAAAATCCAAGTTATGACTATTATTGCACAAAGCACAATTGCAAGCAAAACTTAAATCTTCACCGAAATCCTCTGTTATTCCATCAAGAAGGAAACGTATGCCAAAACTCTGCCTTAAGTTGCAGAATTCTGATAGCGCTTCGTATCCTACCAGCCAATGCGGCGCTCCGCAATAAGACTTCCCGCGATTACCTTCATCCCTCCCCAACGCAGGAGTCCGACCTTTCAGCTTCCTCTCCTACCCGAAAGACACGTGCAAGGGCTGAGGTTCCCTTCAAGGGTGGGGAAGAGAGAGGGAAAAAAAAAGTAACCGTCACGAACAGGATTCGAACCTGTGCGGGGAAACCCCATTGGATTTCGAGTCCAACGCCTTAACCACTCGGCCACCGTGACTCCCAAAACCGCGCTTCGCCGCGCGCTTACAGAAAGGGTCCGCATTGCGACCGGGGAAGGCGCGTGACGACAGGAAGAGACCCGGCCCAGACACGCATACCTAGGGACCCCCTCACTCCTTACCTCGCCACCACGCCACCCAAGGGAAAGAGTCGGGAGCACAGGCTGACCCGGGGAGGGCCTCCTGCCCACCGGGTCGGGATCTCGGCAGCGCAAATTTAGGCGGCGATGGCGATGCCTGCGGGTCAAACAAGTGAAGCAAGAGACTGGGCCCCCAGAGTGGCGGCTAATTGTGGGGTGCCGGGTGGGACACGGCGTGGCGGGTAAGGGACACTCGGGAGGTTCAAAGAGAAGCGCTTGAGAATGGATGATTAAAGGAAGTAACTTCTTGGGGGGGCGAGGAGTTTGGAAGTCTTCGCGATTAGGACTCCTAGGCGGGATTACGAACGTGCAGGGTTATGGGCTGGGACTCTTCTGGAGACCGGCGTCCTGAGCCCAGGGATAGGACAGAGGGCTATCCCATCCCTGGCTGAGAGGCAAAAGACGGGGAAGGGCTTCGCGGCCGGCACAGAGTGTTCTGAGGAGAATGGCGTCTCCTCCAGTAAGCAGCCGCCTCCGCCGAGGCCGCTGCCGCCGGGGAGGCCGCCGGGGTCCGTCCGTGCCGGGTACTCGGCCGCTGCCGCGCTAGGCCTGCCGGCAGGGGGCGCTGTGCGGGCCGGGGCCGGCCTAGGCGGCGGGAGGCGGCGGCCGCGGCAGCGGGAGGCGGCGGGAGGAGGGCGGAGGAGGAGGCGGAGGAGGCGGGAGCTGAGCTGAGCGGGGCGGGCGGGCGGCGGCGGGGCCCGAGCCCGAGAAGATGGCGGTGCGGAAGAAGGACGGCGGCCCCAACGTGAAGTACTACGAGGCCGCGGACACTGTGACCCAGTTCGACAACGTGCGGCTCTGGCTAGGCAAGAACTACAAGAAGGTACGCGGCAGGGCCGCGCGGGGGCCGGGGGCGGGACAAAGGGACCGCGGCCTGCGGCTCCCCGGGGTCCTGCCCACCCTACGGCCGTCGGGCCCCTCCCCGCAGCCTCCCGGGCAGCCCCCAGCGCGTCCTCGGGCGCGCCCGCGCCCCTCCCCCAGCCCCCACCCCGCCCCCACGGCTGTGCGCGGTGCCCCTGTTTTTCTCCACCGCCGGGTGCCAGCTGCCCACCCTCGCTTAAGCCATCGTCCTCCCTGCTTTTCCGGGAGAGATGGCAGGCCAGGGGTGGACAGGGTGCCAACAGGCACCCTCCCCTCCCCCCAGGGTGTCTGGCATGGCACCCGTCAGGGTTCCCCACGGAGCCAGGTACCAGCCGGTCTGAGGCCTCCCTGGTGCTTTGTGTATATTCAGAGACTGATGATGAAAGCAGGAGGGTAAACAGTCACGGACCAGACCACTGAGTGCTCATCAATCTGAAGAGGGTCTCCACCCTGGGATTACCTGTCTTCTCTGCTCATCCCCCACCCTCTTATCTAAAGGGCAACAAAACCTCTCTGGGGGACTGGGTATGGGAGTCCCCGTGCAGCGGTCCCCTCTCAAACCGTTCCTCAGCTGCACAATGAAGTCACTCTACAATCCAGCCTTTGCATTGCCTTGGGTTTGGAGTCCAGAGCCTAGACAGGTTTTATGTATCTACCCCTCACCCCTACCCCATAACTGGAAATAATAAGGGAGTGAACAAAAGGGTTCAAGAAGCCTCACCTGCCTTTCCTACCAAACCTTTTCCTGATGTCTTCTTTGTCTCTAGGCCTGTTGTTTTTGTTTGTTTGTTTTTGTTTTTTGGATATGGCCTGCTTTTCTCTTTTCTCACTACCCCCACCCTTAAGGTTCTGTTTCCTAGCTTCCTGTCACTTCCCCAGTTCTTGCTCAGTTTTGCATGTTAGAAGTGTGATGGGTGGTTTGGAGAACTCCACACTAATCCTGGTTATGAACCTGGCCCTGTAATTACTCGGGTCTCTCTGAGTGTCAGAATCCTGACAAACAGCTACTGGGTCTCTGACTTATTTGTACCCCAGCATGAGTCTCTGTTTCCCAGGTTTCTACCTTTGACCTTTTGAAGGGAGATCAGTCTAGGGGCTTAAGTCTGTGGCCCTGGGGGGATTGACAGTCTGTGACCTGCTTCAGCTTTCATGCTTTTTAACTCTTTGTCATTTACCTTTCCTTTCACAGATCTCTTTACACCTCCCACTGATAGGTTCTGGCTTTTCTCTGTGATTAGGGTAGAGGAAATAAGGGTCAAAAGGTAAAGAGAAAGTTAGCTTCCTGGCTGTTTTAAATTAGAAAAGAAGGCTAGTATGCTAGGTAGCATAACATAGAAATGTTTAAGGAGACCCAGGGTTGCTTGTCTTAGATGAAGTTTTCTTAGGATAGATGTCCTCTTGCAATTCCTCATCAGGCTGGGTAGTAGATGGTCCTTCCCAGCTAGGAGGGCTTACAGAGGCATTTATGCTCAGTTCTAGCAGAAGCAAAATGCACAAGCTCAGGGCTGGAGTGGCTTAAGTGGTAGAGCAAGTGTGAAGACCTGAGTTCAGACTCCATTGATGCCCCCCCCCACCAAAAAAAAATACATGAGCTCAGTTTCTCAGTCTGCTTGCCTTATCTCACCTCTTTTGTTCCTTTCTTGTTAGACTCCACTATACTGGAAATCATGGCCTTCCACAAAGTTACCTCCAAGATATACACTGCTGTCGCACTTAGAGCCTGGAAGGGGTATTGCTTCCCTGGCCTGAACTTATAAACCTTCAGAATTTTACAGCCCTGGCTGCAGTTAGCTGGAGATCAGGTACCAAGATAAAAGAGTCCTGCAACTCCAATTTCAGGGTTTTGCTGAGGAACAGTAGAAAGCTTCTCTTACTGCCAGTGCCCAATGTTGGCAACCCAGTGGCTGCAGAATTCAGCTTTCTGGTTAGGGATTTCCAGGACCTCCCTTTTACCATTTTCTTTAGAGAAACTAGACATATGGAGGAGAAAGGCACTATTTTCTCTGCCCCAGGTGGTTCCAAAGCCCCTGGGAAATAAGTGTGAGAGATGATAGGAAATTTATCTGGGGTCTGTTCTTTCCTCTCCCTCTTTCTCCACAGTATATACAAGCTGAACCACCTACCAACAAGTCCCTGTCTAGCCTGGTTGTACAGTTGCTACAATTTCAGGAAGAAGTTTTTGGCAAACATGTAAGCAATGCACCACTCACTAAGCTGCCGGTGAGTACAGCCAACTGGAAAGAGAGTTACATTTTTAAAAATGTTTGTACATTTCTCTAATCCCTGTATTTAGAAAGTTGAGGCAGGAAGAGCACAAGTTCAAGGCCATCATGGGCTACATAGTAAGTTCAAGGCTAGCCTGAACTACATAATGAGACTATGTGTCCAAAAAAAAAAAAAAAAAGCTAGAGAAGTAAGTCAGGTGGTAGAGCTCCTGCCTAGCAAGTGTGAGGCCCTGCTGTTTAATCTCCAGTACTGCCCTTCCCTGTCCCCACAATTTTAAATTTCATACTATTTGAGATTTTGGTTATTTTCTACTGTGACTATACTAGCCAGGGTGTTACCAGGTTGGCTGAATTGCAAATTTGCCATTCCCTTTGTGCAACAAGTTATCTTAAGAGAGTCAGGCCTGGGTGCCAGTGGCTCATGCATGTAATCCTAGCCTACTCAGGAGGATCAAGGTTCTAAGCCAGCCCTGTCAAATAGTTCCAGAAACTTTATCTTGAAAATACCCATCTCAAAAAAAGGCTGGCGGAATGGCTCAAGGTGAAGGCCCTGAATTCAAGACTCAGTACCACAAAAAAAAAAAGTGTCAGAGCTTGGTCCTGCAGCTCTCATGGTATGGTTAAAAGGATATGAGATTTGAGGCTGAGTGTGAAGATACACACCTATAATCCTAGCTACTTTTGAGGCTGAGGCAGGAGGCCAGCCTGGGCAATTCAGCAAGATCCTGTTTCAAAATAAAATTTTAAAAAAGTGGGGAGGGATGGTGTACTTTTGTTAGGGTGCTTGTCTAGTATGCAGGAGGGCCTGGGTTTGATCCCCAGTACCACAGAAATAAAGCCGGGGTGGGGTGGGTAATGAAATTTTGATTTTGGCAAGTTTCAATTTTGGCTCTGCCTTGATGGCTCTGTGATCTTGGGCAATGGGTATGAGTCTTGGTTCCTTCATCTCTAGAAGAGATTAATAGACCTACTTTATCCTACTTTATAGGATTTTTGCAGTTATATATGAGGTAACCCAGTTCAGTGCTTGGCACAAAGTGATGCTTTATGAACATTGGTGTCTTCTTCCAGGCCACATAATACATGGCACAAGGGTTAAAAATTTCCAACTTTAAGGCTGGGAATGTAGCTCAGTGATTAGAGCGCTTGCCTAGCATACTCAAGGCCCTGGTTCCATCCTCAGCACTGCAAAAAAAAAAAAAAAAAAAAGATCTTTCAACTTTGAGAGGGAGCTCACTTCAGCATGGGATTTTGTGAAAGGATTTTTAAGTGACAAGAGAATTTACAATGTAACTCTCACATACTTCTTCCCTGTCTCCATTTTGTAGATCAAATGTTTCCTAGATTTCAAAGCAGGAGGCTCCCTGTGCCACATTCTTGCAGCTGCCTATAAATTCAAGAGTGACCAGGGATGGTGAGATGTCTTCTCTCTATGCTTCTTACATTTAGTTTAGAGAGAATTTCCTATTATTATTCCCTGAGATCTTTCTGGCATGGGAGAATATATGTAGAAATTCTGTGTGTTTCTTACTTTGCTGTATTAGAAAAATAGCTGAGAATCAAAGACAAAATAGTCTCCAAGAGTGAGTTATGTATGTGTGTGTATCAGTGTGAGTGTTATAGAGGAAGAGGGATTCTTAGGTTGGCATCTCAACCTTTTCTTTGTCATTTTGGACTAAGCACAGACTGATTCATGCAGTTGAGATCAGGAACACCAGATCCTAGGTGATTTTGGCAAAAGCTGTAAGCAAGATTATCTCCTAATTTTCCATGTTAAGAAATCACAGCCAGGTGCAGTGGTACATGCCTGTAATCCTAGTACTCCAGAACCTGAGGTAGGAATATCAAGAGTTCAAAGCCATCTGGGGATACATAATGAGATCCTGTCTCAAGACTGTCACCCAGCCCCCCCAGTACCATCATTTCACTCACTAGATTATTGTCTGTTCACAAGGCGGCGTTATGATTTCCAGAATCCATCACGCATGGACCGCAATGTGGAAATGTTCATGACCATTGAGAAGTCTTTGGTACAGGTAATACTCAGACTTCTCTCCTAGCCATCTCCCTTCCCTCAGTGAGAATCTAAAACACTACTTCCGCATAACCTCATCATCTATTTCTCCCACAGAATAATTGTCTGTCTCGACCTAACATTTTTCTGTGCCCAGAAATTGAGCCTAAACTGCTAGGGAAATTAAAGGACATTATCAAGAGACACCAGGTGAGTGGGTGGGTTAGCAGAGGTTTTCAAAACTCCATGACTTTTTCTGATATTTTCTATACCAATCAGTCCTGGAAGTACCATATTTCTGCTGCACAGGTGGCTCTTTCTGTTTGCCAAAAACTAGAGCTAAAGCCTCGAACCTTTCTCATCCTGTCTGTTTCTCCCATTTCCCAGTCTTAACAGGTTTGGATTAGTGTTCCTAGAGGCTCCATTGGCCCAAAAAGGGAAAAACCATCCATTTCCAATGAGCTAGAGATGTCTTATTTCAGATATACCAAGTATTTTCTCTTTGGAACTTTATAATAATAAATAGATGTCATTGATGGGAACATACATTTGACTTTAAATTTCCCACATGTAGATTATCTGTCCAGAGGATTGTCTGTAGAAATGTTTAATTCTTTGAGTTTTCTTCATTATTAGAACAATCTCAGCTGTTTCTCTCAGCCACTCAGCTGGTGTGTGCTTAGAGAATGCAAATTAACTTTAATACCACTCTAAGCAGAACGTAGGAAGGCAGATCTGTTGTTATATTTTATTTTGGTTTATTTACAACTAAGAGCAATTCAAAGGGGACTATATTTACCTGATTCTCCTGTGCTATCCAGGGAACAGTCACGGAGGATAAGAACAATGCCTCCCATGTTGTGTATCCTGTCCCAGGAAACCTAGAAGAAGGTGAGACCTGGGTTTTCCTGGCCACTGCAGTGAGTGCTTTGGACTAGGAAGCAGAGGACTACCTGGATCACTGCGGCACCTGGGCTCCTTTCTCCTTTCAACTCTGAATCCTCCTCCCATCTTAGGTTCCTATTACCTACCAAGTCCCTTGCTGCAACAGGAGAGTGCTTAATTAGGGGTTTTGTTCAGTTTTTTTGTGTGTGTGTTCCCCTTTAGCTTATCTCTCTTCCTTCTTTGTCTCTATCCCCAGAGGAATGGGTACGACCAGTCATGAAGAGAGATAAGCAGGTTCTTCTGCACTGGGGCTACTATCCTGACAGGTGAGGATGGGTTCCTGGAGCAGGTTTAAGTATTAAAAACCAGACCCAGAAGCCCTAGACCACTTAGTAGATCAAGAAGGTACTCTTTCCAGGTTACTTTTAGATCATTTAATTTGTTTTGGTCCCACCTATTATGTGAATCCTCTGTCTTGGGAGAGGTTTAGACTTACTAGAGAAGGCTGGGGCTAAAGAACTGGGGCTTTATGTGTGAAATGGCAATCTCAGTGTGTGTGAGTTTTACTCTTTTGGGTGCTAGAATTAAAACCAGGGCCTTACGCATGCTAAACATAGACTCTACCACTGAGCTACACCCTCACTCCCTGGTGTGTGTGTGCATGTATGCCAGGTCCAGTGGGTCATGTCTATAATCCCAGCTACTTGGAAGATGGAGATCAGGACAATTGCTGTTTGGGACCAGGTCGGGAAAAAGTTAGGGAGACCCCATCTCTAATAAGCTGGGCATGATGGTGTATGTCTGTCTTCCCACCTATTTGGAAAGCATAAATAAGAGGATTGAGATCCAGGCTGGCATGGGAAAAAACACAAGACCTAATTTGAAAAGTAATGAAAGCAAAAAATGGCTGAGGACATGGCTCAAGTGGTAGATAGCCTGCCTAACAAGTTCATGGCTCTGAGTTCAAACTCCAGTACCACTGGGCACTGGTGGCTCACACCTGTAATCCTAGCTACTCAGGAGGCAGAGATCAGGAGAATTGTGGTTCAAAGCCAGCCTGGTGAAGTAGTTCTTTAGACCCTATCTTAAAAATACCTAACACACAAAAAAAAAGGGCTGGTAGAATGACTCAAGTGGTAGAGCACCTGCCTAGCAAGCATGAGGCCTTGAGTTCAAATCCCAGTACTGCCAAAAAGAAGAAGAAAAAAGAATAGTTATCCCTATCTGAAAAATAACTAAAGCAAAAAAAAAAAATTTGAGCTGTGGGGGATGGGGTGAGTAGGTATGTTAGAGTGATTCTTTACGTTCTCTATTTTTTATATTTTACTTATTTATTTCAGGGGTAGGGTTGAGACAGAGTCTTGCTATGTATTCTAGGCTGATCTTGAGCTTGCAATCCTCTTGCCTTAGCCTCTTGAGTGCTGAGTTTACAGCTATGCACTACCATACCTGGCTTAAGTTTGTTTGTTTATTTTTTCCATGGTGGTGTTTGAACTCAAGGCCTTGGACTTGCTACACAAGCACTCTACCTCTTATTTGTAATTGACACACTGTAATTGTACATATTCATGGGATACAGTGTGATATTTTGACATGTGTATTCAGTGTGCACAGATGAAATGAGGCTCATTAGATAACCATTACCTGAAACATTTACCATTTCTTTCTATTGGGATTATTCTTTATTTTTTTCTCCTTTTTTTTTTTTTTTGAGACAGGGTCTCATTATGTAGCCCCAGCTGCTGGCCTTGAACTCTCAATCCTCCTGCTTCAACCTTGCAAATACTGGGATTACTGGTATGCGCCACCACACTTGGGAAGATTCCTTTTTTTTTAATAGTGCTGAGGATCAAATGCAGGGCTTCACATATACTGGCAAGCACTCTACCATTGAGCCATATCACCATTCCTGTTCTCTTTTCTTTTTTAAAAAGGTTTTATAATATGCTTTTAGTATTTTATAATGAAAATAGTTCCAATATTAATTGGAAAATAATTATACCAAAAAATAACCCAATACTTTTTATAAATGAAAAAGGTAGACCTAGGGATGTAACTCAGTATTTGAGTGCTTGCCCAGCATGCACAAGGCCCTGGGTTCCATCCCTAGCACTGAAAAAAGAAAAGGAAAAAAGTGAAAGATCACCTGCACTTTACATTTCTACAATTCCATCTCATTGATTCTAATTCATGCTCAATTTCTCCTGGCAGTTATGACACATGGATCCCTGCAAGTGAAATTGAAGCATCTGTGGAAGATGCTCCAACTCCTGAGAAACCTAGGAAGGTAAGCTTTTCTTGCTTCCCCCAACCCCCCCATTCCTCTCCCCTAGGAAGGATGACAGGGCCAGACTACTCTGAAGGTGAAGCAGGGACTTTGTGCTTGAGATTTTTCCGTTAAGGATTCCTAGATTGAGCCATGGCTTCTAGCATCTCTCCAGCATGGTCTGAATTTGTACTTTAGGTTCATGCAAAGTGGATCTTGGACACAGACACCTTCAATGAATGGATGAATGAGGAAGACTATGAAGTAAATGATGACAAAAATCCTGTCTCCCGCCGAAAAAAGATTTCAGCTAAGACATTGACAGATGAGGTGAAAATCCTGTTCTTTCTTCCTAGAGCCCTTAGCATAAGTCTCAGAACAAGTCTTCACTGGGAGTATAGGCTGACATTTGTCACAATTCTGTATCTTGCAGGTAAATAGCCCGGATTCAGATCGACGAGACAAGAAGGGGGGGAACTATAAAAAGAGGAAGCGCTCCCCCTCTCCTTCACCAACCCCAGAAGCTAAGAAGAAAAATGCTAAGAAAGGGTATGCCAATGCTTGTCCTACCCCACATTCATCATTCTCTCCACATTATGGCAAAAGAAAGAAGGAGCTAGGCGCCAATGGCTCACACCTGTAATCCTAGCTACTCAGGAAGCAGAGATCAGGAGGATCAAGGTTCAAAGCCAGCCTGGGCAAATAGTTTGTGAGACTCAATCTCGAAAATACCCATCCCAAAAAAGGGCTAGTGGAATGGCTCAAGTGTAGGCCCTGAGTTCAAACTCCAGTACTGCCAAAAAAAAGAAAAGAAAGAAAGAGGGATAAGCCATATGCTGGTCGCTTGCACCTGTAATTCTAGCTACTCTGGAGGCAAAGATCAGGAGGATTGAGGTTTGAAGTCAGCCAGGGCAAATAGTTTGCAAGACCCTATCTCGAAAATACCCAACACAAAATAGGGTTGGCAGATCTGCTCAAGTGGTAGAGCATCTGCCTAGCAAAGCATGATGCCCTGAGTTCAAACCCCAGCACCACCAAAAAAAAAGACAAATACCCTCCTGTTATCATCAGGCCCTGACCTGAGTGTGCTATAACACTACAGGTGTCCTGAGAGGGAGACAAGGAGATCTCTAGTTGCCTGGTTGTTAGTTCTAGTCCTGTCTACTAGTAAACCAAAAGAGAGCTTAATCACCAAAGACGAAGCCTTTACCACCTCTTATTACTCAGCAGTAATTAGTTTCTGTTTATGCTTATTTCTGCCCTTAGGATTCTCTCTCATTTACCACCCTTAAACTTCAACTTCCAGGTACTTCCTGTGCAAGGATGACTAGGTTGTCTTTTACTCTCTTTCCTCTCCAGTCCCTCAACACCTTATACCAAGTCAAAGCGTGGCCACAGAGAAGAGGAACAAGAAGACCTGACAAAAGACATGGATGAGCCCTCTCCAGTTCCCAATGTAGAAGAGGTGACACTGCCCAAAACAGGTATTGGCCAGGTCGAGCCCCTGGGACCTATGATCATTCCCTTTCCTACTCCTACTGTGCCAAACTCCTGAACGGACTAATTTCCCAGGTCTAAAGAAGCTTTCCCTTCAACTCAGCTGGTTAGTGAAGTTATTGTCATTACCATGTAAAATCCTCTCACTTCACATCCATATCTGTTATGAACATGTTCTGCCTTAACTGGTTTTTTGGTTTTTTTTTCCTCAGTGCTGGGCGTTGAACCTAGGACTTCATGTGTACTAAGCATGTGCTCTAGCCCTCAAACTCTTTTTGGTTATGTACTTCTATCAATAAAATGCATTTGGACACAAATCATATACATGTACTATTAAGATACTATTTCAGGACTGCTACAAAACACATATAAACATCTAAAAAATGGAAAAATGTAAAGGATAATAGAAACAAAGAGAACAAATTAAAGAGAAGTTCTGGACAATGAATATAGCTTTGTGGTTCAGCACTTACCTAGCATGTGCAAGGTCCTTGGTTCAATACTCAGCATTCCAAAAAAAAAGGACTATCTTTTGTGTCCTATATGAAAACCTCACTTTGGAAACCATTGCTCTGTAATGCTCGTTTGTGATCTATATTTCATAGACTAGACCCAAATACTCCTGGAATGTATTTCAGGGGTGAGGTTCTGGAGGCTGCTTCCTTCTCTCTCTTGAATCCAGTTGAGGAAAGTGTCCTCTGCTTTTAAAAATGTTCATGATCTGGGCTGGGGGCATGGCTTGAGTGGGAGAGTGCCTAACTAGCAAGTGTGAAGCCCTGAGTTCAAACCCTAGGACCAGTGGCTCATACCTATAATCCTAGCTATTTGGGAGGCTGAGATCAGGAGGGTTGCCATTCAAAGCCAGCCTGAGCAAATAGTTCGTGAGATTCCATCTCCAAAATAAGCAGAGCAAAAATTTGACTGGAGGTATGGCTCAAGTGCTAGAGTGCCTACTTTGTGAGCATAAAGCCCTAAGTTCAAACCAAAAAAATAAATAAATAAAAATTGTTTTAAGATCTGGGGATGTAAGGCTGGCAGAGTGGCCTAGCAAAAATGAAGCCCCAAGTTCAAACCCTAGTACCACCCCCCCAAAAAAAAGATCTGGGATGTAATTTAGTAGCACTTGCTTAGAATATGCAAGGCCTTGTAGTCAACCTCTACAGCAAAAAAAAAAAAAAAAAAGTTTAGAAATCTAGCCACTCCTACAGAATGATTTAGTTCAGACTCAGTCTCAGTCCGTTAAGAGTTTGTAGACATGTATGTCTACAAACATACACGGACCTATCAAAGACAAGAATGTCTTTGACAGGACCAATCAAAGACAAGAATGAGCTAGGCTGGTGGAGTGGCTCAAGTGGTAGAGCACCTGCCTAGCAGGTGTGAGGCCCTGAGTTCAAATCCCGGTATCCCCCCCAAAAAAATGACAGGATTGTTATAGAGCTGGCTGAGCAGCTCAGGTGGTACCGTATCTGCCTAGCAAGCACAAGGCCTGAGTTCAAAGCCTGGTACCACAAAAAAAAAAAAAGAAAAAAAAGACGAATGATTTAGAAATATATAGAGACAAAGAAGTTAAATGAATCTTGGTTGGAGAAGGAGCTAAAGTAGCAAATGAGTTTCAGGCTCTAGACTGATTATGATTGGAGGGAATTAACTGTATTTTGTGAGTAGGTAGAGAAAATGTTCAGAGAAAATGAGACTGTTACCAGTGGAAAGGTGAGTGCTTGATTTTGGCAGAATGTGTCTAATAAAATGGCTCTTTCTTCTGGCAGTCAACACTAAGAAGGACTCAGAGTCAGCCCCAGTCAAAGGAGGCACCATGACTGACCTGGGTAAGACAGGGAATCTTCAACAAGGCAGGCAGCCCTGAGGCTTGGGGAGGGCTCAGCTGCCACCTTCCCTTAACCTGGTGGTTTTGAAGTAGAATTCCTCTGCCCCTCTGGAGGCTCCAGCCTTATATTTTGTCTTTCTCTTTTAGATGAACAGGAGGATGAAAGCATGGAAACCACGGGCAAGGTCGAGCCAGTTTAGAGAGGTCCCACCTCTCTATGTGATTTTGATTTGTGATTATAAAGTTCCTTCTGCCCAGATTTTTCCCACATAGACTAATTCTAGCTGTTGCTCAAAACTCTGACCCCTTCAGGGTCCTGGGACCCACGGTTCTCATCCCCATTACCTATCATTAGCGTCCACATTATGGGGTATAGGAAAAGCAGAGGGTTGCTAGGGGGAGAATGGAAATGCTGAGTGTCCAGCAGCCTTCATACTCATAGGATGAGGATGAAAGCAGTACGGGGAACAAGGGGGAGCAGACCAAGAATCCAGACCTGCATGAGGACAATGTGACTGAACAGACCCACCACATCATTATTCCCAGCTATGCTGCCTGGTTTGACTACAACAGGTATTATTGTTCCAACTTCTCACTGATTCTTTACTTCCCGGCTTCCCAAAGTCAGTGGGTTGCTACACTTTTGCCTCCTCCAAATAAGTTATTTCTTTTATGTCCTTTAGCTCTGGTGGGAAGTTCTCCCCAAGTTTCTAACTGCTTTTTACAGTTTGAGCTGTTTGCCCACCCCACCTTCTAGGCTTCTTTGCCCTTTGAGGTTCCTATCCCTTTCTCAGCACTTTGTCCTGAATCCATTCTGGCTTCTTTTGCAGCGTTCATGCTATTGAGCGGAGGGCTCTCCCTGAGTTCTTTAACGGCAAGAACAAGTCCAAGACTCCAGAGATGTAAGATTTCAACTCATTATTTTCTTTCTCTCTGCTGTTCCCATTTGCCCTTCCCGAACCAGCAACATTCAGTTTAGCAAACATTCCTCCATCCATCCAGGTACCGTGCTAGGTTTGCAAAGACATGATAAATGCTATTAAGCAGCCACAGCCCAGCACGAAGATAGAAGTTCTTTAGGGTTTGCCCAAGTATGATATTAAGCTTACTCTTTTAATTTGTTTTTGGCAATACTGGGGTTTGAACTCAAGGCTTCATGCTTGCTAGGCAGGTGCTCTAGCATTTGAGCCATGCCTCCAGCAAGCATGCTCTTTTGTATAAAGCCAAGTACCAAAAAAAAAATTTTTTTTTTTTTGTCTTTTCCTTTCTGGTCCTAGGGATCAAACCCAGGGCTTCACACATACTAGGCAAACACTCTACCACTTAGCTACATCCCAGCCCATTCAAATTTTTTAACAGAGTGCAAAGCCTTTCAGTCATAAATAATGTTATCTAAATTGCACATAACCCTAGCACAGGCAATTGCTTTGATTAAAGTGTGAATGATTGGTGTCAGGCTGGTCCCTGAGAATAGATTTTTATACAAAAACAAAAGAGGGAAGACCCACATCTGTGAATTAAGGGATGGAGAGTGCACTCTGATAAAAAAGTAATATATAAAGTGCAGGCTTAAGGCTCAGAACTCTTCATCTGATGGGTTTAGTGATGCACATCTATAATCCTAGCACCTGGGAGGCTGAGATCAGGAGGTTGTAGTTTGAGGCCAGCCTGGGCTACCAACTGAGACCCTGTTTCAAAAAAAAGCTGGGTGTTGATGTTTCACAGCTGTAGTCCTAGCTACTTGAGAGGTTGGGATCAGGAGGATTGTGGTTTGAGGCCCGGGCAAATAGTTTGCAAGGCACATCTCCAAAAAACCCAGAGCAGATGGATGCGAGTGGCTTATACCTGTAATCCTAGCTACTCAGGAGGCAATGATCAGGAGGATTGCAGTTCAAAGCCAACCCGGGCAAAAACCCTATCTTGATAGAACTCATCACAAAAAGCGGGCTGGTGGAGTGGCTCAAGGTATAGGCCCTGAGTTCAAACCCCAGTACTGCAAAAAAAAAAAAAAAAAAAAACCAGAGCAAATGGACTTGGAGGTGTGGCTCAAGCCATAGAGCACCTGCTTTGTAAGCACAAAGCCCTGAGTTCAAACTCTAGTCCAGCAAAAAAAAAAAGAAAGAAAAAGTCTTCTTTCAGGTTTTGCCTCAGATCAATCTGCTTGGCTTTGAACAAGACTTGGCAATCTTCTGTAGTTAGGGGTCCTTAAGGTGGTTGCAACCGAGAACTGAACAAGTTTTCTTTCTAACCAGTCCCCAACTTTCTGTCTTTGGGGTCATCTTCTCACCGTGTTTCTTTCCCCATAGCTTGGTATGAATCTCTCCTTCTTGGTGAAAGCAGTGAAGAGCAGGAAGTAGTTACCAGGTGACATGATTCAACATGATATGCTGGCAGGAAACAGAACCGAACTCTTGGTATAAAATAATAAATGATGCTGGACACCAGTGGCTCATGCCTGTAATCCTACCTACTTAGGGGACAGAGATTGGGAGGATTGCGGTTTGAGGCCAGCCTGTGCAAATAGTTCTTGAGATGCCCATCTCCAAAATAACCAGAGCAAAATTGTCTGGAGGTATGGCTCAAGCAGTAGAGCACCTGCTTTGCAAGTGCAAAGCCCTGAGTTCAAACTCCCCCAGTCTCACCAAAAAAATAAAATAAAAATAGTAAATGATGATAATTTCTTGCATCTATTGAGAGCTTTCAATCTTTCAGACACTATCCTAAGTATCCCATCATATATTGACTAATCTGTACATCAGCCTTGGAGATCATTACTGTTATCATCTCCAGTTTACAGATTAGAAACTGGGGAGTAGCTGTCTTAAATCATGGGGGTTACACAGCTAGTAAGTAGTAAAACCAGAATCTGCATCCTTTAGTCTGGCCTATATTCTCAGACTTTATAGCTTAAAGTGTCTAGCTCCTGAAATATGCTAGACACTGTACTAGTTCTTTCCTGATCTCTCTAATCCTCAAATGACATTTCATTTTACACATGAGAAGTATCACTTTCAAAAAATGGAAGTAGGCTGGTGGAGTGCCTCAAGTGGTAGAGCACCTGCCTAGCAAGTGTGAGGCCCTGAGTTCAAATCCCAGTACTACCAACACCAAAAAAAAAAAATGGAAATAACTTGCCAAGTCATCATGGTAGAACTTAGATTTGAACTTAGATTTTTCCAACTTCAAAATATAAGCTCTTTCTCCAGTTTCATGCTCACTAATTGGATGCATAGATAAGGACTTTCATTTAAAATTTAAATTGTGAAACCAAGGCACTTTTTCTTACCTTTAGATTATTTGTTCAAAATTTGGGTGAACCACATATAGTGGTGCTTGCCTGTAATCTCAGCACTTGAGAGGCTAAGGCAGAAGGATGGAAAGCTCAGCTTGGGCTGCATAATAAGACACTGTTTCAAAAAAAAAAAAAGTGAAATAGACATCCCTAACTATAACTAAGGAGTTTGTTCATTTAATTAAAAAAATCCATCAAGGAAAATGTAAAAAATACTTGAATACCATGTACTTAGTGTTTAGCAGGTATTCAGTGTTTTTTGAGTCAAATAATCTACTCTTTTCCATATTTGTTACACAAGAGGGGCTAAGTCTTTTGTCATTTTTCTTACCTTTCAGCCCTCAACAAACATTTATTTTTCTTCCTCTTTTTCTTTCTCTGCTAAGCTACCTGGCCTATCGAAACTTCATGATTGACACTTACCGACTGAACCCCCAGGAGTATCTCACCTCCACTGCCTGCCGCCGGAACCTGGCAGGTGATGTCTGTGCCATCATGAGGTGGGTCTTACAGCTGAGGGGAGGAGTATGTGAGCATGCCTGCCCATGTATGTCTTGGCAGAACTAGAAATGCCTGCAAGGAAAATGGGGAAACAGAGAAAATACTCTAGAGAAAGGCCACATAACAGGTTTTAGGAATGAGTAATTTGAGGGATTCAAATGTGAAATAAAGGAGAGAGAAGGGGCATACGTACAGCTGAAAGATGGTGGACCAGCTTTACTAGCCATCCAGGAAGAGATGCTTAGTACATGAGTGGCTGTGGAGAGACTGTGGAGAGAGGTCCAGAATGGAGATGTATACTTAGCTATCACTCATACTTAGCTGGTAATGGAATGACGGGAGGGATAGGGGAGGGGGAAAAGGCGCTTTCTGCCCCTGGCTCTTCTTTCTGACTATCCTGTATGACCCTGACTCTGCCTTTTCTCTTTATAGGGTCCATGCCTTCCTAGAACAGTGGGGTCTTATTAACTATCAGGTGGATGCTGAGAGTCGACCAACCCCAATGGGGCCTCCACCCACCTCTCACTTCCATGTCTTGGCAGACACACCTTCGGGGCTGGTACCTCTGCAGCCCAAGACTCCACAGGTAGGGTGAGGGGCTATGGGGTTGAGGTGGGGGTGGGTGAGACTGGGCTTCTTTGGACCTTTCTTTTCCTGTATTTAGGATAATGGTTCAGGAATCTTGTGAGGCTTCTTCCTTTTCAATGAAATGCAAAAAGCCACAGGAGTCAGCCCCATGTGTTTAGCAGTATCCTTCTCAGCCTCAGTATCTAAAGCTGTGAGAACTTGCTGAGGGAGAAGAGTAGCTTCTTGTCCTCAGGGAACAGACAGGCTAATATAGGGGATGAAACAGATAGAGAAAAATGGCTTAAAATTAATTTGTATGAACTTTTTAAACTTTGTCATGTTTCCCATATTTTTTCATTTTTATTATCACCTCCATTTTTTCCATTTCCATTTCATACATTATAAAAAATAAGAGGAGAGAAGTTATGTGGCTTGCCCAAGGTCACAGAGTACCAAATATTGAATTAGAACCTAATTGTCCAGCTCCTAAGAGAACCTATAAAGATATATGTGAATACAAATGAATATCATGCCAACTACATGTCTAATTAATCATGGAGTGAGCATGGAACAGCGGCATAACTGCCCTCAGAGCTTGTGGGTTGCCCAGAATTTGGCCTTTAGGCTTCAGGGCCTTGGCCTGGCCATTTCCTGCCCAGCCTCCATGACGCCAAGCTCTGTCCCCCAGGGCCGCCAGGTTGATGCTGATACCAAGGCTGGGCGGAAGGGCAAAGAGCTGGATGAACTGGTGCCAGAGACGGCTAAGGGCAAGCCAGAGCTGGTAGGTGGGGTGCAGACCCCGCTGGGCTTCTTATTTGCCCCTTTATTGGGGGGCCCCTGCCCGGGATGAAGAGACATGAGAGCAGAGGAGCTGCAGCAGTAAGGGAGGAAGTCCCGTCCAGGGGCATACCTGGCTTTGGGAAGGAAGCTCCTTCTGTCTGTTTTCTTTGTTTTCTCTCTCTGTCTGCCCCTGGCTCCCTGGGATCACTTGTACTCACCTCTTTTTTTCCCCTCCACAAATAGCAGAGCTCTGCTTCCCAGCAAATGCTCAACTTTCCTGACAAAGGCAAAGAAAAACCAACAGATATGCAGAACTTTGGGCTGCGCACAGACATGTACACAAAGAAGAATGTCCCTTCCAAGGTATGAAGTGCAGCCAACCTGGGGTAAAGAACTTTTGCTCCTCAGAGGTTATAGGCTCTTCTCTCTTGACTTATCTGTGTTTCTCCTACAGAGCAAAGCTGCAGCCAGTGCCACTCGAGAGTGGACAGAACAGGAGACTCTGCTTCTTCTGGAGGTAATTGGGGAAAGGCAAGGAACATTCTGATGCGAAAATAGAAATTTGCCATTGTGCCAGCTGTACTTGTGAGTGGAGCGGGCTTGTGGAATCTGACATGAGCAGAGCATGATACTGCACTGCCCCAGTCTTTCCCTACCTGATACCTGTTCATCTACGCCAGGAAAAGCTCCAGGCTAGGGATTTGGGCCATTTTACGAACTCCATATCCTTTCCTAATGCTGCTTGGAGATTCCTCTTAGATTCAGCAGAATACAAAAATGCCAGAACATCCAGGTGCGGGTAGCTAACACCTGTAATCCTAGCTACTCGGAAGGCAGAGATCAGGAGAATTGCAGTTTAAGGCCAGCCCAGGCAAAAAGTGAGACCCTATCGCACAAATAGCCAACACAAAGGAGTGCTGGCAGAGTGGCTCAAGTGGTAGAGCTCCTGCCTAGCAAGCATGACGCCCTAAGTTCAAATTCTAGTACCACCAAAAAAAGCAAAAAAACCCTGCCAGAACACAGGGTCTGTGTTCTAACCTGCCCTTAGGATGGGGGGAGTTGACCTCCAAGAAAAGTGGCTAAGTAAGCAGAGTTGTGTCTCCACCACCTACCACCAGGCCCTGGAAATGTACAAGGATGACTGGAACAAAGTATCTGAACATGTGGGAAGCCGTACACAGGACGAGTGCATCTTGCATTTTCTTCGCCTTCCCATTGAAGACCCATACCTGGAGGACTCAGAGGCCTCCCTGGGCCCCCTGGCCTACCAACCCATCCCCTTCAGTCAGTCGGGCAACCCTGTTATGAGCACTGTTGCCTTCCTGGCTTCTGTTGTTGATCCCCGAGTCGCCTCTGCTGCTGCAAAGTCAGCCCTAGGTAACTGGGGGGTCTTGACCTTCTTAGTTTGCTTTCAAAGGGCTGAATATTCGGAAAGTCTGGTTACTCTGCCGCCTTGCTCAGACGTGTGTCTAGGTTCCATGCTGGTCTTAGAGGAAGAGATGGACTTAGGAGGAAGCTTTCACAGGGATAGCCAGAACTGCTCACCTCTGCTATCCCAATCTCATCTCCTCTGGGTCTTACAGAGGAGTTCTCCAAAATGAAAGAGGAGGTACCCACAGCCTTGGTGGAGGCCCATGTTCGGAAAGTGGAAGAAGCAGCCAAAGTGACAGGCAAGGCAGACCCAGCCTTTGGTCTGGAAAGCAGCGGCATTGCAGGAACCACCTCTGATGAGCCTGAGCGCATAGGTAAGGCCTGGAAAGTTTCCAGATTTCTCCCCTTTCACTGAGAGCCAGAGCTACCTGACTTCCCTGTGCCCACATTGACAGCAAACATGAGTGAGAAAGTTGGTGGGGTGTTTGTTTATCCCAGGACTTTATTCTAGGGGCTTTGGCACCTATCGGTCCTCTGTCTGAGCTGAAGTATTGTTGGGAAAATGTTGCCTAGACTCGGTATCAGACATCATTCCTTTCTTTTCTCCATGGGCCCAGAGGAAAGCGGGACTGATGAGGCACGGGCGGAGGGCCAGGCTGCAGATGAGAAGAAGGAGCCCAAGGTATAGCGGGAATGACCTAGGGATGGGATGGGCTGCCAGGCATTGCTCTGTGGTGACAGGGAATCTGGTGGCAGGAGCAGTCTCCTGGAGCCAGATTACCTCTGTAGTAAAAGGAAAAGTGAAGTCATTCCCCAGGCTAGGCCCTTTGTGTGTGAGGTAATCACAGCTATGGCCCCGTAATGTTTTCCTTTTCTTCCTGGGACTTCAGGAACCCCGAGAAGGAGGAGGGGCTATAGAGGAAGAAGCAAAGGAGAAAACAAGTGAGGCTCCCAAGAAGGATGAGGAGAAAGGAAAAGAAGGTGACAGTGAGAAGGAGTCAGAGAAAAGTGATGGGGACCCAATAGGTGAGCTCCCCAGAGTGGTGGGCAGGGGCACAGGAAAGAAACGTGAAGCTGTAGGGCTAACTCAACCCTTGTTCTGGCCCAGTTGATCCTGAAAAGGAGAAAGAGCCAAAGGAAGGACAGGAGGAAGTGTTGAAGGAAGTGGTGGAGTCAGAAGGGGAGAGGAAGACAAAGGTGGAGCGGGACATTGGTGAGGGCAACCTCTCCACTGCTGCTGCCGCTGCCCTGGCTGCTGCTGCAGTGAAGGCCAAGGTGAGGCAAGTCCCCAAACCCAAAGACCCCAGGGAAATTGCCCATTTCTCTAATCTCACTTCACTTAGAGGCAGTCTTTCCTTGTTCACCCCTTTGATCATGTTTGGCCTGCCTCCATGTTATCCTGAGAGTCATCTCTTTTCTGAGTTTTTTTTTTCTTGGCAGCACTTAGATTTGAACTCAGGCCTTGCACTTGCTAGGCAAATGCTCTGCCACTTGACCACTCCCCCCCACACCTCTCTAACCTTTTAAAATCTCTTACCATTGGGTCTGTTTCCAGCTCTGTAATCATATGACTTTGTCTTATCCCTTATTACTCTTTTTCTTCATGTTCTTTAAAAAAAATCAAGCCTGTACTACTCTGGGTTGTGACTATAGCAATTTCATTCTTAAACCTGCTAGCATCTAGCTGGGCACTGGTGGCTCACACCTGTAATCCTAGCTATTCAGGAGGCAGAGATCAGGAATGGTCAAGATAACCTATCTCGAAAAAAAAAATCACAAAAAAGGGGTGATGGAGTAGCTGAAGGTGTAGGCCCTGAGTTCAAACCTCAGTACCGCAAAAAAAAAAAAAGCCTGCCAGCATCCGCCTTACTCTGTCTCCCCTGAAATGCGGGCTGCTGGGTCCTCCCACTGACGTGCTGTCCCACCCCTCCTTGCCTAGCACTTGGCTGCTGTTGAGGAGAGGAAGATCAAATCTTTGGTGGCCCTGCTTGTGGAGACCCAGATGAAAAAATTGGAGATCAAACTCCGGCACTTTGAGGAACTGGAGACGATCATGGACCGGGAGCGAGAAGCAGTGAGTAGCTTCCTTTGAGGGGTCAAGCAGAAGCCTGGAACCCTGCCTGGAGACTGGACTGTCCCTCAGCTTAGGGGGTGGAAGGGAAAGATAGAGGGAGGCACTGACAGGGAGGGCTTCAGAACAGAGGGGAGTGGCGCAAGCCAGAGCAGGGTGAATGGGCCCCAGGCTGTCAAGTGGTCTCACAGGTAAAGCCTGGAGGCTGAGGTCCAAAAGAACATCAGCTCCTTGGAGGAGGAGTGCTAGTCAGGCTTTTTAGTTATTGCATCTTCAGGTCCTGGGACAGTGCTTTCAATAATGTTGAGTGATTGAATGGGTTTGAGGGATAATGAGAGGGATGATGAATTTTCAGATCTAGGAGGTGAACTTGTAAAGGGTATGGGACAAAGTGTTAAACCAGTTTGTCTTTAAGAAGATTTAAAAAGAAATAGAAAATAGGGATTCTTCATACAAAGAAATTAATAAGAGTTTAATTGGAGACATCCAATATAATATGGAGACATCAAACATAGTTAACAAAATGCTTATGGCATTTTCAATATGGCATATTCAAAAATTTTACATCAAGTATTTAAGATCACAGAATAAAGTCAAAGCTCAGAGGCTAGTGAATTGATCTCAGATGGCTTCCTAAGAACAGTAAGTTTCCAGGGAAATTTTTAAGGGAAAAATGAACTTGAATTGACAAGAAGAACTGGAAGCATTTTCTAAATCAAGGTAATGGTAAGTTCAAAGCTTTGGAGCTGAAATGAGCCAGGGTTACCATCATATTAGTTCTATTGCAATGAGGAGTGATATGAGCAACCAGAAGGCATGAAGGTCATGGAACTCACAAGGAGTGGGTAGGTAGGACACAGGAAGCACCGCGTTTAGAATTGGGGGACCAAGAAAGATAGGTCTTTCAAAAGAGGTGAGGTATTTGCCTAGGGATCGTCTGAAAATCCAGTAACATACTCAATTGACATTGGCAGCTGGAGTATCAGAGGCAGCAGCTCCTGGCCGACCGACAAGCCTTCCACATGGAGCAGCTGAAGTATGCGGAGATGAGGGCCCGGCAGCAGCACTTCCAGCAGATGCACCAACAGCAGCAACAGCCACCGCCAACCCTGCCACCAGGCTCACAGCCCATACCCCCGACAGGGGCTACTGCTGGGCCACCCACAGTCCATGGCCTGGCTGTGGCTCCAGCTGCTGTGGCCCCTGCTCCTGCTGGCAGTGGGGCCCTTCCTGGAAGCTTGGGTCCTTCTGAACAGATTGGGCAGGCAGGGTCAACTGCAGGGCCACAGCAGCCACAACCAGTTGGAGCCCCCCAGCCTGGGGCAGTCCCACCAGGGGTACCCCCCCCTGGACCCCATGGTGAGTGTGGGTTGCAGAACTCTTCTTGGCTACAGGGATCCTGGTGAATGTTCCAGTTCCCTTCATAGGGGATACATGATGGGTCTGGAGAAAAGAATTGGTCTCACTTTCTACAGATGGACCCACTTTTGTTATGTCTCTAAGCCCACAGGGATTTCTTCTCAAACCCAGACCTTAGAAGTTCTGTTCGAAGGATTTTTCACTTATTCTAGTGTCAACAGAAGGGAAGGAGACACCAAGGAATGATTGGCTTATCCTTGCTGTGAAAGTGAGTTGGAAAGTAAGGTGTTGCTCCTCTAACCTGTCTCTTCTCTTCATTCTCAGGCCCCTCACCGTTCCCCAACCAACAAACTCCTCCCTCAATGATGCCAGGGGCAGTGCCAGGCAGCGGGCACCCAGGCGTGGCGGGTAATACTCCTTTGGGTTTGCCTTTTGGCATGCCGCCTCCTCCTCCTCCTGCTCCATCCATCATCCCATTTGGTAGTCTAGCTGACTCCATCAGTATTAACCTTCCCCCTCCTCCTAACCTGCATGGGCATCACCACCATCTCCCGTTCGCCCCGGGCACTCTCCCCCCACCTAACCTGCCTGTGTCCATGGCGAACCCTCTACATCCTAACCTGCCGGCGACCACCACCATGCCATCTTCCTTGCCTCTTGGGCCGGGGCTCGGATCCGCCGCAGCCCAGAGCCCTGCCATTGTGGCAGCTGTTCAGGGCAACCTCCTGCCCAGTGCCAGCCCACTGCCAGGTGAGAAGGGGCCAGAAGGGGAGAAGGGTGAGGGAGAGGGGTCCACATTGGAGGGAGGGAGGGCATCTGGGGATCAGGGACTAGAATTTCCACAGTCCTTTTTGAACACTCTGGTAAAATTAGAATACAGGAGGAAGGGCATCTCTGGCTGTCCTCCATCATTCCCCAACCTGGCAGGTACCCCTCTGGGATGATGTTGGGGCCTTTCACTGGTGGGTCATGGAGGAATCCTGTGGCACAAAGCATCTCAGTTGTAAACTTGAAAACAGCTGTTTGCATGATTGGCATCCCTTTGCTTGTTCCCATCACATTCAGATGCCCTATTTAGAGTTCCTTGGGGACAGGAGGAGGTCTTGGGATATATCAGTTTTTCTCAGTATGAGGTGGAAGAGGGTATTACAGGAAAAGGAAGTCGTACATTGTGGGTACCTCATTCATCTACCCACCTAGCATGCCTTGCCCAGTTCTGTTTGTGTGTGGATCCTGGGTCTGGATCCCTCCCTCTTTTTGCCGCAGCTTATTTATCTTCCTTTTCTCCACAGACCCAGGCACCCCCCTGCCTCCAGACCCCACAGCCCCAAGCCCAGGCACAGTCACCCCTGTGCCTCCTCCACAATGAGGAGCCAGCCAGCCAGCCATCTCTCCCCCTCACCCCCCATGGAGATCACGGTTCCAGGAACAGCCCTTCCCCAGTACTGGGACCCTCCCCCAACCTGGAGATTTCATCACTACGTAAGGAAAGCTCCTCCTGCCCCTCCACAGCCCCCATCATGCCTGGCAGAGGCATGCACTTTTATATTGGATTATTCAAGGACTTCTGTTTAAAAGATTTTGTTTCTAATATCTGGGAGAGAGGATAGGTGGGAATGCTGCCCTTAAAGGCAAGGCTGGGGAAAGGTGTTTATACAAGGTTCTACTTAACCACTTCTAAGGGTGTACCCCCTACAAAACTACTGCATTTTTTATGGATAAAAAGGAAATTAAGCCCTTTAAAAGAAAGTAGAGAGATTTAAAAAAGCCACATTGGAGCTTAACTTCAGTCTACTAAAAAAGCCAATTTTTACATTTTTTTGAGGGGAGTTTAACAATTTTAAGAAAGGGGAATTAAGATTCTGGGGAAAGCTCTGGGGGTGGACTAGGGTACCAAGCCTATCTCCCCAAGCCCCTTGGTAGTGCCGAGTCAGCTCCCCTCACCCACTCCACCCGTTCACTCATACTAATCTCTCCTGCTGCTTCCTCATTGTTGCTGTTTTAGGCCACCCCAGCTCAGCCAATGATCCCTTTCCCTTTGAATGTCAGTTTCGTGTTTGTTTTTAAAAGTCACCTGCTTAGTTCATGTCAGCGTATGTGTATTTGGTGGGGAAACATTATTTTGGGGGGGATTCCTGTGGTAGGTAATAGAGGAAGAAAGGGCATTAGAGACTATTCTTCCTCCTTTCCCATGGTGTATACATGAATACCTAGGAGACATGGAGAAGGGAGTTGTAAAAGGATAGGGAGTTTTTAAAAACCTGAAAATTTTAAAAAGCACTTAAGTACCTCCTTATGACTTGGTGGGTCACTCCCCTAACCTCTGTCCTCTCCCACCAACACTGACAGAACCTCACTGATAGCTGGTGGTTCCCCAAATCAGAACACAGGTTTGGGAGCAGTGCAGCTTGGCTCTGCTCCCTGGATTCCAGTACCTCCCCATTCCAGTTCTTCCCCTCCTCACCTTTGAATGGAGGCAAATGGATACCAGGCTCTATACCAATTCTTAGTCCCTCCTACCAGGCCCTTTGTTCCTCACGTCCCAGTGTTTCTTTTCCCCTGCGTCTTGGCACCTTTCTTCTGTTCAAAGTTTTCTGTAAATTCTCTTTTCTTCCCTTTCTTCTTCTTCTTTTTTTTTTTATTTTATTTTATAAATTAATTTGCTTTCAGTTCCATCTTGTGGATGCCTCTGTGTTCTCTTACCTGTGGCTGTCAGACAGGGGGATCAGGCTGGGGGCAGCATCGCAGGAGTGCTTTACAGGGTACTCACTGGTTTGGAAAGGCACTCTGCAAGCTGCAAGCTCACAGACTCTGGCCTGTCACTACAGAAGGCCAAAGGCACTGCTGTAGCAGCAGGGGCTCTCACCTTTTCTAAAAATAGCTGTTTAGGACTTGGAAGGACATCCCCACAACACAGAAATTTTGTATCTTTATCCTTTCAGAAGTAGTGGCTCCATTCCTTCCCTAATAAGGGAGGAGGCAGGGCCTCACCTACTTTTGTTGTTACTGGCCTCCAGCCCTGCTGTTGTGACAGGCAAGCTCTGGCAGTGCTAATATGGCCTGGCTTTAGCTCCAGTAAACACTCCCAGGCTTCCCGACAAAAGGCCTCCAGTACTTGGGAGGGTGGGGGCTGGGTTCTAAGAAGCCTTCGGGCTAAGCAATTTCAGCCTGACACAGGACAAGACATGGATGAATGGGACCAGCATTTCTTAAAAATGAGGCTAAAAGGGTTATACATGTCCTTCCTCAGCTTTCCCCAAACCCCAGTCCATTGACCTTGGACTCTGGGCTCTGTATAGGTACAAATCATCATCATCTCATCATTTCTCCCTCCACCCTGCTCATGAAGGAAAGCAGAACCAAAATGGGGCAAAGAAAGCAAATTTATTTGGTGAATGCTGACAGCAAACATCATCTAAGAGAGACTAGATGATTAAGGTGCTGTGACAAGGGAGCCTAGGAAGCCTCTGGGGCCACACAGAAATCTCACACGGGACAAGGCACGGGTTCAGGGGATATAATAAGGTTCTCAGCCATTCAGCACCATCCGGACCAACTCTGTAGAAAAGAAACGTGGATAAGCCAGAGAGAGGGCTGGGGAGGGAGGGGTATGCCAGGGGCCAGGAGACTATGAGACTGCAAAGGTAGCAACCAACCAACCAACAGCAACCAACCTCAGGGTCAGTTTGCAAAGGAGCCACCTTGAGTCTGACCAGTTTTCTCTGCCCCTAGCTCCCCTCCCACCAGTTGTTAGCTCCCCACCCCACCCTGAGCACCAAGAATACAGCAAAGGCAGAAAGTTCTCAACTACACCTACAGCTACTGTCAGCCACTGGAGGGAGGAGAGGACAGAATTTTGGGTTAGGGTACCTCCAAGTTCCCCAGAAGAGGGACAGGGAAAGGGTTCTTCAGCTATAGCAGCAAAATGGGGCAGGCAGCCCACTCCCTCTATGCCAACTCTTCATGCTCCAAGGCCAAAGTATCACCCTAAGGCAAGACTGCTCTATTAGCTGGTGAGAGTTCCCAGACACCAGCATCCAAAGCCCTATAAGCAAAATCTCAGAGCCCATTCTAGGAGAGAAATAAGGAGGTACCGTATCCCCAAGCTGCCTTCCTCTTTGAGGAATCCCTCCCCTCCCTAGCCAGCTCCATGCAGGAACATGCCAGAAGGAAATCAAATGGTAGTAGGGTAAGGGCAGGGGCTAGAGAGCACAGGTTGGGAAGAAAAACTCTGGGGAGTTCAACTAAAGAAGAGGCTGAGAGGAGCCGTACCCGCCCCACGGGCCGTCACCCTGACAGGATATGCCTCACAAACGCTGCAGGAAGGAAGAGACATTAATGGTAAAGACAAGACACAGACATGGGGTGAAGGGTTCAGGCAGTGGGGGAACAGACATTCCATTTACTTCCCATCCCTTCCCCACCCTTCCTTCATACCCCGTCACCCCTTCCTTTCCTGTCATACCCCACAACTTCCCACTTTGGAGCTGGGCCCTGCCCCTTGCCTCCTGGCTTTTAGATCCAAGTTCAGGGATAAGGAAAGCCCCAGATGCAATCCCTAACATGCTCTATATGACCATTTCCTCCATAAGAGCCCCAGTTTGCCCCTCACCTTCATAGTTGATACAGCCATTGCTGTCCTCGTGCCCTGCCACCAGCATCTCCACTTCTTCTTCTGTCATCTTCTCACCTGCAGAGGGAGGGAACGCATTTCTGGAACTGCGTGACAGTGTGACACCTGAGCTCCAGGACAAGGGCACAGAGCCTTACCCAATGTGACAAGAACATGACGGATTTCAGCTCCCATGACAGTACCATTCCCTTCCTTGTCAAACACCCGTAGGCCTTCGACATAGTCCTCATAGGTTCCCTGGTCCTTGTTCTTGGCCACAGTCTGCAGCATGGGCAGGAAGTGCTCAAAGTCTAGCACCTTCACATTCATCTCTGCCATACAAGAGGTGGGAAAATGTCAGGCCAGAGAAGTCATTAAATTCTCAGAACAGGATTATAGGGAATCACAACTGAATAGATTCCTGCCCAAAGAGAAAATTTATGGGATTTGCTAAATCAAAACTAGGCTTGCTCTAGTTTGGGGCCTATGAAGATAAAAGGAAACTCTTAACTGAAGAACTATGGACATACTACACACTAGGTTGTTCTTGAGGATGCTCACCATCACTCTTGGGGTTCCCGAGGACCTTGAGCACCTCAGCATTGGTGGGGTTCTGGCCCAGGGCTCTCATCACATCCCCACACTGGCTGTACAGGATCTTGCCATCACCTGTTCGGTCAAACAGCTGGAAGGCCTCCTTGAATTCTGAGGATTCAGAAAAACATGAGCATCTGGAATGTGGGAGTTAACCTGGTCTCTACCTCAGAGCCCTGCTGCCCCTTCAACTTAGATCATGCTGCAGAAACCAGATATCTACCCTGCTGTACTCCCAAGTCTACTAAGAGGGATCTATTTCTTTCTCCCAACTCAAATGTCCTATGTAAAGGTACAGTTTTTCTGCCCTCTTGGCAGCAAGGTAATATCCACTTACACACACCCCTCTGCCTGCAGCACACCAGCCCAACCTCCTCATTACTATTACACTACTCAGGGTAGGAATTTGCCACCGCCCAGTCTGGGTCCTGTGGGTCCTGTCCTTATAAGGAAGTAGGAGCAGCGGCCTGGGACTAGGGTTATTGTATCCTGCTTCTTCCCACCCTTACCCTACAGAGACCTTCTAGAAAGTGGAGCTACCTACAGTCACATTCTTAGCAAATTCCCTTATCTCCATCTCAAAATTTCAGCTCACTGTTCTTTACAATCTTCATAAATTCCAAGCTGGGGGAGGGGGATGGTTATCACAGGAGAAAAAGCAGTAGCTGATTAAGGGATAAAGTTGCCCAGGCAGCTTAATGCACCGTTCCCAAACCCCACACACAAGCAGGCATTAGGTGACCAAGTTGTTTCACATACCCACACCACCTAAAACTCACCCAGTGCTTGGGGTTCAGATCTAGAGTGGAAAGGGAAGGAAGAAAGAATGAAAAAAGAAAATGGAGAAAACGGAAGGAGAAAGGAATCCAGTGGTTATCTCCTGGAGGTGCTGAACAGATGACAGGTTGGAGTTAAGAGGGTAGGTGCTAGAGCCAGGTGTACCTCTCGGTAAGGGTGGTCTCAGGGACTGCCTACCTGCGGTCTGGTCCTCGGTGAAGTCACACTGCTCGGAGAAGAAGGGAGTGATCAGCACCTAAACGCCAATCCCGCAAAGCTTCATTGCAGTCCCACAAACTCCTGTTTCTGGTGGGAGACTCGCTTCCCAGCAGGACAGGGCCCTGGACTTTCCAACCCCACCTCCAACCTTCCAAGCCCTCGGCTTCCTTTTGTCCCCTATCCTTGACTTCTTGCCCCCACCCGTGGCTCCCCTCCGCGCCCCAAATCCCGCTTATCTCCAGGGCCCCGGGCCCCACCATCTTGACTGCTCAGCTCGGCGGGACCTTTTTCCTGCAGTAATGGCTCCGATTCCGGGCTCAACCCTAGTCTTAGTACGTCCCAATGACGTCACCCTCGCGCGGATCCAGCCAATACAAACCGGAACCCGGGCTTATGCAGATGACATTGCTACATTAGTAATAAGGTAGGTGGGGCCCCGAGTGGTCCTTCTCCCGAGCAGCCCCAAGTAGCCGAAGAAACAGCCCAAGGGGCTGGGGTGGGTTGCAAACATTCCTGTCTTCTAAACAGCAAAAAGAGCAGGGGCTATCGGCTGGAGAGGAAAGGGCTCTCCTTCCCTCCTTCCCCCTCCTCCGAAGAAAACAGTCTGAGACCAAAGCAGGAACCATCTCTTTATTTTGAAACAATAGGTGGCCACCTAGTGACAGGAACGTGCTTCTTGAGCGAGTGTCCGGCCTCCTGCTGGATCTGTGGGAAAAAAATGAAAGTTGCCAAGGCCTGGCGCTTGCGCAGCGACTGGACAGGAAAACGCACTCCCCTGCTTTCCTAGCTGGCTGAGGGAAGGGCAGGCTCGCCTTTCCAGGCGACCGGTAGGAGAGTGGGGAGGCTGGAGGGCCTACCTGTAGAGCTCAGACACTTAGGATGTGCTTCAGGAAAGCTGCAGAGAAAGGAGGCAAGAGGGCTTCAGAAGCAGACCTCTGGATAACTCATCGGACTTTAGGTAATCCAGGGTCCCTCTACCCCCACCTACCATCCCCCTCCTCCCCTGACCCTTCTGCTCCTCTGAGCCCTCACCCTTACCCTCATAATTGATGCAGCCATTGCTGTCCTCGTGACCTGCCAGTACAGTCTCCACCTCCTCCTCAGTCATCTTCTCTCCTGAACCCCAAATGTAGCATTAGTAGCATCAGTGCCCTTCCCTGGCCAAGCCACTTTTTCAGGGTGGCACCTCCTCTTCTCCTACCATGCCTCTTGGTTTCCACAAAACAAATGAACAGTGCCTTGGAACTGGTGAAAGCTTTTTTTTTTTTTTTTTTGGTGCTAGGGTTTGAACTCAGCCTCACACTTTCAAGACAGGTGCTTTACCACTTGAGTCACTCCACCAGCCCTTTTCTTTGTGTGTGTGTGTTGGGTCTCGAACTATTTGCCGGGGCTGGCTTTGAACCATGGTCCTCCTGATTTCTGCCTCCCAAGTAGCTAGGATTCCAGGCATGGGCCATCGGCACCCAGCCACATGAAAGCTTTAAGGACAAGGAAACTGAAGCCACGAGGGTTGCGATTCATATTGGGATCACAGAGCATAAGTGTGGCTTCCAAAGTGGGAACTCGGGCTCCCACCTCATGTCCTGAGCTCTGTTCTTTGGTGGACACTTTAACCTCTGGGGCAGCAAGTCCCTCAGATTCCCTATGCTCTGACCTTCTCAGTCTCCTGCCCATGACCCGCAGGACAGTAATCCCCTTCCTGCCTAACTTGCCAACCTTCTTCCTGGTCCACCCCTCCTCTCCACCCCACAGGAGTTCTTGTCCCTGTCTCACCCAGGGTGGTGAGGACATGTCTGAGCTCAGCGCCCATGACTTTGCCATTCCCCTCCTTGTCAAACACCCGAAGCCCCTCCAAGTACTCCTCATAGGTCCCTTGGTCCCGGTTCTTGGCCACTGCCTGGAGCATGGGCAGGAAAGTCTCAAAGTCCACACGCCGGGACTTCAGCTCTGGAGATTAGAGAAAGGTGAGAGCGGTCACTGGAGAACTCCTAGGACCCAGCTCCCATCCTTACCACAATAACTTTCATTCCCTTCAGCTTTCAGGATGTTTTTTTCTCCCCTGTGTTTGACAGTTTCTGAAATCCTGAGATTCACCCCTGACATCCTCTGTCACCTTACCAGCATTCTAACATTGAAAATTGAGGACTGGCGATGTACCCCCCGTACAAGGTACAGCCCTTGCCTAGCATGCACAAGGCCCATGTTCCAAGGCTTCTCTCACCATCACTCTTGGGGTTCCCCAGGACCTTGAGCACCTCAGCGTTGGTGGGGTTCTGGCCCAGGGCTCTCATCACATCCCCACACTGGCTGTACAGGATCTTGCCATCACCTACTCGGTCAAACAGCTCAAAGGCCTCCTTGAACTCTGAGATGTAAAGAGAGGTCAGTGGTGACCAGGGTTTCCCATCACCTCCAACCAGAGGGGTTCATAAACTATGTATTAGAGCTGTGCAGAACAAGGAAAGAAAAGAGCACAAGTGTGGCAGGTTTCAAGGTCGGGACTGGAGGTAGGGGAACAGAAAGAGGACCTGACCAGGGGCTTGGGACTGGACAGTGGGTTTAGGGAACTAGCTTCTTCTCACCTTCCAGCTGGTCCTTGTTAAACTCGATCTGTGGAAGAAAAGAGCAGGTGAGGAGAGATGACAGGGCTTATTCAATCCCTCTCCAGCCCTCCTCCCAACCAACTGGCAGCCACTCCTGGGGAGGGGCCCAGAGGGACCAGGCTGGGAGCACAGCCACCTCAGTCCCATTCCCTGCTCTGGGCCTTGGGAGAATCCCAAGAGGAGGAATTATAGGGGGGAGGGCTTCCTGGGAACAGGGTTAATCCCATGCCACCTGTTTCCCTCCCTCCACTGCCCTGAGCCCTGCATCCCTCACATAACTGGGGGCTGAACAAAGGCTAAATTTACCCCTGGCCCCCAGCTGTGATTGTCTAACAAATCTGTCCTCTTCAGCCTCCCCTCCTAGGATTCAGAGCTGTGGCCTTTTGAGTTGAACAGTCATTCAGGGGCAGGCAAGGCAGTAGCTTTCTCCCTTCACCTTGAAACTGTTCTCAGAACCTAGGTGTTCCCCATCTCAATCCCTGCCTCCAGCAGGGGGTCATCGAGTGTGAGTATGTATGTGGAACACACGTGTCAGAGAGAGACAGCAACAAAGACAACAGTAGAGACATAAGCCTGGATGCTTCCCAGTGGGGACCCCCATCTCATTCCAGTGCTTATTCCTGACATTCTACATATTCCCCATCCCCTAGGCTGTATCCCACCCTCGAACCAATCCCTCCAAATTCTCTCCTCACTTTCTGGGAACTCACCACCACTTTGGAGAGATCAACAGGAGGCTCCTGGGTTTTCACAGGGGCCTGGGAGACAGCTGGCTCAGCCTTGGTCTTGGCTGGAGGGGCTCCTGCTGTAGGCTTTGCAGCAGGTTTGGAGATGGAGGGCCCTGCTGGTTTCTTCACGGGAACATCTTTCTTGGGAGGCATGATGTCCGGTGGCCAAAGGACAGTGTGTCAATGGGGGCACCCATCTCTGTTTAAATAGCCAGGGAGTCTGGGATGTCAAGGGGCGGGGGCAGGGACAGGGGCAGGGAGCCAGTTGGCAGTAGCAAGGATGAGGTAGAGAAGAGAGATGCCCATCTGCCCTCACTCCACTGGTCTCCTATGTTCAGGACTCCTGCCCCAAGGTTTCCTTCCCTTTGTCACTATTCCCCCAAAGCTGTTCAGGAACAATGTTCTCTTTACGGACAAGGGAGGAAACCAGAGACTGCCCAGAATGGGGGAGTTAACCTCCAGGGTGATGATAGGATGCTTGCCAGTGACACTGAGATAGGGGTGAGGCATAGGAGGGTACCCAGTAGTTTTATACTCTAGAAGGCCCAGCAGAGGTAGGAGTGGGGGAGGGGACCCAAGAGCTTGTGTGAAGTGGGAAAAGTTAAAGTGGGGTCTGAAAACAGTGAAAGGCAAAAAAAAAACCCGACTTTTTCACTCCCTTCTGACCATGGATCAGAAGCAGGGGTAGCTGACTTCACAGTTGGATGATTCTTAAAACTGAGCCCCAGGGGTGGGGATGGGGTGGGGAGGGAGGTGGCACAATGTATACACATGTAAGTAAATGTAAAAACGATAAAATAAAAGGAGAAATTACATCTAACTTCATACTTAAAAAAAAAAAAACTGAGCCCCCCCCCCCAACCCAGAAGTGGAACTGTGCACAGCCATAGAAAGGAAAACAACATGACACTCCCCTTTGTCTTCTGTGTCCAGTACTGATTTAGGGGTGGCATATCAGGACTTAATGCCCACCATTCATACTTCCAAGAAAGGACTCTTCTACAAGCCCACGGTCATTCGAGTCAAAGAAAAGATAGGATGCCTGATGAACCTGCAGGGACTCCCTGGTGGCACCTGGGGGGTAAGGACGGGCTCTGGAAGACAAAGGGCCTAGATTCAATAATCAAAAAGGATGCAGTATCTCTGTGGATTCCATGAGTACTCACCCTTTCAGTCAGGAACATAATAAAAAGCTCCGATTAATAAAATCCCAAAAACTCACCCTGCAGGGTCTGGGTCCGGGGCCGGGACCGGGGTGGGACGCAGCGCGGCTCCCCGCCCTGAAGGGTTAATTCCTACGGATGCGGGGCATGTCGGGAGTCGTAGTCCCCGCAGGCTCACCGGAAACCTCTCCTGACGGAGGGCGCCGCGGGAAAGCCGCTTCCGGCGCGGAGTGGCGGTTAGTGACTCAGGCTCTGAGGAGCGCGCCTGTTATCCCGGAGCTCAAAGAGCGGAGCAATCTCCACTCTTGACCCTAAAGACCTCAAGATATCCCCTTTACTTAGCCCTGGTGAGTTCCCAGTTTAGTGTGGCGGGGGCGTTTTTCTGCATCTATGGGTGAGAGAACTCAGAACCAGGGCAAAGGTGAAGCTGTAGTTTCACCAGCTGGTGACTAAGTGCCCGCGGGAGAGCGACTTCGCTCGCTCGGCTTCCTTTCTGTTTAGTTCCAAGAGAGCGGAGGCCATTGAGTTGCTGTGTGGCTTGAAGCAGTAACTCCCAAAGGTTGTTTTTGTTTTTGGAATGAGCTAGTTGCTGGAGTAAATGTTAGATGGTAAATTAAGGCTGGTCACGTGCCCCAGACGCGGAGTGGAGACTTCCCTGCCTGCGGCGGCTTACACACCATCTTCCCCGGGGTGGAGAGACCTGGGAAATGGAGATAGTGTTAGGTCCCTGGCATTCTTGGGGCGGGCGGAAGGACCCGAGGCTACACCTTAAAACCACACCCCGATTTATGACTGCTTGTTTCTCCCGGCCTGATTTTTTTCTTGGCTTGCAAAACAACTCGGGAACTTCCAGTTTCTCAACTAGCCAGGCATGTTGACCTGTTCCATCTGGTGATCGCAGATAATCAGAGACCAGAGACTCTTTCCCTCCCCCTTGGCTTGGCCCTTCCTATAAAGCCCACTACCCAATTCAGCCAAGCCGCTTCACTGTGAACCAGAGAGTGACAGCCCTGCGGTCTGGATTTCTAATAAATCTTTCGTTTCCACACGTGGTGTGGTCTTTATTCGGCAGCACCTTACAGATGGGACTGCCCAGATCTTGCCTCTGAGACACCTCTGGCCACCCTGGTGGTTCACTCATCCCTCCAGGCATTTATCAAAGTTCAGTTCTGGGTGCTGGGAGGGACGACCCACTTTAACTTGCCACTTTAACTTGCTGGCTCTGTAAATACCCTGGCGGGGCCACGTGCTAGAAGCAAGTGTGCAGGGAGTGGCTCAGAATAGAAAACCCGGCGCGCTTCTGAAGCCTTAAGTGATGTTCATTGGTGGTTGTGGTTTGTTTGTTTGTTTTTTGTGGGGCTGGGGTTTGAACTCAGGTCCTCATGCTTGCAAAGCAGGCGTTCTACCACTTGAGCCACGCCTCCAGCCCCTATGGGAGGCTTCTGGGAAGAGTAGACTTGTCTTGTATACCAGAAATAACTAAAGATATAGTTAGCCATTCCTGGAGGCTAACTGATTCGCAGATCAATTCCCTTCCTCAGATGGGAGTGAAGGACAGACCGCAGGAAGTCAAGGAGACACTTCTCCTCCCTAGGAAATGTCTGTTTGCATCTGAAAGGCATCTCCGCCTTCAGGCAATGCAAAAATAGGGTATAAAACCCACTCCCCACCCTGACCCACGGGATCACCAGTTTCCGGTTCCCCCTGCATTCTCCAATATGCAGTCTTTCTGTTCTCTTTTCTCCAACTAAATTCTCTACAAATAAAATCTTTCCGACCTCTGCGGTTAGAGTCTGTCTGTGCTTTCATTCGTAGAGCAGGCTCAAGAACCCTGAGCACCTGAAATTCTGTGTGTGTCATCCATGCATCAGGAGGACACTAAAGACTTTGGGCTCAGACCCGCCTGCTCTCATTTTGAGGCCTGGTTCTGCCAGGTTCTGACTCATAACCTCCCAGAAGTTAGTTATCCCTCTGGTCCTTAGTTCCCCTGTCTGTAAAATAAGAATAATAGAATCCACCTCAAAGAGCTGTTGGGAGGATACACATATTAACATTTGAGAAATAGAATAAGCCTGGTACAGCATAAGTACAATAGAAATGCACGTTAAGCCAGGCGCCGGTGGCTCACTCCTGTAATCCTAGCTACTCAGGAGCCAGAGATCAGGAGGATCTCTGTTTGAAGCCAGACAAGGAAAATGGTTCTCAAGACCCTATCTCAAAAATGCCCAACACCAAAAAGGACTGATGGAGTGGCTTAAGGTGTAGGCCCTGAGTTCAAACCACAGTACAACACACACACAAATGGAATGATCATTTCAGGGTGCACTTTTATTTTTTTAAGGGGAGCTTGTTTTATTTTTGGCAGTACTGGGGCCTGAACTCAGAACCTCATGTTTGGTAGGCAAGTACTTTGTCACTTGAGCCACACCCCGGTCTTCAAAATGTACTTCTGATAGGTCATCTCCCTATTTAAATCCTTCTATGTGTTTTTTGTTTGGTTTTGGTTTTTTTCTTCCATGTGTTTTGATAAAGACTATAAACATTTGATAAAGACTACACCACATCCTGGTGGTAGGAATGTAACTCAGTTGTAGAGCACTTGTCCAACATGCATGAGTAAGACCCTGGGTTCAATCCCTAGCACCATAAAAAATATAAATAAGTAAAATGCTAAATCCTTACAGTGACCCACAAATGCTAGCATAGCTCATTCCTGTACTATCCACATCTCCATGCCAACCACACCTGCTAGCTTGCATACCTTCTAAAAGATGTCCTGTGTCCTCATTCCTCAAGTTTCCACACTGTTTCCAGAGCCAAGCAGAGCCCAGTGTCTGGTACATTTTGGCCCTGAAATATTTGTAGACTAAGTGGATAATCTGGGTGGAAGAGAAGAGTCAAGGATGGACACTGATACTAGGAAGTAGGGCCAGGTGCTGGTGGCTCACACCTGTAATCCTAGCTACTCAGGAGGCAGAGATTGAGTGGATCGCAGTTTAAAGCCAGCCTAGGCTAATGGTTCGTGAGACCCTATCTTGAAAAATCCCAGCACAAAAAAGGGTATGATGGAGTGGCTCAAGGCATAGGCTCTGAGTTCAAACCCCAGTACTGCCAAAAAAAAAAAAAAAAAAAAAGTAGGGGGAGGGCAGTAGGTTGGAGATTTGGAGATTCAGTGGATTGGGAGAGTTTCCATGTATTGAACTCAAAATTTTTACCCTGAAGTACAAGGTGAGGTGATTTGATTTGGTAAGAGAGGAAGGAGGAGGAGATAACTTGAGAAAACAGTAGATTTGAAATAGGTGCTGTCAAAGCAGGGATTCAGCTTACTGGGGACCAATTCATAAATACTCATTTAACATTTACCAAGTGCTTACTCTGCTCAGCTAATGAACTTGCTGAGCACCATGGAAAATGATTGCAACTGGAGATCATGAATTTGTAGCAGTGCCAGTCTACAAAGTAGTGATATCCTTCTCTAGCAGTACTTGCCCATGGGGATAATTAAGCCAGAGAAAGGAGGAAACTGGAATGGTAATGGACTGGAGTTTAATGGGATTCTAGGTAAAAGAGGATTTGTGGTCCAGGCCTGATAGAGAAAGAGTACATATGGAGGAGCAGGTTTATTGGATTAGAGAAAACTGGATAATCATTAAGGAGCTAAAGTTTCAGTGAGGTTGAAGAAGTGAGATAGTTCAAGATGCCAGAATTGTAGTTAGAGAAATAATGCATTTGAGATTAAAATTTTAGAAGCCATAGTGGAAGCCAGGAAGAGTACCCATGAAAGTGAGTGGGTTGAAAGGGTAGTGAAGTGAAGGTCATTGGATTTGAGGAGAATACAGAGTAGGATTCTTTCAATTGAAAATATCAGGGCTGCTAAAGCAGATACCTTAAAGCAACTGAGGCCAATAGGAAAAGGGGACCAGGAACTAGAGAAAAGGTTAGATCAAAAAGAATTAACCTAGAAGGTAACACCCACGCACAGGAAATCAATGTGAGTCAATGCCCTGTATAGCTATCCTTATCTCAACCAGCAAAACCCCCTGTTCCTTCCTATTATTGCTTATACTCTCTCTACAACAAAATTAGAGATAAGGGCAAAATAGTTTCTGCTGGGTATTGAGGGGGGGGAGCGGGAGGGGGTGGAGTGGGTGGTAAGGGAGGGGGTGGGGGCAGGGGGGAGAAATGAACCAAGCCTTGTATGCACATATGAATAATAAAAGAAAAATGAAAAAAAAAAAAAGAAAATATCAGGGCTGGCCAGGTGTCAGTGGTCCACCCCTGTAATCCCAGCTACTCAGGAGACAGAGATCAAGGGGATCACTGTTTGAACCCAGCCTGGGCAAATAGTTCGAGAGACCCTGTCTTGAAAATACCCAACACCAAAATAGGGCTGGCAGAATGGTTCAAGTGGCTGAGCACCTGACTAGCAAGCATGAGGCCCTGAGGTCAAACCCCAGGACTGAAAAAATAAAAAAATTTTAAAAAGAAAGTGAAGAAAATATTAGAGATAGATGAGCTTAAGTGGTAGAGCACCTGTCTTGCAAATACAAAACCCTGAGTTCAAACCCCAGTACTACCAAAAGAAAATAGCAGAAGTTCACAACACAACAAAGAGATCTCTCCAGTTCTCTAATCACTATCCTCTGTGTCATTTTAAGAGCCAGAGAGTGGGGCTGGATGTTGTAGCTTAAGTGGCAGGGCACTTACCTAGCAAACACAATGCCCTGAGTTCAAACCCCAGTACTGCCAAAAACAGAAAAAGAGGAACCATAAAGTGAAGTTCTCTTGATCATTGGAATCAATTCCTGGACTTCACCCATGAACTAGTTGCAGTGGCAGGAAATACCATGTCCTGACTGGCTGAGGCATGGGTTATTGCTTACCCTTGTAGCAAGGAGGATGATGTTAACGATTCACTTAGGCCACTCAGGGTGTGTCCCTGACACTGGAGATGGATTGGGGTCAATGTTAATGGGAAGGAGTGAAAAGGACACTAGGGAAGAGAACAACAATGTCTGCCACAATGAGGAACTATGATGTAAGTTACTGAATAACCTACTACAATTTACACTTAAGACACGAGGTTGTTGGATAGCAAGATTTAGGGCGTCAGACCCTAAAATATTGAGGGTGATCATGTACTTAGTGAAAGAGATGAGAGAAGATAGAAACAACATGACACTGCCATCACCTCCAAAGGAGCTAAGATTTTTACTGATGTGAGAATAATGATGAAGTGGCATTGGGGAACAAGGAGCATTACATCCCTCTTCCAAGATAAGTATACAGTTGGTATCCACAGATGAATGGATCCATGGAGATTGTTGTTGAGGAAACACTGCGCATACTCAGGATGCAGAGCCAGGGCTGTACTGAGGATGCTTATTTTTCCCATAAATGGTGCTCAACTTCTGCTAAAGACAGGCCGCCTTTCAGCAAGATCTCATGTTCACCTTTATCACTTCAATTAAGCACATTCACTTTTTAAAAAAAAATAAAAATGATAGCAAAGCTCATTAGGAAAGAAATTTAGTATAACAGGATAAAAGTAGGGAGAAATAGGGAAAAAGGGAGAAACATTTCCTGCAAGGGTAGCAGGAAATGGGAGTAAAGACTCCAAGCACATTCATTTTTACCTTGCTTTTTAGGAAGCATACTCTTATTTTCACAAAATTAAGAGCAGGGAAACACCCACAGATCACACAACAATTTAAACACAAGTGAGGATAATGAGGGACTCATTCTACTCATCAGCTGAGCTGTGTAACTGCACATGTGAATTTAAAATTTTAGTTTTGAATTTCTTTTTCTCACAGTGCTGGGGGGTTTGAACTCAGGACCTTACATTTGCTAGGCAGGCCCTCTACCATTTGAACCATGCCCCCAGCCTTTGAGGTTTTTGGGTTTTTTGACCTTGGTTGGTGGCTCATGACTGTAATGCCAGCTGCTTGGGAGGTTGAGATCATCAGCTTGAGGCCAGCCTGAGCAAATAGTTCTTGAGACCCCCATCTCCAAAATACCCAGAGCAAAATGAACTGGGGGTGTGGTTCAAGTGGTAGAGCACTTGCCCAGAAAGTATGAGGCCCTGATTTCAAACCCCAGTACTACCAAAAAAAAAATAGACAAAACCAAGTGTAATCTGCAAATAAGGCAAGCTTACTGGAAAGGGATTGGTATAAGGGAGCCCCTAGAGGGTGTTACAGGTGACTAAATTTTTTAGAAGGCAAACCAGATTTTAAGAGAGGCCAGAGTGAGCTTTGTGTAAATGCGGTTAAGGAATCAAAAGAGTAGAGTGGGTGGAACTAGGCCTGCAGAGGTTACACTGGGAAGGTTGAAGAAGGGAAGCAAGAAATTGTATCAGGACCCTTCAGCTCTCCTAGAGCCCTTTATTCTTTGTGTATGTGTCACAGGGTCTTGCTATGTAGCCCAAGCTGGCCTGGAATTTACAATCCTGTATTCCCAAATGCTGGGATTACAGATGTGTACCATCACACCCAGCTTTCCTTTATTCTTTTTTTTTTTTTGGTAGCACTGGGGTTTGAACTCAGGACGTAATGCTTGGGTACTCTTACTGCTTGACCTACTCCACCAGCCCTTTTTTTTGTAATAGGTTTTTTTCAAGATAGGGTCTCTCAAACTATTTGCCTGGGCTGGCTTCAAACTATGATCATCTTGATGATCTCTGGCTCCTGAATACCTAGGATTACAGACATCAGCCACCAGCACCTGGCTTATTTTAATTAATTAATTAATTTATTTTTTTATGGTACTGGGGTTTGAACTCAGGGTTTCATCCTTTCCAGGCCAGCACGCAGCCATTTGAGTCACACTCCCAAGTCCTTTTCTGCTTTAGTTATTTTCCAGATAGGGTCTCACATTTTTCTCTGGGTCAGCCTCTTGACAGAGATCCTTCTACCTTTATTTCCCTTGTGGCTGGGATTATAGGTACATACCACCATGCCTGGCTTATTGGTTGAGATGCAGGGTGGGGCTCACTAACGTTTTGCCTGTGCTGCCCTGGAATTGTAATCTTCCTGATCTCCATCTCCCAAGTACCTGGAATTATAGGCATGTACCATCATGTTAGGCCATTTTATGTTTCTGTGTGTGTGTGTGGTACTGTGGTTTTGAGGTTTGAACTCAGGGCCTACATCTTGTGCCACTCCACCAAGCCCTTTTTTGTGATAGGTTTTTTCAAGATAGGGTCTCGAGAACTATGCCTGGGCTGGCTTTTCCTGATCTCTGCCTCCTGAGTAACTAGGATTACAGGAGTGAGCCACTGACGCCTGCATTTTATGGTTCTTTAAAATAGTCTTTTTTTTGTTTTGTTGTCTTGCTTTTAGTGGTCCTGGGGTTTGAACTCAGGATATCACATGTGCAAGGCAGAAGCTCTACCACTTGAGCCACTCAACCAGTTTTAGAACAGTCTTGCTTTTATATTTTCAATACTACTCTATGGGATTGCACACCATGATTAGAAAGGAAGAAGGCTGAGAGTAGTTCAGTGGTAGACTACTTGTCTAGCATGTATGAGGCCCGGGGTTCTATCCCCAGCATGGAAAAAAATTGTCCTGTGTCTTTCAAATGAATAGCAAAATATTGGGATCTACCTTCATTTCTGACAATTCTCAAACTATGGTTTATTCATTCTATGAATACACAACCACTATAAATTATGTTTTCAAAGAATAATGAATTATATAAGTGCTTATGTGTGAAGTAAAAAAAAAGGTTATATGATCCTAATTTGTAAACTTGTATTATAATCAGGTCAGATTTTCTTCCACTTTATGGCCTGAAAAAAAGGTTGCTGTAAGCCAGTATAATGGTGCACATCTATAATCATAGAACTCAAGAGGCAGACGCAGGAGAGTCAAAAGCTCCAGATCTGCCTAGGCAACTTAGTGAGACCCTGCCTCAAAAAATTTAAATTAGATTAAACCCTGGTGGCTCACGCCTATAATCCTAGCTACTCAGGAAGCAGAGATCAGGAGGATTGCGATTTGAAGCCAGCCACAGCAAATAGTTCCTGAGACCTATCTCAAAAAATACCCACCCAAAAAAGGGCTTGTGGAGTAACTTATGGGAGAGTGCCTGCAAGCGTGAGGCCCTGAGGTCAAACCCTACTATGCCAAAAAAAAAAAAAAAAAAAAAAAAGATAAAAATAAACTTAAAGGCTGTTTCAGTTCTAGGTATCATGCTCATACTAATAACCTAAGCAAAAAGGTAGGGATTGTGAGGATCTGAGTTCAGTCCCCAGGAGGGTAAGAAAATAAGAGCCAGGACTGGTGGAGTTGCTCAAAGTGTAGACCGCCTGCCTAGCAATGTGAGACCCTGAGTTCAAACCCCAGTGCTGCCAAAAAAAATGGTGGGAGGCAATGAGAACTTTTTTTTTTTTTGCACCTGGCCCTTTTCCTTCTTTTGATGCTCCAGTCCCCAAACTGACTTAACTGACTTCCTCTTACATCTTGACTGGGTCAGAATCATCCCGAGTTGCAAGGGAAGCCAGAAAAGTGAGTATTCAGCAGAGGCTCATGCTTAACCCCTGGGGCTGGCACACTGCCACCAGGAATGCTGTGGGGTGCTGTATGTGGTGAGGAGGGCAGAAGCTGCTGGGATAGGCAAAGTATTGCCTCACCATTTAACTACAACACATTGCTTAGCGCAATAAAACCACATCTCAAGTTGGTAATGGTGGGACTGGACGTGTGGCTCAAGTGGCCACCATTTTTATTCTTCCAAAGATTATAAAGTCTGAGGTAGTTTAGGAAAACTCCCATGCTCCTATTCCAATGACCCTGTTTTCAGCAGTAACTTTGTCCAGCTCACTCTCCTTTTGGGGCAGTTACAACAGATGGAGCACAGCCCCTAGAGCCTGCATTACAGAAAGGCTCCTGGAAGAAGCAGAGTTCAAGTTGAACAGATCCAAACAAGCATGAAATATTTCTCAGCTTTTTATTGCATTTACTCGAACCCCCTGTGGATACAGCCAAGCATGCCTTAATGGCACTGAGACACCATGAGCCTGGACTGTTGTACAGAGTTTCCAGGTTTACCAGGTTTAGGATCCTTTCCCCATAATGCCCATGAGATGGCAGTGGTCAGCAGACAAGTCAGATGAGTAAGACTTCATCATTGGTAGGAATGAGTCTCACCTAAAACTCAGCAGCTACTTCACACAGCTCTTGACCATCGTCAATGGAACCAATATTTTTTTTTCACAGTCCTGGGGTTCCAGTGTTTGAACTCAGGGCCTACACCTTGAGCCACTCTTCTTTTTGTGATGGTTTTTTTCAAGATAGGGTCTCACGAACTATTTGCCTGGGCTGGCTTTGAACCTCAATCCTCCTGATCTCTGCCTCCTGAGTAGCTAGGATTACAGACTTGAGCCATCAGTGCCCAGTGGAACCAATATTGTCAGTTTTGACTGTTAGAATGACATGATTTGAGAATTGAAGGCTTTTGGCAGTTGGATAAATATCTGATGGACACACTGAATTCCTAATTTTTTTTTTTGGTAGTACTGGGGTTTGAACTTAGGATATTTGCTAGACAAGTGCCCTGACCACACCTCCAGCCCTAGATTCCCAATTTTTAAGAAAAAGAGCCACAACTAGTTTGCATGTAATGTTTAATATAAGATACAGTGGATTGACAGTTGATGCAAAACTAAAAGTACCAGATTCAGTTCTAATCAGTAAGTTTATAACCTAGGCACTTGACAAAGAATTGATCCTGTTGTCCTGAGTCCTTCATGGCCTTCTGCACATCACCACTTTGGGGCTCCATGACCAATATCCCACTACTTGGAGGCTTAGGTAGAATCCAAGTGTTCCCAATTTTTCAAAGTGAGTCAGGAGACTGGCCCTAGTTATCATAGCAGGTATATTTTCAGGACAGGCTTGAGAAAGATGTGGATGGAAGTAGATTTGAGGCCTGGGTTGCTGTACAAGTCTAAGAGGCTCATAACTTCAGAGGTTAGCCTATCCACCTTGTCTTTCCTCCCTGACTGCTCATGGTAGAAAAGAAGATGACAATCCAGTTAAAGAGAAAGATTTTTCCAAATGCTCTATTTGGCATAAGCTGATGCCACTGCTGGTGCTGCCAGTAGCCAGGCACAGGTATACAAGGTCCTGAGGAATTGGGAGGAAGGAGAACAATGCAGGCAAGGCAGGAAAAAGCCAGCTCAGGTTCCTGCCTTAGGAGCCTGAAGAATAAAGGCCATGCAGTAAAGGGTAAATATGGTCCTTCTCTTTGGTCAGGCAAAGACCCTAGTATGGGCCTCAAAGGCAAAAAAGGGCTGAAGGGTGCAGGCTCAGCCCTGGGGCCCTAGCTGCAGGCTCATCAACTGAGGTGGTAATGCAGCAAGAGGCAAGGCAAGAAGACAGTAGAGTCAGGCTGGTCACCACCAGATCCTAGGAGTTGCCCTTGTCTTTGTCAACCATCAGATCATACCTGGGAAAACAAGGACAGGGCTCAGGTAGAATGATGACTTGTAGCCTTTTATAAATGAGATGCATTCTAAGGGCTCCTATACTTTGTAGAATCAATAGTTCTCAGCCTAGATTACATCCTTTTTTCCCTTCTTGTGACCGGAATTTCTCCTTCTTGAATATCCAGCCTCAGAGTCCTTGCTCCCATTTCCTGCGTGGGGAACAGGAAATGCTTCTCTCTCTTCCCCCCCCCCCCTTATTCCTTTCCTAATAAACTTTACTGTTACTTTTACTAAAAAAAAAAAAAAAAAAAAAAAAAAAAATTCAGCCCCCACCCCCGCCCATTCAGACACTTACCACTGAGCTGCACCTTGGGAAAGGTCTATCTCAGCTAGGTCCAGCTGTACCTGCATTGGAGGATGGTGAGGAAGATGCTTTGATACCTCCAAAACCATACCCTTGGGCTTATGATGTGGCTCAAGTGGTAGAGCGCTTGCCTAGTAAGTGCAAGGTTGAATTCAAACCCCGGTACTCCAAAAACAATGTCCCTAAGCCACACATGGTGATGCATGCCTATAGTCTCAGCACTTGGGAGGCTGAGACAGGAGGATCTTGAATTCAAGGCTAGCCTGGGTTGCATAGCCAGCTTCTATCTCTCTTTTTTTTGGTGGGACTCAAATTTGAACTCAGGACTTCACACTTCAAAACAGGCTCTCTACTGATCGAGCCACATCCCCAGTCCATTTTGCTCTGGTTATTTTAAAGATGGGGGTCTAACAAATTATTTGCCCGAGCTGTCCTCACATCACTATCCCCTCAACTTCAGCCTCCCAAGTTGCTAGGATTACAGGCATGAGTCACCAGCACCCAGCCATGAGACCTCTCAAAAAAAACCATGTCCTATAATCACACACTCCTGGCCCCAAGTCACTGCAGAGGTGATATGGTCACCTGGGATGCTTCTTCCAAGACCAGAAAGCCTTGATCCCAGCAGTTTCTAACTCATCTCTGCCCTGCCCTCTTACCTTCCCCAAAGGCTCACGCTCTCTTGACATGAAGGAGGAAGTGGACTTCACAGAGATATCCAGCTTTCGCCTGACAGCCTCATCTAACGGCAGTTCCCACTCAAACCTGGGGAGGGGCCAGGTATTAAGACCAGAGGTCCAGCCCAAGTTTTCCACCTCTACATCCAAACGTCCACTCACTGACCGTTCATTGAACTCAGGATTGAGGGTCCTCTTCTTCTGTGAGGTCTTCCTCTTGGTGCCTCGGTTCTTGTCTGGCAGTAACAACAGTGACACATAGGGGTCAGGAGGATCTCGTCCATTTTGTTGAAGGGCCCTGCAACAGGAGGATGTAGGTGATAAGGTAACCCAGGAAAAGGGATGGAGATAACCCTAGAGGACAAGAGGGTGAGGGTCTCACCGGCAGCTGTGAATAATGCTGACCAGCTTTCGTTCTTCACTGTAGTACCATATTGTCAATTTCACCTGGCCCAGAGGGCCAATGGGAGCCTCAAGGGGACTGTGGAGAGATGGAGATGATAGGTATGGGAGAAGGTAGCACCTACGAAACCCGTAACTCAAACCTCATATTCCTGCCTACACCCTCTCTCCTGTCCCAGCCCTTACCTGTCACCATGAGCGAGGCGCTGCCGTAGTTCTGGGGCTGAGGAGATGATGTGAGCAGTACCCCCCCAGAGCTCTGGTTCTTCACTCAGAGAGGAGGAGCTATGGCTATAACTGTGGCTGTGAGCTTCCACTCCTGAATGCTGTGACACCAGGATCTAAGGGTAAGAAAGCTGTGAGCTGGGCAGAGTTCTCTCAGCAAACTAGCCAAAAGGACATGATCCTCTGTTTCCACCCTCCTGAGTGTCCTTCAGCCATGAAGGCCCTCTCCTCTCCCTCCTTCCCTCCTTGCCCTCCCTCCTTCCCTCCTTGCCCTCCCTCCATTTCCTAGCACTTACCCCTAGCTGTGCTCTCAGTAACACCTGCCCCTGACCAGTGGTGAGCGAAAACCAGCGGTCCAAGCAGAGCCGGTCTGCCTCCAGGAGCTCTGAGAGGGGCAGTGATAATGACCCCAGGGCTCCAGTCCCCTCTCCCCGAACCTGTGGGGCAACAGGACTGTGATCAGGGGCAAATGGATGGATGAATTATTTAATTCTGGTGTGCAAGGTCCAAACCTTTGGACTCTTGGGTAGTTTTGGTGAGATTCCCCTTGGTGGAGAGCAGGGAATCCATGGCAACAGCTACTGGTCCCTCTTTAATTTACCAAAGTAGACTCTACTATCTACTTCCTACTTCCTAAGCTTTCACAAATTTACTAGCACGGTAGTACCTACAGAATGAAGAAAAGAATGATAATGAAATTAAAGATAAATGTTTCTTGCCCATTCTACCCTCATTTTCATATTCCACATGTAACAACTTTTAAAATTCTCCTATTAGACTGGGGTATACCTTGGTAGAGTATGTGCTTAGCATGCATGAGGCCCTGGGTTCAATCTCTAACACCAATAATAATAATAATAATAATAATACTTATTTTCTTCATTCTAGTATAATTCTAATATGCCTATCCCTCTATTTCATGATTGACCAACTTAAGAAAGTATCTACTGATTTCCTTCTATGAACAGTGAGGAATTAAGCTCATTTATACCTCTTCCATACTGCTACTAGTATTAATAGTTAATTATTTCTTAATTCTGTTAGTTTTTATTTTATTTCACGTAATTCTCTTCTTACTACTTACTATTCCTTTAGAAGCTGGTTCTTTTTTTTTTTTTGTGGTACTGAGGCTTGAACTTAGAGCCTACACCTTGAGCCTCTCCACCACCAATCCTTTTTTTTTTTTTAATTAGTTTTTTAGATAGGGTTTCTCGAACTATGTGCCTGGGCTGACTTTGAACTGTAATCCTCCTGACCTCTGCCTTCTGAGTAGCTAGGATTTCAGGTGTGAGACACTGGCGCCTGGCTTTTTTTTTTTTTTTTTGATAGGGTCCTGTTATGTAGCCCAGGCTGGCCTCAAACTTTCGGTCCTGCTGCCTCAGCCTCCTGAGTGCTGGGACTACAGGTATGTACAACCGTTGCTGGCTAGAAGGTATCTCCTGATGCCCCACTCCAGGAAATCATCACTCCTGTATTACTTTCCAGCCATCCTCTCTCCCTGCATCCCATACCTCTCCACTTTTTGTTTTCCAATCAACTCACTAAAATCTACTTTCTACTCCATCCGGACCACTGAAGATACTCCAAATCAGTGATGTACTCTCCAAAGTCAATAAATAGTTTTCAGCCATCTCATTTTACCTTTTGGCAACATTTGCCACTTCCTCTTTTGGTTTCTGTAACACATTCTCTTATACTGCTGTGGCTACATTACATACTCCTTGAAGAGCTCTTCTTCCTTCATCTGACCTTTAGTTGTTAGGGTGCCCAACATATCCATCCCATCTTCTTTTCACTTTACACATTTTCTACGAGATCTCACCCATGACTACAATTGCCAACTGCTGCTTGCTTGTAGTGCTCCAACAAGAGGGAGCAGGAACACCACATGGATGGTCCCCCTTGGATGTCCCTTGGTGATCTCAAATTGAAAGATTCTCTCTCTGAGCTGGTGCTGGTGGCTCACACCTATAATCCTAGCTACTTGGGAGGCAGAGATCAGGAAGATCACAGTTCAAAGCCAGCCCAGGCAAACAGTTGGTAAGACTCTATCTCTAAAATACCCACCACAAACAGGGTTGGCAAAGTGGCTCAAGTGGTAGAGCACCTGCCTAGCAAGCATGAGGCTCTGAGTTCAAATCTCAGTACTGACAAAGAAAAAAATATCCTCTTCCTGAGTACTCCTTGTGTCAGCAGTGACACCTTCCTCTATCCAGCCATCACATGCCCCAAACCGAGGAGTTAGCATCTAGGCTGTTCCTTGTTCCTCCCCTTCCCTCTTAAAACAACCAGCAAATCCAGCAGGCATTTGTCATTTCTTTTAGCATGATCATCCTAAAATGCAAATCTTTTTTTTTTTTTTCAACCTACTTTTCTCTCTCTCTTTGCAGTACTAAAATGCAAATCTTGATATCACCCCTCATGCCTTCAAAGGTTTCCCATAGCCTTTAGGATGAAATCCAAATTCTTAGCATGATATTCAAGAGCATCTATGATCTTGCCTACCACTCTATAATAACTCTGCATTCTCTTTGCTCTACTCTGTTCTCAGCCTGAAGAGTTTTCCTGCTTTTCTTTTTCTTTTTTAGCAGTACTGGGGTTTGAACTCAGGGCCTCATACTTACTAGGCAAGCTCTCTACCACTCAGCCAGCCCTACTAGCCCTTTTTGTGTTGGGTATTTTCAAGATAGGATCTGTCAAACTATTTGCCCAGGCTGGCTTCAACGAGCCACAATACTCCTGATATCCACCTCCTGTAGCTAAGATTACAGACATGAGCCACTGGCGCCTGACTTGCCTCTTTTTTCTTGGTCAGAGCCTATCTGCTATAAAGTTCCAGGGTAATCTAGGGATGCCTTTCTTACTGCCTCCACCTCATCCTGATTCTAATAGAATCCTTCCTTTCTTCTCAGTAACTTTTAATTAGTTACTATTCTAAAAGTATTTTCTGGTTATGTTTTTCCCAAAACAGAATGTGAACTCTACAAGGATAAGAACTCGATGTCTCACTTCTGATTGCCCTGTGCCTGTTCAGTGCCTGTTTCATGGTGGGAATCTGCTAAACATTTGTGACATGGGTTTATAGTACCTGTAACTCCAGGCTCTCAGTGTGTGGCTTGCTGATGAGAAAGGAGGCAATTTCATCCCACACAGGGGCTGACGCTTGGGGAACAGTCTGGTGGAGATGAGGGATTATGATCAATGGTTGATACACAACTCTCTACTCCTTTTTCCTTCCTATGTTTTTTCTTTTTTTTACAAGGCCAATGATATACCATTCCCTCCCATTCTTAACATTGCATCATTTTTTAATACCTTGGTTTTATGAGAAGTCTCTCCCACAGTGAGAACAGCATAAGGGCTGGGAGGCTTGGTGCCTTTTCGCAGCTGGAAAGAGAATATCATGTTGTCTTAAACTTGAACCTAGTTAGGCAGATCTCCCACTTACAAATTACAGCCACAACCAGTGACCAGGTCTCCATTTTTACTTGACAGGCCCTACACTCACAGTCTTGGACAATTTTCCCGTTCCAGCACAACCCTCAGAAAGGAAAGAGCCATTTACTATTCCAAATCTGCAAGGAATATCCACACTTGAGGGAACTGAAGGAAGGGCTAGGGAGCTATGGAGTATGGGTAATAGCTCTCACCGGCAGGTCATCTGCCCGTTCCAAGTAGACAGATAATAGGGCTGCTGCCAGCTCTGCACTCTTCTGAGTCTGAATCAGACTGTTCACCTGCAACACCTGGGGGAGGGCACACAGTGAGCTGGGGATGGGAACTGACACTGTGGGTCCTGACATGTATCTTGGAAGCTGTGAGAAGGGCTCACCCTGCCCCATCGTTGTCCCTTTCTTTTTCTAGTCTCCTCCCTTACCTCCTCTAACTCAGCGGCAGAGGGCCGGGGGGTCAGACGCTCCAGGCGCAAGTGCAGGCGGCCAGATGGGACATCCTCCAAGGTCAGCCACTATAGAAGTAGGTGGGTAAGACTTGAGGATGTGGGGTAGGAATGTTTAAAATGAGGCTTGGGTCAAGATCAGCAGACGAAGTCTAATCCCATGCTTACCTCATCAAGGAAGCCACTGTTTAGGACTGAGGTGAGACTCACTTTACACCTGTGGAGGAGCAAGATCAAGACAAGAGGCTGATGGTCAGACTCCATGGCCTAAAGAACCCAGTTTATCTGCCCACCTGTTCTTTTCCCCTCTCACCTGCCCAGAAAGTCATCCTTGTCCAAGTCCTTGTCAAAGACTTCAACCTCTAGCTCTTGGCCTGGAATTGATGTGACAATCACCTAGTAGGAGAAAATAGAGCAGACAAAAGGAATTCTCTATTTTCCTTTTGATCAAGTGAACCATAGAAATTTTTGGACCATTTTTAGAGCTGAGGGGAAGAATGAGGTAGACTGAGAGGAGTACCAGCCACTCAGTTCTGACCTCAAAAACTTCATTCCAGTGGGGGTTGAGATCTTCCCGAACAACACGGCTGCGAAAGCTTCGTCCTGCCAGCTTTAATTTAACATAGGGGTCTGACTTGCCCTTTACTAGTCCCCCTAAGAAACGGTCTTTGGCAATCAGGTCCTGGGCCTCTAATACATGGATCCGAAGGACATTCTGCAAAAAGAACAGATGGTAGTGTTTTGCTTAGCGTGCTCGAGGCCCGGTTCAGTCCCCAGTACCATGGACAGATGAGCACCAGATGGCAGTCAAAGGGGAGGAGACCTCTCAGAACCAGTCCTGAAACAGACTTTGCACACTTAGGGTAGGCAAACAAACTAATGCTTTTCAGATATCAACTCACCTCGGTTCCAAAATGACTGTCAGGAGTTGTGTGACAGGGTCGAGGTGGGGCATCCACACTGCTACCTTTCTGGGGGCTCTCACTGTCCAGGTCCCAACCACCAGGAGTACCAGGCACAGTGGAGAAGCAGATTTCTGATGAATCCAAGTACAAGATCTGGGAACGGCAGTGCAATGTGGTTATGAAATCCAGAAAGTTCAGCTGGCCATCAGCAGCCAAGGTGTGTGGGGACTAGGGGACATAGAAGGGGTTCCTACAGGGAAACCAGCTCCCTGACTTGACTAGGCTCATCTCTAGAAGGTTTCTTCCACTCTTACCTGAACATTTTTGGTTGTGTCTACTACGTGTTCTATATATACCAGCTCATTTAATCTGAGTTGCCTTCCATTCTACACTCCATACCCCCCACCCCTCTGTACTTCCTCCATTTCCATACCCGCATGACCAGTTTCATATAAAGCCTGGAGTTTGGGCCAGAACTACTGAGTTGGAACCACTGATCCAGAGTGAGTTCAGGGGCAGTCAGTAGACGAGCCAGAGGCAGGGTCAGTGTCCCTAAAGTCAGGGCCCTGGAGTCATCCTTCACCTGCAGGCACAGAAAGAGGGAATGTAGTTAAGGGGTTTAGGGCAGTAGAAGGCATAATAAAACATGGCTCCAGCTTCATTTCTTCCCCTATCATCATAAACTTTTTGCTTCACTCAGGGTCATCTTTTTACAGTCCTCAATCCACACCACAGTCCCACCTTTTCTCCTTCTGTTCCCACTACTTGGAAATTTTTCATACTCTTCCCTCCTGCATATTTAAATCCTTGATAACATCAGTATTTTATTTCCACTTGTTAGTATTCCATTGTTTTTGTATGGTTTGATGTGTGTCTTATTTATGAAACTGGCCAGTAAGCTCTGTGAAGTAAGATACTATGTTTCATGCTTTTTTCTATGACCTTTAATATGTTGGGGATAGCTGGGTGCCAGTGGCTCACACCTGTAATCCTAGCTACTCAGGAGGCAGAGATCAGGAGGATCGAGGTTTGAAGCCGGCCCCAGCAAATAGTTCTTGAGACTCTATCTCGAAAAACCCATCACAAAAAAAGGCTGGTGGAGTGGCTCAAGGTGAAAGCCATCAGTTCAAGCCCCACTACTGCAAAAAATAATAATAATAATAATAATAATATGTTGGGGATTAAGTTTATTGAGGCATGATTTGTATACTATAAAAATAATTAATTTTAAGTATATAATTACCAATTATAAAAACTGACTGTAGATGTTAAGGGATGTAGCTCAGTGACAGAGTGCTTGCCTAGCATGCATGAAGCCCTGGGTTTGATCCCCAGCACCACAAAAAACAAAAGACAACAACAACAACAAAAAAAGCCCTGGTTCTACACTGGGCATGTTAGTACATGTCTGTAATCCCAGTTACTTGGAAGGTGGTGCAGGAAGATCTCAAGTTCAAGGCTAGCCTGGGCAAAGTTATCAAGACCCTATCTCAAAAATATAAACAAGAGCTGGGCACTGGTGGCTCACACCTGTAATCCTAGCTACTTGGAAGGCTGAGATCAGGAGGATCAAGGTTTGAGGCCAGCCCAGGAAACAGTTCATGAGACCCCCCCATCTCCAAAATAACCAGAGCAAAACAGACTGGAGGTACAGCTCAAGAGGTAGGCTTTGCAAGCACAAAGCCCTGAGTTCAAACCCCAGTCCAACCAAAACCAAAACCAAAAACAAAACAAACCAATTTAAGAGAGGTAACTGTTGAATAGGGGAAAAATACTAGGGAACATAAGGAACCTAGTAAATGTATTGAAAATAGGGGCTAGGGGACTCATGAGTGTTGTTCAGTGGTAGAACACTTGCCTAGCATGCATGAGGCCCTGGGTTCCATCCCAGCATCACAAAAGAGTTGTGATGCTTTTTTTATTTTGGCAGTACTGGGACTCACGCTTGCTAAGCAGGCACTCTACCACTTCAGTCACTCAGCCAACCCTACAAAACAGAGTTGGGGAAAAAAAATCCTTCACAACAAGAGTATGCATTAAAAGCTAGATGTAAAAAAAAAAAAAAAAAAAAAAAAAACCACAAAAGAATTAAAAAAAAACAAAACAGTATAGGTGTAGAAGAATGCAGAAAAACTGTAATTTTCACGTAAAAGTACAGGATCAATATATTCATATTTGCAAAATATACACTGGAAAATAAAAGTACAAGCCTAGAACTGTGTGAGTAGGGGATGGATTGGGAATGAATACTTCCTCTGTGTACATTTTTTTTATTTTAATGTCTTTGTTTGATCCCATTACCTTTATTTATTTATATGTTTATTGGTAGTACTGGAGTTTGAACTCAGGGCCTTGTGCTTGATAGGCAGGCACTGCTTTTTAGTTATTTTTGGGATAGGGTCTCCCATTTATGCCCTGGCTGTCTGGACTGAGATCCTACTTATGTTTCTTGCATAGCTGGGTATGATAGACATGTGCTATCATACCCAGCTATTGTCTAAGATGAAGGTCTTGCTAACTTTTTGCCCAGGCTGGACTCAAACAGCAATTTTCCTTTTCTCTGCCTCCTGAGTAGCTGGGACTACAGATGTAAGCCTTTTTTTAAGTTTGTGAGATGGGAAGTTTTTCTTCTACCTAACATCTCCTTCCCCTAATTCTCTTTTCCTAAGGAAAGCATTGCAGTGGTGTCCTTTCAGTTATTCTATACATCTACCCTACAAAGAGAAATGTATGTAAGTGAAAAGAAAAAAAAAAAAAAAAAGGTGATTATCTCACTTGCACATCAATCTCCTGGCTTCGAGGGTCTTGCAGGAAGAACCGGAAAGCTTCTTCCCACACTGGGGAGTTGGTGCTGTAGACAGCCTGGATGGGGAGGATAGGATAAGGGTAAATATCACAGCACCATTCCCATTTCTCCAGAAACCTTGGCCCTTACAGGCATTCTAAATAGAAGCCTTCATCCCAAGAACAGTCCTCCCTTCAGCCCCTACACCTAATGCCCCCACAAAAATGTCCTGGCCCTTACCTTGCTCTCCTGGGTCACATCTTGAATTGATAGTTGTACCATAGGGTTGGGTTCCTTGTTCCCCTTCTTCAGCTGGAAGGGGGTATAGAATTCAGAAGTCACCATTTGGATGTTTGGGTCTTAGTGAAGGAACATGAGATCACACCAGAATTTCCTCCTGAGGTGGACCTGACCCCGCCTTAGAGCCCTTGCATCTCACATTGTTGCTTTTGAAGCAGTGCAGGCAGGAGTATTTGCGTTCTCAATAAGGGGGGGGGGGAGTGCTTCTTCCAGGGTCCCTGTTCACCCACCATAGAAACCAAACTCACAGGAAGATCCTGAGCCCGATCCAGATAGACAACTAGGATGGCAGCTGATGGGGGCTCTGGTCGAGAGGAGACACCCCGATTCCACTGTAGAACCTGGGGTTGGGAAAGGAAGTAGTACTCAGACTTTGGTCCCCCCAGTCCCTGGACTACTACCTTGCCAGCTTCTTGTTTCCTATAAGGATTACCTGCTCCAATTTTTCTGCATCTGGCAAAAGTGACAGCCACTCTAGTTTCAAGTGAACTTGGCCTTGCCCACCTTGTAGAGGGAACCACTGAAGGGAGAAGTAGAAGCAAATGAAATATAGTAGATTTCAGATATTACCCATCTACTTCCATGTAGCAGCTATGGCCTGCCCCTGAAGTCACTCCCACCTTCCTCTTCTCCCAACTTACTTCATCCAGTACTCCAGTCTGTAATACCTTCCCTACATCCAGCTTCATTCTGTGGGGTGGAGGGGAGAGGGTAGTAAGAGGAAGAAAAGGAGAGTATTGTACTTAGTAGCATGTCAGCGGCCCTTCACCCACCCACCCAGGAACAATTGGCAGATCTCAGACTCCCTTCTCACACTCAGGAGGGGGGTGTGTGTGGGTATGTATGATATGAATCCCAGTTCCAGAAATCAACTATAATTACCTCTAGGACCTTGATAGCAATGGAACTTCAGAATCAATACAGGCAAACTCACCTGCCCAGAAAGTCATCTTTATCTGGATCCTTGTCGAACACCTCCACCTCAATCTCCTGCCCTGGGACCTCATGTACTATCACCTGCAGAGCACAGAAGGCTAAGGTCTTGTGGGTTGCAGCTGTTGAGGTTCATCCAATCAGCATGTCTCACAACCTCTCAGAGTCTCCCAATTTCACACAGCCTAGCTCCTCCTTGGCTTCTTACCTCGTAAGTCTCTCCCCACTGAGGATTGAGGTCCTCATCGATGACACGACTGCAGAATGTCTGGGTGCCCACACGCACAAGTGCATAGGGATCTGACTTGCCTTCAATCAGACCCTTCACGTATTTATCCTTAGAACTCAGCCCCCGGGCAGCCAGCAGGTGAATCCGAATAATGCCCTGGAGTTAGGAATCAACTGGTGAGAATCTAAGGAGCCAGCACAGGGCTCTTCAGAGAAGGATCTAGCTAGTGAGAGAGAAGCCATACCCTGGGCAGAGGGGAACGCAACTGGGCCACATCTTGAAGGTCAGGCACAAGGGGCACCAATAGTCGGTTGGGCAACACGAGGAAGGCAGCAATAGAATCCATGATCATGGTGTCAGAGAGTGAGCTGAAATGGGGAGTGGAAAAGGGATATGGCCCCAGCTTCCAGTTTTCCCTCAAACCCAGCTGTATTTCCTACTGCAAAAAGACTTAAATCTATAAGGAAGTCCTTTCTTGAACTCATTCTTGGTACTTTTTTTTTTAACCCTGTTTACCCACCAACCACTGTCTCTTCATTGTCATCTCCAGCTTTTCTCTCTTTCTGCCCCTGCTTGGGCAGCCTTCAGGCCCCGCAGAAGAAAAAACACAATATTAAACTGTTCAGGGGTATTTATCTTATTTCCCCAACTATAGCCAAGGTCTTGGAGGGCATAAGCCGCATCTTTTTTTTTTTATTTTGCTGGGGTGGGCCATACTGGGGTTTGAACTCAGGGCTCTATGTCTGCTAAACAGGAGCTCTACCACTTGAGCCACACCTCCAGTCCTCTTCGCTTTTGGCTATTTTTGCAATAAGGTCTCACATTTATGCCCAAGCTGTCCCAGGCCACGATCCTTCTATTTTTCCCTTCCCACTCTAGCTGAGGTTGCCACCATGGCCAACTTTTCTCTGTTGAGATGGGGTTTTATGAACTTTTTTACTAGGCTGGCCTGGAACCATTATCCTCCCTATCTCAGCCTCCCATGTTAGCTGGGACAGCAGGCATGTATTACCCCACCCAGCTATGGTTGGGATGGAATCTCATGAATTTTTTGCCTGGGCTGGCCTCAAACCATGATTCTCCCCTTCCACCTTCCCAATTAGCTAGGATTATAGGCACAAATCATCAGAGCCTGACTAGGCTGCATCTTTTACTGCTTTAAAATCCTTAAGCCCTCGACCCAGGCTGAGATACTTAGTAGGTGCAAAATCCTTAATACCTAAGTCCTGGGATATCCAGCAGGTTGGTCATCCCTGTCCAGTTGATGTCTAGGATCTGGAAGAAAAGGGCAGGATGGTCAGGACAGATTGTTGTAGCCCATTCAGTTGCTGCCAGGCCCCTGAGCCTTTTGTCCTTACTCTTATTCCCCATAGCCACCTACCTTCACCCTTCCACTCCTTTCTCCCCATTCCACCTCAATGTTCTCCCTTACCGGGCGTCGGATAAAGAACATCGACACAGCCCCCACGATAGGAATGTCCCCCAGGAGTGGCTCAAGAATCACCCGCAAGATGCCGTGTAGCTAGGGCAAGAAGAGAAGACCAAAGCTTTTCCCCAGAAAAAGCTCTCTGCCCTCCCAGGCTTCCCCAGCCTTGGTTTTTCCAACCTCCCACGTCTACATTTCCCATGGAAGTTAAGGCAAACACTATTATTAGGGCCCCCAACATCTGTCCTACCTGCATGCCCTTGACTCCTGCTTTGCAGAAGTATTTCTTTACTTCTACATCAATCTGCACATCACCTACATAGCTGGAAATTGGTGAGGAAGAGAATAAAGAAGGTTAGTAAGGAGAGTGAAGGAGCCAGGAGTGACCAGGACCCACTCATGGAAAACAGGAAGAATGGTGAGTGATGTTACCTGATGTTCAAGTCCAGCAGGATCTGATCTTTTCTCTGACTAGGATGAACCTTGACTCCTATGATACGCAGTGGCTGGAGAGAAAGGAGACCTTGAGAGAGGCAGGAGAGAAAGGGAGGCACCCCTTAACCCCCTTTGTCCATCTCCTCCCTCACATACCTTTTCACCCAGTTCCACTCGTGTAAATGTGAATGTTTGCAGATGGGGGTTAGATCCCCGAACAGCTGGGGCCACAGTCTCAGCCAGAAGCTTCTCCATGTATTGACCCAGAAAGGGCCAGACCTGGGCCACAATCTGAGAGGAAAGAGAAACAACAGAGGACAGCTCAGTCTTCCCTCTAAACGCAAGTTCTTTCAGAAATTTCCAAGGACAGCCCTGGGGACTATGCTTGGGCTAGAACTAAGAAGAATGAACTGCCAGCCCAGCACCAGTGGCTCACACCTGTTAATTCTAGCTACTAAGGAGACAAGATATCAGGAGTATCGAGGTTCAGAGCCAGCCCAGGCAAATAGTTCTTGAAACCCTATCTCGAAAATACTCATCACAAAAAGGGCTGGTGGAGTGGCTCAAGGTGAAGTCCCTGAGTTCAAGCCCCAGTACTCCAAAAAAAAAAAAAACCAAAAAAAAACCTCCCAGTCTCTCCTCTGGAAAAATAAAAATCAGAAATCAGAAAAGTCCTCACCTTGTTTAGCCATTCAGCCTTTTCCACATCTGGGAAGCTGACCTGGAGATGGGGAAGGCAGAGACAGTGATAAGTACACGTTCTGCTTATGCTTTCTAAGAGGCCAGTGGGGTGTCCACAGAAGAGAGAACATGTCCATTTGACAGGCTTGTCACATCCAGGGGCTGGGGGATGTCCTGATGTTTTTTTCCCTCAGAATTTGGGGATACTGAGGTCTGTCAAATTAGGGGAACTAGTAGGGTGTAGACCACATGAAGATGCTGTGTGGATAGCTCAAAGATGTGAACTGGCAGCTGCTGAAGCAGAGAGGAGGAGAAGGGTACATTCTTTCTGGAGGGTTAGTCATGTCAAATCAGAGCTTGAGGAATCCTGGGATTGAAAGAGTCCTGCGTCTTTGTCCAGCCTTCCCTCCTCCCCTCCAATTGGATTCCCATACCAAGAAGCTGAAGAAAGCAAATCCTTGATTGGGATGGGGCATAGAAGAGTTACTTAAGATGTGTTCTCTCTCTCCTTCTTCCCTCTTCTCTGTTTTTCTCTTTTCCTGTGTGACTCCTTTTATGGGAAAGGACACCTGTGCTCTGGTATGTAGGAAGGATTGAATTCCATCATGAATAGCAGGAACAGACAGTTGCTGCCTGGACTCCAAGTCCCCCAGGACCATTTCTGTTCCTTTCTTCTTTCCAGTCCAGGGCTTGGGAAGCAGGCCTGTGTCTGGTTAATGTCTGCCATTCTCTAACTGGTACCTTTGCCGGGAGGGGCAGGAAGGGCAGTAGGAAGGGACTGGTAACGGGCCCTCTTCTGCAACGTCAGGGAGAAGGCATCTGCTTCAGCCCAGGAGCCAGTGCGCAGAAATGAGGGTCTGGGTCAGCAGAGCAAACGCAGCCCACAGTCCGGAAAAGGGTGTGGCCGCCCAGGGGCGGGTGCAGTGGGGGCAGCGGGAACTGCAGCAGCCGCACTACCCTCTTCCCAGCACTCCCCTGCGCCCCACGCCTTAGCTCAGCCGCTGCCTCCGCTTTGCTGCAGCCCAAGGCTGGAACGCGACCGCTATGGGTCAACCCATGTGCTTGGGCTCACGCTAAGCAATGGTCCCGGGGCTGGGTCCCAGCGGGTACCCGGGAACAAGAGCAGGAAACGGGAAAACTTTATGCCTTAAGTAGGTTAAAAATATATATATCTCGAAGAGGCTAGGAAAGGCGAGGGAAACTCTGGGCGATGACGGGGACCGGGATGCCCAGAGGCAGAGCAGCAACAGCGCGAGCGTTGCTCACCAGAAGCAAGGAGGAGAGTTCAAGCCGACTAGGCTGGGAGGAACAGCCTCGGCTGGGAACGGACCCCCAGATGTTATATTGCTGTTGCCCAAGAGTAGAGGAAGAAGTCCTGATTATGTGGAAGCGTCCGCGCTGTCCCGCGGCAAAAGTGGGTGGGAAAACTGGATAGTCGGTGCCAAGAGTGGCGCGTTAAGCAAGCAAGAGGCTAGCGGGACGAGAAAGTCTGGGGCCCACTGTCCCTAAATGGGGAGTTGACTTTAAGCGGAGGCAGAGGACTAAGAAGAGAGCTGTGCTGCACCAAAGGCTGAAAGGGGTGGCTCACCCAAGCAGGTAGCTCTCGATGGCTCATGTAAAGCGTTTTTGCCGTGAGCCGCTCCTCGTCGTCCAGTAGCTGCCTTGCTGCCCGAAGGCTCCGTTCTTTCTCGTCGCGAACCCGGCGCCAGCCCAGGTAAAGGGCGAGGCCGAAGAGCACGAAACCCACGCTGAGACCCGCTGCCCCGGCCAGGTACACAGGCACCAGCACCAACAACCGCCTCCCGAACGAAGTCAGCACTGCTAGGGCCTCCCCCGCCGCGCTTGGGCCAGATGGGACCCCAGAACCCGGGTCCGGCTTTGTACGAGCAGCAGGGGGTTGGCCAGGGGTGTCGGAGGGAGCAGAAGGCTGGTCCTTGAGATTTAGGCTGGGGCTAGAGCCCTCGGGGCTGGGACTAGTGCCCTCTCGAAGAGAGCGCTCCATGGTGCCGCCACTTAGAGGTCCCGCGGGATCTACAGACCAGCTGAAGACTGCCTAGTCTTTTTCGGCCAGCACCCCGCTTGCAAACCGGGATCCTCAGGCTGGAGGAGGGGACCTCAAGCCACGCCCCCACCTCTGACGGTTTGGTTGGTCAGCGCCGCAAAGACTGAGGCGGAGTCAAAAGGTTGAAACTCTGCCCCTCCTCTGCAGGAACGCAAGGGAGCTGGTTCCAGATAGGCAGGACCTTCCTGATTGGACTAGAGTGCCAAAGATGGGCGGTCTGTGATGGCTGGAAAAGGAAGAAAGGTACTAAAAGGGCAGCATTTGATTGGTAACAAAGAGGAGGCGTGGTGTACCTTTTATAGAGGCGGGACCAAGTGCTCCTCCCACGTGGGATGAGAGCGCCTGTGGTATGACATCATTCAGACTGCCAATTACTGGATTTTAGAGTGCGCTGGATTTGCGATTGTCGAGAGGTTGCGGGTGGTCAGGATTTCCTTACACCAATACAGACGGTTTCACATTATTTGATCTGGTACTGTTATATGTTTATTTGTCAACTTTCCCTAAGTTTTGACACTTTAAGCACATTGCTTATCCTCTAATTTTTTTTTAGGCTCCCCTTACAATTGGAAAGAAAATGGCCTTCTTTGGAATGAAAACTTTCGATAACAGAGCGTTTACCCCGATCCCAGTTCCCAACCCTAGCAGGGAAAAATCAGAGGATTTAGCAGAGAAAACTGGAGAACCAGCATTACAGAGTTCAGACAATCCAGCCTTCAGGAAAGGGGAAGAGGGAAAGTGAGGTTTTCTTTCTTTTTGGAAATCTCCAAGTTGATCATACGTATCATAGAGGATAGATTAAGGCTAAATCGGCTCCAAAAGGGGGTAGGGCTCAAATGTAGCAGAAATCACTACAATTTCCAAGAATTTCATGACCCTGAGGAATTTATAGGACACTAAAATGAGGAATCAAGAGTAGTGAAACAATTCAGTGTCTCATTTGTCTGAGTTAGAAGAAAAGTTAGGAAAACTGTCAGGTATTACAGTACTATGTAGATTTAGGTAGGAAGTTAAAAGATACAATGATGATGTCTATTACTAGTTTACTAATCTTAGAGGTAGAATGCTGTCAAGGGATCTGAAAACTATACTAATTGCAAACCAAGGAGGAAAGGATTGGTCGTAAAACAATTACCTTTTAATGCAGTACATATGGCTCCTACTGTGTTATGGTGCATTACACAGTAGTAGAACTAGGGCTGGTTGTTGAGGAAAGAGTAGATCTGCAGCTGATATTTTTATCTGGCTCTGCAGGGCATAGATTTCATCAGGCAGTGTTTCATCAAACCAGTTGCTGTTTAAATCCCGTTGCTACCCAGCTTCCCTCCCTTACTCTTAAGTTTTTTCACTTCTCTTTCTCTGGGGCTGGCAGTATTTAGACTAGCAGTATTTACTCAGTTTGCAGAACCATATAAGGAACAATTTTCTATCTGCCACCTATGCTCTCCATATTCTCAGAGGTGAGCAGGTATAAAAAAAGGGAAACTAGGAGCTTGGAAGAGATATAGATGATCTTCTTGCCAAGTGATGAAGCAGAACTACAGCTGGAAAGCAGATTAAACTCCTTAGACAGAGCTCTCTATAAACTGAAATTTGCAAAGCACTAGAGTAAAGGAGGGAGTTCCCCAGGCTGGGGAGTGGACGGGGTGATCTCTGGAGGCTTCTTTCCAAAGTTCTTTCCTTCCTTTCTCTACCCAGATCATCACTCTCTTACTTAAGACCTTATATAAGGGAAAAAAATCATTCTCAGGAAGGTCTTTCCTGAGACCTGGGAGCCATAGGATCAACACTGCAATGCAGTTAGCAGCATAAATACACAGGGACGGTCTCCACCCATTGGCAATCCTGCTCCCCAGATGCCACCTGCTGGTAGTAAACCATAAATGGACAACAGGAAGGGATGGTCTTTTGTTAAAGGAAGTGTCTTACAGGGTGGGGCTTAAGTGAGAGGAGAGAGTACTTCCTGGACTTGAAATCCTGTATGTAAACTGCAATTGCTGCCAAGGGAGGGTCTGGAGGAGGCAGAGGGTCAAATCTGGTACTCTGGTCTCAGCACACTCACAAAGATGGAAAAGGCAAGATTTGAAGAAATCTTCTGTATTATTCCTCAAAAGTTACTGCCAAGCAGTAGTCCCACTTGTTGGATGACTCTATCAGATCTTTCTTATGCTAAGTCCAGAATCAGACTGCCTGAATAGATTCCTGGCCCTATTTCTTACTAGTTGTAGAACCCTACGCAGGTAATTTTTTAAACCTCCTTTTCCCTGGCAAAAAGGGCTGGGAGTGAGGCTCAAGTGGTAGAAAACCTGCCTAGCAAGTGCAAGGCCCAGAGTTCAAAATTCAAGTACCAAAAAAAAAAAAGTATCTAATAGTACCTACTGTGTCATTAAAATACATGTAAAGTGTCTATCACAGTACATTGGCTTGTATTAAGTATTTAATAAAAGCTACTATTCTAGGTCTTCCTGTTTATGTTCTATCAACAACACAGGTCTTTCCTCTACTAGGCAGCCCCACCCCTCCTTCTTTCCCTTTCTGTTTGAAGTACTAATGATTGAACCCAGGACCTCCTGCAGGTACTAGGCCTCCCAACCCAATTATTATTTTTTTTTCTTTTTGGCGGTAGTGGGAGTTGAATTCAGGGCTTCATGCTTGCTAGACAGACACTACCACTTGAGCCTTGAGCCATTCCTCCAATCCTCCTTTTATTCTTTCATTTTTTCTGTGGTACTTTTTTTTTTTTTTTTACGGGGGCAGGGTTTCTGGCAGTACTGGGGTTTGCACTCAGGGCCTCACACTTGCTAGGAAGGAGCTCTAGTACTTGAGCCACTCAGACAGTCCAGTACTAGGGTTTTCAACTCAGGGCTTCACTTTTCACACTTGCAAAGCAGGTGCTCTACCACTTGAGCCACACCTCCAATTCATTTTGCTCTGGTTATTACAGAGATAGGGTCTCTTGCTGGGGCTGGCCTCGGACTGCAACTGCGTTCCCATCTCAGCCTCCCATGTAGCAAGGATTATAGGTGTGAGTCACTAGCACCTGGCTTCAATGGCCCTCTTAAAACTTACATTTAGAAGAACACACGATACTTAGTAGTAGTTCCACTTGAGCAAAACACAGAAACTACTTTATTTACAAACCATGACTAAGACCCAACTATCCTTCTGGAGCGCCTAGAAAGGTGCCTGAAACATAGCATACTCCTAATACATGTGAATTCACATATTGTGAGGACTAAGACTTTAATTTTTAACAGCACTAGGGTTTGAACCTAGGAGCTTAAGCATGCTGAACAAGTCTTCTACCACTAAGCTATGCCTCCCAACCCCAAAATTTTAATTTTTTGTAGCCAATTGAAGGTTCCAGGTTGTTCTCATGTGAATTACCGCTAATGTGGATCTCCACATTGTTACTCAAAACAAGCACAAGGCTTTATCCTAAGCAGCATTTTAAGGTAAGAGGGGCCCAGTAACTTAAGTCAATCCAAAAGGTATTATTTAGTACTTCCTTGCGATAGTGATTTTTTTTTTTTTTTTTTTTTTTGCAGTGTTGGGGTTTGAACCATGCTAGGTAAGTGCTCTACACTGAGCTACACCCTCAGCCCTTAAATGGGCTTTTTGTATTTTTATCCAAATTGGTTTTTTTCCTCCTTTTTAAAACAAAACGTAGCCCTTGGGCTCATCACTAAAGACTAGAGATTTCTCCAACACAAATGCACTAATCAACATTCACTAGGCACAAATATTCAGCTTGATTCCTCAAATCCTATTAAGTGATCATCCTTTTCTTTTTATCTGCAATGACTCAGAGGTGACAGAGAGGAAAGCAGCTCTTGATATCTTAGGAACTGGCCTGGCCTGACACAGTGAGCCATGCTTCAGAGTTGTTAGGGCTGACATGGTGCTCACAGCTAGCCAATGAGTTCCTGTGTTGGTCCAAACAATTTCATAAAACACCAGTAGTATCAGACAAGGTCACTTAGTGTGTATGAGGAAGACCAAAAAAAACACCAATTCACAATTTCATTCAAGCACAAAATGAAGTCAGTGTACAAACCACAAAGTAGCAAACATCCCCTTCTCTCAGCTTATCAATGACTGCTGCTCCATCACCAGTTGCAGCTGTAGCTCAATTTTAGATATGAAGATACCCAATCATAAAATGTTTCATTTCCCTTGACAGCAGCCAGTCCAGAGGGACACCCACTTCTTTGAGCCTTCCCCCAAAGTACTAAACTGGGGCCTCAGTCCTTCCTAATACCCTCTTGCACACACCAGAATTCACAATGAATGGTATACTCTTTCACTATAATAATCACTAAACTCAACTTGGTCAACTACAAGTGTATTACTAGCAGCTGAAGTGCATTAATACAAGACATACAATGTCTACAGTTTCCCAAATTCACCTCTTAGAGATGGAAAGAAGAAAATGAAGTTAGGTGTGATTGAGAATTCATCTATAATCACATCTCTCTATATGCTCATAAACCATCTTTTAATAATCCAGAATTGTGTCAGAAACTAAACATTAAGCTTATGGATGTGTTGTTTTTTTCTAAAATCCATAAACAATTTTTGCTACTTTTTATCTTTAGTCCCTCCTTTTTTTTTAAGAAGGGGGTGTATGCTGCCTAGGGTGGTCTCCAACTCCTGGGCTCAAGTGATCCTCTGGCCACACCCATGTGAGCAGCTGGAACTACAGGAACACACACTGGACCATTTTTTTCCAATGACCATCCTTGATCTAGCCCACCATTTCCAACTCCAGGTATAAAACCTGAGTGATCAACCAGACCAGAGAGCAAGAGGTAGCTGAAGATACGATGAGGGAAGCACAATACAGTATCACTTCCTATGCCCCCAAATCCACTGTCTCATTAGACTAGACACCTGAGTGTTTCCCCTACACTAGCCTTGAGCAGAAGAGGAACTAAAGTTTGACTGTAGGGGCAGGGCCCCCAGCCTTAATGACCCTTAAGTGACTTAAAACCTCTGGTCCTATGTAGAGACCATGAAAGGAAAGGGATTAAACCCTAAGGCTTGTGTCCCCAGAAGAACTCCCTTTTCCCAGCACCTCCAAGCCTTAAGGCTTAAAGCATTGGCCACTAGGGAAGGGTTGGAGCAAGAGGGACATAAACTGCCATCAACAACTCAGAGAAGCAATGCCACCTGCCCTAATCTGTTTAAGGGAAGTATCTGTCAACTCCACAACATCCCAACCTCATTTCTTAGCAATACGCCCTCCTAAGTACCTGCCCCCCTAAATGACCCTAAGACAACCTGGGAATAGCAAATGCAGACAGAGACCAGAAACAGATGGGGCTATTTTTAAACTAGACTAGGTGGCTCCGATGCTTTTTCCCCCACAAAGTGTCTTCCCCAAGGCCCCTTTTGGTCTATTTTAGGTCCCCACCCTTCTTCACTGGCATCCATCCATCCAACTTACCCAACCTATGTGAGGGGTGGGGTCTTTATCCCATTTTGGCATGAGATCTACTTTATGTTCCCATCTTCCACAAAAAATATCTAAGCAAATTTCCACTGCTTCCATTTAAAAATAATTATTCTTTTATTTCTTTGGAAAGTAGTGGGCCCTGCCCTTTAGATTTCCAGGCCAAGCTAGGTAAATGAATGTTACTCTAGTGTTTGGGCTGGAGTACTATGGTCCCAGACTTCCCAGGGGCCCAGGAGCAGTTCCTGTATTATCCATACCAACTAGGCCCCAAATTGTCAGAAGGCTCCTATGAGGCCTTCTCTCCTGGTCACTCACTTCCCAATCTTTCCTGGGTCTCCTTTTAGATGGGGCATTTTTTTTCTTCCAAAACCAGTGCTAGAACCTGTGCTATTCACAAGAGAGGACAAGACCAGAGATGTCCTCAACTTTCCATAAGAGGATACAGCCCCTCAGTCAGTCCTTCCTCTGCTGGTTTCAGTGTGAACTCCTATGCAGGGCCCCACTTGAGTGAGGCCTGAAGGACAAAAGGACAAGAGGACCCTCTTAAAAGGGAGGTGAGAAAACACACCAGCCCACCCCTGCCTCAGGAAGTGCTTCTCAGAAGCATATTCCTTAGTCTCTTGTCCTAGTTCTTGAGTGAACCCTTCAGACAGGGCTGTGAGGGCTAGGCAAGTGGACAAGGGCCCCTCGACTCCAGCCCTGAAAGGCTATATCAAGGGAGTGTCCATTAGCCCCATCAGTGTGGCATGGCCGTGATGCGCATGCTCTGGGAAGCAATGGGGTAAGTCACCATGGGAGTGGTGGTGTGGCTCATTGTGATTCCTGCCAAGGGTTGGGCCATCGATACAGCTACAGGAGCCACAGGAGCCACAGATACAGCCACAGGAGCCATGGAGACAGGTGGAGGTGCCATTCCCTGGGCGATTGTTTGAGCCAGAGCAGCTGACAGTGGTGTGATCTCTGGGTTTAAGTGTGGAGGTGGGGGAGGTGGAGCAGCAGGAGGTGCAGCATTAGTTGGGGGAGCAGCTGGAGCTCCAGCAGGGGCCACCAGTTCTTGCTGGGATACAGGACGAGGCTGCAGAGCCTGACTGCTGAGAGTAGTGTGAGTCTGGGCAATGCCATGGTTAAAAGTGGCAACAGTACCCACAGTTGGGGCTAGAGTTTGCTCAGTTGCTGGTGCAGTGGAGCTCAGGGTCATGACCTTGGCTTGATTACGGAACTGAGCATTTTGTTCCAGAAGTACCTCGTTGGTGGCCAGCAGATTGCTGACCTGCTTCTTTAGCTCCTCCACACGTTTCCTGAGCATGGCATTCTCCTCCTCGAGCAGTCTGCATTCTACCCCTCGGGGTGGAGCCAAGTTATATTCATATGACTCAAAATGGGGACCATCAGGAGGGCAGCATCCACCTCGTCGGCGCTTGGGGCCTGGCTCATGGTCCTCAAAGCCCCTGTCAGGAAGGTCATAGATATCATAGAGATCATGTCGTCGCCCTGGGGGAACTGAGCCTGTTGCACCTCCACCTCCAGTGCCTCCTCCACCCCGAGCATCAAACTCAAAATCCCGTTGCAGGTGACGGAACTTGCACTTGGCTCCTCTTTGACAGTCACCTTTGAGGAAGTCACGACAAATAGGGACCTCTTCCTTGCCATTTGGTAAGTCAGCTGGTGAAAGGCCCAGGCCAGCTGCCACTTTCTGCCTCAGTCGAGGGGGAAGTTCTCCTGTCTTTTTATAGCCATCCTCATCCTCCTTGGAGCCATGGATGAAACGGCAGTTTGGGCGGCTACATTCCTTGTTCTGGAAGTCATGGCAGAAGATGAACTCATTTTTACTCACCCCCAAGTTGGATACCTCGCTCATGTCTGGGTGGCGATATCTACAACGCTTGCCTCGTTTGCATACATTCCTCAGGAAGTCTCTACAGATTGCATCTGAGCTGGCTCCCCCACTGCCTGCCCCTGCCCCACTGGCTTCCTCATTGCCACTGCCTCCGGGGCCTCCACCGCTGCTCCCAGTGCCGTTGGCATAGCTCTCCCGGTCAGGCATCCTGGTCCCCCCCAACTCAGGGCCTTCTTCCTTTTCTTGACACTCTTGGTGACTGCTAAAAAAAAGAACTGTGTCAAACAGAAGTTCTCCAGAGAGATCCCATTCTTCTTGATTATATAGCAGGCAGTCCAGTGGGGTAATGGCTTTGGAGATGGCAAATCTAAGGGACAAGAATTCTGGCTGGACTGGCTGACTTGCCAGAAGTCCCGCCCAGGCCCTCCTGCACCTGGTCTTGGTCAGTGATTCACACTTGCCTGGCTAACAGAGGAGGGAGGGAGTTGGGATGAAGCCATCCCATCTCACTAATGATGCCAGGCCAAGGAGGGGGCAGGGAGAGGATAGTGTTGGATTTTATCTTCCCTTTTGAGCTGACCTTATTAAAGTTGTGGAAGTGAAACTAAAATTGCTGTTGGTGCCCGAATAGGCTAGAAGAATGGGAATAGAGCCCCATGATGGGCTGCTTAACTGTCATTTCGTGTGGAGAATAAAACACTGATAATAAAACTGCACTTAACCCTCTTTCACGAAACCTTAGTTGAGTGCTCTTTATATATCCATCTCTAGAACCAAGAATCCTGGATGAAGAGACTGGTGTCACCAGCTTGGGGACAGTCCCTAAACCTGTCATTTTTTAGAACTTTTTTCTTAGCCCACTACCACACTCAACCTGAGACATCAGTGTTCTCTCCACTTCAGCAGATGAGTTCTAAGCTGGACTCTCCACTTCTAGATTCCCAGTACAAAACCATTTGACAAGGTCAAGGTGGGGAGGAGTTAATTTCAAAGGAACAAGTGACCTTTCCCCATTCTTCATCTCCCACCCACTCCATGAGAAGATCCCATTGACATCAAGCCACACCATTCCTTACCCCATAAAGATACTCTTTATTTATAGACTCTATAAAAGCTTTTTAAGTCTTCTATTTCCCAAGAGAGCTCTGGAATGTCAGTCCACTGCTCTAGTTCTAACCCTCCCCTCTCCCCACCCCCAATAAACTAGGAGTCCCTGCTACCACGTGTCTAACCTCCTCTTTCATAAGCAGTTTTCAAGCTCCCCCTGCTGTTCAAACAGGAAAGCTTCATTATCTGTTCCCTTTGGGCATATGGGTATCTCTTCTGATTTTGGTGGCTTTGACCTTCCCTATCCCATCACCTTTAGATCTCCCTAAAATGACTGACCAGATCAGAGGCCAGAGGTACACAGAAATCTATACAAAAAAGGGAATCTTATTCCTTTACCTTCTCTATAAGGAGGTAGCCCCAGAATAAAAGAAATAAAGAGTGGTAAAAGAGAAAATACAAATTTTTACTAAAAAGGAAATGACCAGGTAAAGAATTAATACCATCTCTCTAAGTCCCATCAGAACAGATAATCGGTTATGATACTCCTCCCCACCCAACTCTCCCAGAATTGGTACCTGAGGTAGCTCAGGTGAAGTCCGGGGCTCCTGTGGGTCTCCACCTCCACATCACTGCTGGGTTCTGAACAAGAAAAAAAAAAAAAGAGAGAGAGAGACAGACCTGGGTGGAAGAAGGAGTAAGAATGGTTTTTACACAAATAGAAATGAAGTCTGACAGAACAGGCAAGAGCTCTGGGGACTTCATGATTCCCTTAGGATTCAAACTGAACTTCACTTGTCAAAGGAACAAGTTGCCAGTAACAAGAGAAAGGACAGAACTGACTCACAAAGGCTGAGAAGATGGGTTGGAAACCCAGTTCTCAGTGAACAAAAAGTGAGGGCAGCTCTGCCTCAAGATGAAGGAGGTTGTGGGGATCAGAGTCCGGTCTAGGGCTGAAGCTAACTCTATTCCTAAGAATGCCGAATGAAGAGTCTAGTGCAAGGTCAGCACCTGACAGTGCAATGGGATGGCAGATTAGACTTGGGGGCGGTGATTATGACGCTTCCCAACACTCCAGAGTTTGCGAAAAGTCCTAGGAGTTTCCCCCCAGCAAGTCTTCTAGCTTGGCAGCCCGCGTGCGGTCTCTCCAGCACTCAGCTGAGGACCAGGTGAACAGGACACTAAGAAAGCACAAAGTGAAGTGGGAAGGGGGGCTCTAGGTGGCATCAAAATGAGGGGATGGGCAGGGCCGTGACGTCACGGAGCTGGCGTTTGCTCGCGAACCCGGTTCAGTCAGAAAAGGGGCTCTGTCTTGGGTTGTGAGGAAGACCAGATCGGTTCTGGGGTCCTGTGTGGCCCGGCAGAGCCCAGCCTCTGGGCCAGCTCCGACTCCTCCCCTCCGGGCGCGGCCTCCACCTAAGTCTCCCGCCTCCCTCACCTGCCGCCGCCGCCGTAGTTGCTGCTGCCGCCTGCCGGTCCTCTAGCTTCGAGAAAGAGCCGCCCACTCTACCGCTCTTCCGCTTCCTGCGGAAGAAGCGACACTCTAGCCATCAGACCCGGAAGCATACTCTATGGTCCGCAAAGTAGTTGTGCTACAAACCGCAGGAAATTCCCAGCACGCTTTGCGTGTCACCATGGCAACCTGACCAAGCAATACCGCGAACTCCCCAAGCAAGAGTCACGCTTTGCAGACTTCCAAGACACAGAACCCCTGGTTCAATTTCGCCCGCGAACCATGGACCATGACCTCAGACACATACTACAGCCCCCTGGGCTCCAGCCAGTTGCACTCCGCACCGTACAGCCAGGCTGTTGTTTCCAAGTTTTTTTTTTTTCCCTTAAATCTCCGTAGCGTAGCGACAGGGCACCAACTGTATTGATACAGGATCCCCACCCAATGGAACTGAGAAGAACATGGACAAGACGGTTTGATTCTTTAGCTGACACAAAAGAGATGGTTTATTGTACACGCATCACATTCGGCCACAACTGAGAACAGAACTAGTCCAGAATGCCACAGGTCCAGGGCAGAGGACCAACAGGTACAATTTGGTCATAAGCAAGGTGGGTAGTAGGCTCTCAGAGCTGGTCTTGGCGATGGAAGCTCCAGATCCACTGAGACAAATTCTAGACAAGAAGCATACAGTCCAACAACTTGTACCAGCGTCCCCTCCCGGCCTCCGCGGGTGCACAAGCTGTTTACTTGGACCTCTGCCTCATCTTTCTTCTTTTGCGCTTCAGTCTGCAAAATAGACACGAGGATACATACACCCACTTCCTGCGCACAACACTTTTTCATTCTCACCCTAAACCAAACGCGCACTGGGTACATAGAGTGATAAAGTTAACAAGCAACACAGTTCTGTCTCGGGTCCAATCACTGGTTCTGTCAAGGCAACTCGATGCCTTTCTCCAAGGAGAATCCCCTACCGCCCTCCTCCCGGGCGGGCAGTCGCAACGTACCTGCGCATTCGCTTCTTTCTCCACTAACAACCCGATCGTCAGAGGCAGATAATTTAAAAAAATTTAAAAAACAAAACCAAGATTAATCATATTCACAAATTTAGGTAGGGATATTAAGTCCATTATTTAGAACCCAATAGGCTCTTAAATTCTTAAGTACTGGTAGCAATTCCATCAAACTTAAGACCATGTCCCCTGACATAAAGCCGCAAATCCGCGCGGTTTTCTACCCCCGCCCTCTTTCCCCTTCAATACTTAAATGCTTCTCCCCCAAATCATGTCTTCTCCCACTATCTTTTGGGCATCCTGAGAAGTCGGCGACTAGAAACCACGGCGGTTTTTCCTTGCCTGGATCTCCCCTCTCCTCGCCAACTCCTAACCTCAAAAGCTCACTGGTAGTAACCTCTCACCTTGGCTCTCATTGCGCAGAGGTATCTATCGGGAAAGAGAAAAAAGTTTTAGTTAGTTTGCTGTTATGATGATAAGTATAGAGATCAGATGTTAATGGATTGTACACGGAATCTGCACACTGACACCAATAACACCCACCTAGGAAGATGGCGCTAGGGCCGAGAGAGCGGTAAGTTCCGCCTACGACCATTTAAAGGCGCGCTCGGTGTCGTCACTTCCGCTATCTCGCCCTTACCCCGGGGGCGGGACTGCTCCAGGACTGGCTTCCGGAGGCTTTCAGCAGATTGAGTTAGCTGTCTTGGAAAACAGCTACTTTGAATTCGAGTTACCAATCCCACCGCCTCTCTGATTTTATTATGAGGACATCATATTGTTTTAGCATGAGCACCTACTTCCGATATTGGGACCGAGAGGTGCAGAACGGGAAAAGGATAATTGCTTCCTATTCCCTCTCGTTGCTTCTTGGGAGTTGCAGTTTCTTGGTTAAGTCCTCCATTTTATTATGGATAATAATAAACTGTACAGAACTGTACAGAAATTCCTAATTTGTTTTACTGGCTTGCCGGATTTTTATGCTAAATTATTCCGGGAAGATTCGATCTTGGCATTTTCGAAGGTCATAAGATTCCAGAACATGGAACATGTGAGGATGCAAATTGAGTATGGTCTTTGCCCACAATGCCTGAGGCAGAATGTCATTGAAGATTCTCTGCCACAACGCATCATTTGTTCAGAAAATACTTGCAGTGATTCTCTAGGGGTGAAGGTAGAACCTTTGGACAAAGGGTAAGCAAGAAGGTATGACATTTGGTGTTAAGATAAAGAACTTTCCAATCTCATGATAAAATAAGAATCACTGAAAGCAGATCCCCAATGATTTGGCTACAGGAAACGATTTAAAAAGGGTAAAAGAGGCTGGTGGAGTGGCTCAAGTGGTAGAGCACCTACCTAGCAAGCATGAAGCCCTGAGTTCAAACCCAGTACCACAAAAAAGAAAGGATAAAAGAGGATTTGGGGTGTGGCTTAATGGTATAGTTCCCTGCCTAGCAAGCATGAGGCCTTGAGTTCCACCAAAAAAGAAAAATAGATATAGGAGGCCAGAAGCATCCCAGTACTCAAAAGGCTTAGGCAGGATAGTGAGTTCCAAATCAGGTACATAGTGAGAACCAGTCTCTCTAAAACAAGAAGATAAAAACCTTTAGCCATACAAGATTTCATATTTGTTAAAATACTGGAAGATTTTTCAGTCTGCTATAATCTGTCTTTTTCAACCATTTTCCTTTATGAACATTTCACTCTGTTTCCTTTTTTGATTTTCTGAGACAGGGTCTCAACATATATCCCAGACTGGCCTTGAACTTATCCTCCTACTTCTGCCTCCCAAGTGCTGGAATTACAGGTGTGCTCCACCATCTATGGCTAAAAATTTCTTTTTTTGGTGGTACTGATCTCAGGTCTTTGCACTTGCAAAGCAGGCACTCTACACTTAAGCCACACCTCCAGTCCATTTTGCTCTGGTTATTTTGGAGATGAAGGGGGTTGCTCAAACTATTTCCTCAGGCTGGTCTAAAACTGTGATCCTCCCTATCTCAGTCCTACAAGTAACTAGGATTACAAGCGTGAGCCACCGCCACTAAATTTCACATTTTTTCCCCCCAGTACTGGGGTTTGAACTCGGGGCCTACACCTTGAACCACTCCATGAGCCCTTTTTTGTTAAGGATTTTTGGAGATAGGGGCTCACAAACTATCGCCCAGGCTGGCTTCGAACCACAATCGTCCTGATCTCTGCCTCCTTAGTAGCTAGGATTATAGGTGTGAGATACCAGGCTAGGCTTCACTTTCTTGATTGAAAAACAAGGTTTTTTAAAATGTAGGATCCTCTTTGAGTAGTTTTAAGATTATCACCAGCAGAACATGACAAAGTATTAAAAATAAAAATAGCTCTAGCAGAAATCATTTTACAAATCCACCAGAATTGCCAACTGGTGATCTCTAACCTCTAGAGGGAAACTGGCCCTTTTTTTTTTTGGTGGTACAGGAGTTCAAACCCAGGGCCTCATACTTGCTTAGGCAGGCACTCTTCCACTTGAGCCATCCCACCAGCCCTCAAAACTACCTTTTAGAGCAGTTTTTTAGGTTTGCAGCAAAGCTTGAGGGCCATTTTCCACATATTCCCTGCATCCTCATGTGTAGCCTCCCTCAACATTCCCCTCCCCCCAGTTATGTATTTGTTGCACCTGACAACCTACATTGACATGTTATTACCCAAAGGCCATGGTACTCTAGGGTTACAGCTTGGTGGTGTACCTTCTATGTGTTTGGACAAATGTCAAATGGAGGAACAAATGTGCAGAACAGATTGTTTCGGTGGGCACAGTGAATTCGTCTTCGTGCTTGCCAGGCAGGCACTCTACCATTTAAGCCACTTTGTAAGCCCTTTTTTGTGATGGGTATTTTTCAAGATAGGATCTCAGGAACTCTTTGCCCAGGGCTGGCTTTGAACTGCCATCCTCCTGGTATTTGCCTCCAGGGTAGCTAGGATTACAGGTGTGAGCCACCGGCACCAGGCTAGATTTTTGACTTTGAATCTACTCTGTACTTTATAATGGCAGATACCTATTGTATATTTATCCTGTTTTCAACTTTGTTCACTGAGTTACTTCAGGTCAGCAGTGCCTCATATGTAATAAGATACTAATATCTAAGTTACCTAAAGGTTTGGGGCATGGCTCAAATGGTAGTGCACTTGCCTAGCATCACAAAATCCTGAGTTCAAACCCCAGTACCACAAAAAAAGAAAAAGGAAAAAAATCCAACCCATCACAGCCTAGTCCTAAAAATTAGCATCAGACATTGTTGGCTTCCTGAATTAGAATAAACACTTTGTTTGGGGTTTTTTTGGGGGGGAGTGGGATTTGAAGACAAGGTTTCATATTTGCAAAGCAGATGCTTTACAGCTTGAGGCACACCTTTGATCCATTTGCTCTGGTTATTTTATAGGATGCAGCAAACTATTTGCCCAGGCTGACTTCAAACCGTGATCCTCCTGATCTCACTCTTCCAAGTAGGATTACAGGCGTGAGCCACTAGTACTTGGCTGTAATGTTGATTGTACAGTATATATTGTAACCTAGTCCTGAACAACTGTCAGCAGTGACAATTAGAAATTTTTAATTTTTTACATTCTCACATGTATACATTGTTTGGGCCACCTCCCCCCGATATTTAGAAAATTAAGTCACCAACAATACCCCACATCATGTACTGTTATCTTCAGATAATCCAGGATTTCTCATTCCCAATCCACGATAGTCCTTGTTTTAGGCTTAGTACAGCAATGTAGAACACTAGCTCCAACTAGTCATTTCCTTGGCTGACACACTCCCCACCTCCATCAGATAAGAGCAACAAAGGCAATTATGAGCAAATCCAAATTTATTTTTATGTCATATCATTTTAAAAACCTCTTAAGTTAGTGGGAGCCCCTAGTTCCCTGGGACAGCATGCCAGAGGTACCAAAATTTGTCACCTTTCTCTACAAACCCCCAGCAATTCATCCAATCCAAGTCCACAGCTTCAGAAAGTCAGGAATTGTCTCTTCAGTCTCCTCCTCTGGGTTCTGGTTTTCCTTTCAAGGGAGGGAGGTCATCGTATCTCAAACAGGGAACAAAGCCACAGTTGACCTTCTGGCTTAGGTTTGTGTAAGATGGAGTGAAGACAGGCCCCACTGACTCAAAGGATGAGGTTGAGACGGATTACTTCTTTATAGCTTTGTGAAAATTTTGGGGGAAAAAAAGACCCTGCAGAAAAAAATGACTAAAAGGATTTAAAAATAAGGATCCATTTTGATAAGAATTTCTTCATAAGTGGAAAACTTCAGCTCCTAAAAACAAGAAGGGCCTGACTAGATAGCCTGTATCAGATGAATCTATCACAGGTGAATAAAAACAATCTGAAGAACAGGTCCTCTTAATTTTGAGGGCAGATAAAATACTTGGGGAAGAATGGGAAATGAGAGAAAAAAGCCCCAAACAGATGAGAAAATGCTGACAGCAGAGTGGTACAAAAAAATTTTCAGCTGAGGTTTTAGTGGTGTTGGCTTATTTAGCCTCTTCCCTGTTCTGTTGTAGGGCCACACCTTGACCAAGCAGAGTGGTAGAAAAGGCTAGGAGGGGCTTGAAGACAATGGATTTTAACTCCTGATTTTATTATTCAATTTCTTTCTTTCCATTTAAAGTAGTCTTCAGTGGCAGGGAGGCCTGGCCTCCCAAAGACCAGAGTCAGTTGGAGCTGGTTGTTGTTGGAAGGGGCTGGACTGGGGGACTGGGATGGGGGCAAGGAGACCCCGCTCTGCTGGTGGTCTTGGGTGGAGAAGACGAACTGCATTTCACAGAGCCTGGGGTGTGGTGGGAAGGGAATGAGGCAGGAGCAGCAAGCTGGGGATATGGGACCCACCTCAGTCCCCAGCTTCATTGTCTTCTAATGTTTCTCCACTGGTAGCATTCTCTGCAGTCTTGGAGGCCTGTATTTCAGACAAAGAAGAGGAAGACTGATCAGTTTCTAACTACCTGGAGAGCAGTATCTGGGGGATCAAACCCAAAATATCTTGAACCTATGTCAGGGCTGAGGAGCGTGATCATAACCCACACCACCCAGGAAGGTAGAATACAAAGGGACAAGGTAAAAGAACCCAAAACAAAAACAAACAAACAAAAAGTGACAAGGTCAGTATCCTGCCAAAAGAGGGTCATCATTAACACACCTTCTTTTTCTTCTTTTTCTGGGTTTTCCGACTTGCAGAACTCTGGAGGAGGGCCTGGAAAATAGGAGGAAGAAGGGAACAAATTTTCAGCAATGAGGAAAAAACAAAGTGCTGTTTTCAGCACTACAGGTCTTTTCAGGACTTTCACTCCCAGTACAGGTGCCACATGTTCACCACTCTCCGTTCCACACTAACCTTTAGCTCTGCATCCTGGACCTCCAACTCAGACTTATAGAGGTCAGGTTCAAAGGGACCACTGGTTATCCGCATGGGGCCATTGGGCATAAGTAGAACTGTAAATTTAAACTGGGCAACGAATTCACCTACAGAAAAATGAAGATGTATTTTAATAAAATGTTCCTTTATCATACTTGCCTCTTTGCTGAAGTTACAGGGAAAAAAAGGGCACCATAAAATCAGGGGCCCTAAATTCAAATTATTCTCAGTACTTACCCTCCTTCTCATAGAGAACATTAAATGGTTGTAGCAGCTCATGTTTGGCACACTCCACCACACCCATCCGAGCCTTCTTCTCATCTTCAAATGCTCTGGGAAGAGGAAGACAGAATTCAGAGGTATCCCTAACTCCCTTATCAAGTCTTATGGTTTTGTGTTTTGGACAAGATCTCACTGTGTGAAACAGGTTGGTCTCAAATTCTCAGTTCTCTGGCTTTAACTTCCCAAGTGCTGACATTGCAAACGTGCTTCACCACTCCTGGGTCATTACCATTTTGTTCATGTTTTGTCTTATTTTTGCTGGGGATCAAACTCAGAGCCTTTCACATGCTAGGCAAGTGCTCTACCACTGAGCTTTATCCTCAGTCTATTATTATTATTATTGCCAGTACTAGTATTATTGAAGTCAGCCTCATGCTTGTTAGGCAGGCACTCTACCACTTGAGCCCATACCCACAGCTTGCTGGTATTTTTAAATCACTCCTATCCTCAGGCAGGAATTTTGCTTAGGACTGCTCTTTTTAAATTACTTTAAAGAGGAGATGGGGGGAGAGAATACTTGCATTCATGTTTGAGCTACAAGTCTGGGCAGGTGGGGAGAGATGGGGAGAGATGGGGGAGTAAAAAGCTTTCTTGGGTGCATGGTCTGAATCAGACTCATTCCAAGTCCTGTTCTTGTTTGTACCTTAAAGTAAATGGCATGGCATCAAAACGCCTTTCCACCTCACTGAAAAAGGCACGTGAAGTTTTCATTTTCAGGCCATATTGTTTAGAGGGGTCTCGTTTGTAAATGGTGGTTCTCTGTCCTGCATCCTTGGCCTAAAAGAATTAAGTTAGGTCACATTTGGTCTGGTGAACACTCCCTCAGTCACCTCTCTTGATAACTCTTGTACTCTTCTTACCTTGCCCTCTCCTGAGCTCACGAGAACATCCACAGCATATACTTCATGTACCTCAAATTCAGCCTTTTCATGGTCCTTCCTAAAAGGAACAGAAAGCAAACAATTAAGACCAACAAATAGCCGGGCACTAGTGGCTCACACCTGTAATCCTAGCTACTCAAGAGGCAGAGATCAGGAGGATCGCAATTTGAAGCCAGCCCAGGCAAATAGTTCATGAGAGCCTATCTCGAAAATACCTAACACACACACACACACACACACACACACACACACACACACACTCACGCACGCGCGCGCATGCTAGTGAAGTGGCTCAAGGTGTAGGCCCTGAGTTCAAACCCCAGCCCCACCAAAAACAACAACAAACAAATAGAAACCAAAACCAACAAAAAACAAAGCAGCAACAAAAAAAAGAGTAACAAGTAGGGCTGGAGACTTGGCTCAAATAGTAGAACACCAGCTCAGCAAGTATGAAGCCCTGAAACACCACCCCCCCACCAAAATAAATAAGTAAATAAGAGTAACAAGTAGCTTCAAGGAGTTTGGAGTAGAAGGTGGGCATGATTAACAGTTGAGAGTATGGAAAAAGGGTTGATGACTAGTCTGGTATGGTGAAGAATGGGGTTGGCACCTACTTCTGTTGGTCTGTGGGATTCTGGATAATGGTCTTCTCTCCATCAATGACATGCTGCTTCAACTGATGTGACAGCATACCTGTAGACAGTACAGGGATATGGTACCAGCTATCCAGAATCCCAAAAAGTCTTCAAATCCACCCATCTAAGTAGCTTGATAGTACAAGCAATTTCTGGCACTCAAGTTTCTGGCTTAGACTAAGGGCCAGGATGAATCCTTAAAGAAGCAAGTCTTAATTCTGTTAAACCACTCATGCTTAGACCTTCAACCCTTTTATATGAGGTCTCACCTTCTATTGGCGTGCAATTAAATGAGTGGGCAACTTTGTTCCAGGCTTCTGTCACTTGTGTATTCTAGAAGTACAAGATCAAATAAAAGGTGAGATATCAGGACCCAATACATTTCCACCATGAGATTAAGAAATTTAAAAGAACTGAGAGTTTTAACATCCTTTTTCATCAAGTGACAATGATTCTCATCCATTGATTTTTCATTTCATAGTCTTATCACTCTACAAACCAAAAACAACTTATATTTGTTGTCATAAAGATGGTTTAATTAAATAGCTAGTCAACCTTTGGGGACTTTCTACATGCCAAGAATTGTAACTAAATGTGAATTTTGTATGTTTGACCCCCACTTTGCAAAACTGCATATACTATTACACAAAAACATAATTGTTGATTTACTGTCAAAAAAAAAAAGATAGTCTAATTAGACAACAGTTGTCGAAAGGGAATAGAGCATCTGTACCCCAATCCAGAAGATGAGGAAACTGGGGCTCAAAAATGTTAACTAATTTGCCTAAGGCTAAGCAAGTATTTAATGGGTGAATCCTGTCATAAACCTGGGTTTTTTGATGTTAAGTCTACTATTTATTGCTTCATACCGGGAACTCTAGCTGATGAGGAAACAGCAAACACTTATTCTAAAATAAATAATCTTTCAAACATGATCTAATCCTCATCTAATGACTGGAGGTGTGGCTCAAGTGGTAGAGTGCTGCTATACAAGAATGAAGCCCTGAGTTCAAACCCCAGTCCCACAGAAAAAACACCCTACAGCCAGGCACCGGTGGCTCATACCTATAATCCTAGCTACTCAGGAGGCAGAGACAGGAGGACCACAGTTCGAAAACAGCCAGAGCAAACAGTTTGCAAGAGCCTATCTCGAAAAAACCCATCACAAAAATAGGGCTCATGGAGTGGTTCAAGGTGTAGGCCTTAAGTTCAAACCACCAAAAAAAAAAAAAAAAAAAAAAAGCACACCCCACACCTACAAATAATCCTCATCTAAGCCACTAATTCAACCATCACACAAAATAGTAAGTAGCCATAACCAGTATTCATTGAAAATTTATTTATGTGCTAGGTACTATAATCACATGAATTATCTCATTGCCACAACTCTGAAAAAATTTTATTTTTCACATTTTACAGATAAGGAAATTTGGTTTTAAGATTAAACAGTAAGGGGTGTCATTATACAACATACAAAGAACAAAAAAACTCCATAAAAAAGGGCTGGCCGAGTGGTTCAAAGTTTGAACTCCCAGTTCAACAGTTGGAACTTCCCAGTACAACAGGGAAAAAAAAAGTAATCAGAGGATGAAGTGCAAACTGAAAGACTGAGGAACAAGAGAGCAGATACAAAGGGACATAAGTCTGGACATAGTAGCTTATATCTATAATCCGGCCACTCCACAGCAGAGATTGGGAGAACAGCAGTTTGATGCCAGCCTGGGCAAAAAGTTGGCAAGATCACATTTCAAGAAATAAGTCAGGTATGATGGTGGAACACCTGTGATCTCAGCTACCTAGGAGGTGGTAAGTAGATGATCACAGTCCCCAGCCAAAAACTGGAGACCCTGTCTAAAAAATAACCAAGGCCAAAAAGGGTTAGCTAGAGATGAGTTCAAGTGCTCAAACTCCAGTATTACAAAAGAGAAAGGGAGAGAAAAATAGAAAACAATGCTTTAAGTATTTTTTTTTTTTTTTGCACTACTGGGGCTTCAACTCAGAGCCTTCACCTTGAGCCACTCCACCAGCCCTATTTTTGGGAATGGTTTTTCCAGATAGGATCTCACAGAACTATTTGCCTGGGCTGGCTTCGACTCTCTTTGATCCTCTTGATCTCTGCCTCCTGAGTGGCTAGGATTATAGAATTACAGCCACTGGTGCCTGGCTGTATTTTTTTTTTTTAATGCTCAAATAAATAAAAATGAAGAATGTCTATCGGGTCCGTAAGGAAGGAACCATATGGCCATACACCTCACAGGGAACTATCTTTGGTAGGCACTTGATTGCTGTTTAGTATCAAGCTCTTGAGTTCCTGCCTCTTTTCTTTAAGAAATCCCATTTAAACTAGATACCAGTGGCTCATACCTGTAATCCTAGCTACTCAGGAGGCTGAAATTGGGAGGATCATGGTTTGAAGCCAGTTGGGGCAGATAATTTGAGATTCCATTTCCAAAACTAACGATAGCAAAATAGACTAGAGGTATGGCTCAAGTAGCAGAGTGCCTGCTTTGCAAATCCTGAGTTCAAACCCCAATCCCACAAAAAAAAAAAGAAAAAGAAAAAAGAAATCCCATTTAAGATGTAGCTACTCTAAAGCTGTTGTTTTATAAGAGGACTATCAAAAGTCGGCAGATCCATACAGAGCAGCTGTTGATGCAACTTTAGTCCAGTCGACTTTTGGGATTAGTAAAAAACACCTTACCTGGTTTCCAGGTTTGACCAGGCGTAGGGCAGCTTCAGCACAAAGGTGAGCTGCCTTAATGACATCTGCTTTCCGCCCTGTTACTTGGGTCCCCTGTAGATAAGGAAATCTAATCAGTGTCTTTCTAAAAAGCTTAACTCAGCCCATAATGCAAGGCCAACCAATGAATATGAGGAACTTAAAATTTAAGTGACACTACGGGATGGGGATAATAAGCAAATGGCAGTGCATTTCCCCACCAAAGCTAAATTGAGCCCAAAAGCAGGCCACCTACCTGAGCTACACCCACCACAAAAGTATGAGCCACATTAGCAATGAAGCCATCCACATGGACCCCAAGGTCACTGAAAGGTAAAAGCAGTTTCCATTAGAAACTGGCACTATGTAAGTGCTTAGGAAAAAGACAAATGCTCCAGAATGGCTTAACCTTACATTTTTACCAAGTCACCTTCCTTGAGAATATAGTCCTGGTCACTCTTCAAAGGGGAGAAGTGACATACACAGTTATTTACCGAAATGCTGGTAGGAAAGGCAATACCTGTAAAAAGAATCATCAGCCTTACTGCCTTGCTCCTACAGAAGCCCTGTTTCCCTTTAGAAAAATGCAAGTCTTTTTTTTTTTCTCTTATTTTGTAGGGTCTTGCTTAGCTTACTCAGTTTGGACTGGGTTGGAAACTGTATCCCACTTGCCACTCCAAATATAAACCAAAGCTGGGGTGAGGGTTACATTATTACAATTAAAAAAGTACAAACACAGAGGATCAAATGAGGGTCAAACTTGGGATACTAGGAAGGGATTTTTTTTTTTTACCTTTCTTCATTTCCTTTTCTTTCTTGAAGATTTTCCCTGTCTCTTCCATAATCATGGCATCACCTTTCTCACACAGGCTCAGTACCGACACACCTGAGCTGGATGCTTCCACCAAAGATCGAAGTACCCCTGGGGACAGAATCCCACCACGTCAGTCCTGCATGTACTTATCGTTAGTCACCACCCAAGTGATACTGGTAGTAGCTGGATTCAGAGCTTTTAATACTCCCTAGTGCCACTGTCCTAAGGCTCAAAGAGGAAACAAGTCTGTGTCTTAAAACACATCTATCTATAACCTCTGATTTATACCTTCCTTTCTTAAAAGAAAAAAAAAGGTCAACACTCTTCTTTTCTCCCTTATATGGCAACTAGGTATATACATATACAATGTGTCTCCTTAGGCAAGGCTCTGTTTTCCAAAGATATCTTGGTGTGGCAGGACAGAATTATGGGCTCTCCAAGGTGCCAAACATATATGCAAAGCAGAAAAAATTTATAGGCGTCAGGGACAACAGGAAGAATTGCTGACTCCAAGCTGATGCATTGTTAAATGTTAACTTCTTCCCTTCGCAGACACCCTAATTAAGTATTAGTAATCAGATTTATTTCCTCATAAACAAGTATATAAGCTAAAGGGACTTAATCTAAGGTTCCTGGAACTCAGGGGGCTCATGGCTTACAACTTTCAGTAGGTCTCAAGTAACCTCAGTTTCAGAGGTCACAAGTGCCTCATTATAAACTGCATGGACGCTGGGTGCTGGTGGTTTACACCTGTAATCCCAGCTACTCAGGAGGCAGAGATTGGGAGGATCACAGTTGGAAGCCAGCCTGGGCAAATAGTTTGCAAGACCCTATCTTGAAAAAATAAATCACAAAAATAGGGTTGGTGGAGTGGCTCAAGCTGTAGGCCAAGTTCAAGCTCCTGCACCACAAAAAAAAAAATTTTAAGTAATGAAACAAAAATAGCTGGTGCCCATAATCCTAGCTACTCAGGAGGCAGAGATCAGGAGGCTCCCAGTTCAAAATCAGCAAATAGTTCATGTGACCCTGTCTAGAACAAACCCATCACAAAAGACTGGTGGAGTGGCTCAAGGTGTAGGCCCTGAGTTCAAGCCCCAGTACCACAAAAATAAAAGCACCAAAAATAAATGTACCATACTAAATGTCTGCTATTATAAAAAGCATTGTTCGTGCTTTTATAATAACCTCTTCATAATCCATCCTGATTTTCAGGTTTGATTTTTGAGGATCTGTTTTGGTGAATCTTTTGGAGCCAGAAACACTCAGATTTAATCAAAGGCACCCCAAATACCACCTCCCAAATGTATTTGCTGTTAAACCCATTTTTAAAGCCCAAAGACAAGCACTTTCTGTCTAAGTGGGTTTTAAAATGGAAAGGTGAATTGCAGAGAGAAAATAGAAAGTGAGACATCGGCCTACAATGGCAGGCAACTGTCGAGAAACTTCAAACACAGTTCCAGTAAGAATGGCTTTTAACAGCCCCAACATCAGTGTCCTCCCATCCCTCCCTGTTCACAAGCTTGCTTAGTTACGATGAGGGTAGGACCTCAAAACATTAATCGAAACACTGTCAAGTCCCTAAGAACAATCAAATATGAAGCCTAACTTAAGGCCATCTGCAAAGACTGTAGCGGTGTCAGTCACGAATGACTTCCAGAAAAGCCAGGTATCGCCCCAAGAGTTGTGTTAGAAGCTCCAGAAGAGCTCTCCAACGGTCCCCTGACCTGGCCCAAGGGGAGAAGGGGTCCCCGCCAGAATAGGAGTTGAAGTAAAGGAAAGATTCTAGCAAAGCACGTGGTGGGGAAGCTGGCGTCAGGCGCGGTAGCAGAGGAGAGGAGCCAGCGATCCGCACCAGGACCTGGCAACACGTGCCGGCGGGGCTGGTGACGGCCAGGAGCCCTGACAAAACAAGAGGGGCGTTCTGTGGCCAACAGCTGGGCTTTTCCTTTTGGAGGTGGCCTCGCCGTTGCCAGAATCCGAGGAAGCAGAGATCCGGGCAGAAGACGCGCCTTGCCCCCTTGCCAACGGCCTAGGGTCGGAGCCAGTCGGGGCCCCTCCAGCGCTCCTCCGGGTCGCGGGCCCACACCTCCACACTCCAGCCCAGGCCTGGCCGCTCAGCCCCTAGTGCGACACCGGGTCTTCCCATCACGCCGCCCCCGGCGGACTGGTGCGCGCCCCTTGGTAACTCACTCCGCAAGACCCCGCCGCTCCAGCCCCTCCGGGGACAGCCCGACACCTCTCCCTCTCAGCCTCGATTCCGGGACCCCTGAGGCCGCACTCACGGTTGGCGATGTCGCCCCCCATCTTATACTTGGTCACGACCAGGTCCTCGGCGATAGTTTGCTCTTGCTGCTCGTCCTCGCCCGACATCTTCCTATCGCCACCACTGCAGCCTCGCTTCCCCTGAGCTGCCGCCTCGGTGTCCCTTCCCAGCCTCAAGGCTGTGGCCAGAGCTCCTCGATCCGCGAGGAGAGCGCGAGCTAAAGCGCGAGCAAGCAAGGGAGCGGGCGGGCAGGCGGGCGGGTGGCGAGAGCGAGAAGCCGCGAGCGCGCGGGCTGAGCGCGGGGCACCGTGGGACAACGAGTCCTGCCTGTCGCCGGTCTCCAGCCGACCTCCTGTGCTCTGGAACTACAACTCCCAGGCTGCCTCTCGCGCCCCTAAACCAGGCCCTGGGGCCTTGCCCTCCCCGGGCCTCGCACGCCGGAACCGCCGAGCACGCTGGGAAGGATTAGGCTCCGGCGGGAAGGCGGAGCAGTTGAGGAGCAAGAGGGAAAGCGTGGTCTCTCCGGGAAAACCACCTCCACAGCAGCTCAGAGCCCGTAGTAGAGGGAGGCGAGTTGAGGGAGGGCGGAGCTACGCGGTGAAATGGGTTTAGGAGCTGGGTGGAGCAAGGTGGAGCCCAGGGGGTGGGCACTGTCTACACCTAGGGCAGAGAGGCTAGGAGTGCACCCTCGGATCCCTGCATCTGCAGGCGCGACCGGCCGGGCGGGTCCAGTCCAATGTTCTTCCAGTGCTGGGAGAACTGGGAGGGGCAGAGCGTATGTGGAAAACCAAAGAAGGGGTGCTGCTGGAAGCTGGGGGCTAACCCGGCAGCCTGATTGAGGGATTATCCCTTTGCTTATAGCTTCCTCATGTAAAGGCCAGACTCCCACTGAAGTAAGATGGCACTGTTGTTCCAACAGTAGGCTTCGATGGAGAAATTTACTGTCTTAAGAGAATGAGTTCTAAAGCTTTTCAAGGTTTCCGTATTCCACCTGTGAAGAAGAAATCACCTCTGTAGGACTTTTTCTGACTTCCCCAAGTATGTATTTTTTTGAAATTTCCAGTTGTTTCCCTGTAGTGATTTCTGGTAAAATTCTTTTCATTAAAAAGGATTTCCCTATGCCTGTTTTAAAGGAATGCAAATAAAAAAAGAGTTGGAGAAAGTTGAATGGGGCAGATTAGAAATGTCAGGAGACAGAGAAAGGTAGCTATCCACTGCTGAGGAGCAGAGAAAAGGGTTGTCTCTTATCTAACACAGACAGCAAGCTGAAAAAAACTTTGTTTTATTCAGAGATGTATAAAAACAATACATAGTAAAAAAAAAAAACTTAAATGATACAATAGACATCCCCAGTTCCCATCCAGGAGGACTGAGGTCTGAAGATGGGTTCTCTTTCTATCCCACCTGGAGGCTTCTTATTGCTGGATCAGAAGAGCTCCTGAAAGTGGGTCTTGGGGACCTTTGTAAATCATCTTGGAAGGAGTGTAGAACGTTTGCAGTACATATGGTTTACACAAAGATGTCCAGTTATTTTTTTCCTTCTGACCTCTACTCCACACTTCCAGAGATGCAAAGTCTGGGTCTAAGAGGAGGATGTGGCTGTAGGGGTTTGGCTTGATTCAGTGCAAAACAAGAAAACAATGCCCCTTACAAGGACTCTGACTTACATCACTTTTCCTTGACACCTTATAATAAGAGCACATACATTGGAATTGGGTATACTTTGAATCCTGGACCTGCTGTTTAAATTACTTAATTTCTTCAAGTCTCAGTCCTCCCTTATCTGAGGTCTCACTCTCTGCAACTTCAGTTACACGTAGTAAACCACAGTCTGAAAATATTAAATGGAAAATTCCAGAAATATTTCCTTTTAAATTGTGACACCATTCTGAGTAGCTCTGGTAAATTATCCCTTTCCTAGTGTATCCACACTGTTCAAGCTACCTCCCCACTACTCACATAGTAAATTTTTTTTCTTTTTCTTTTTTTTTTGGCAACACTGGGATTTGAACTCAGGGCCTCATGCTTGACAGGCAGATGTTCTACCAGTTGAGTGGTGAGCCACTCCACCAGCCCCTTTATGTGTTGGGTATTTTTGAGATAAATTCTCACTTTTTGTCTGGGCTGGCCTCAAACCTCGATCCTCCTAATCTCTGTCTCTGGAATAGCTAGAATTACAGGGGTGAACCACTGGCGCCCAACTTTAAAAGTTTCAGTGTCATTTTCTTTTTTCTGTTTTTTTTTTTTTTTTTGGTTGCGGGGAACTGGAGTTTGAAATCAGGGCTTCACGCTTACAAAGCCAGTGCTCTACTGTTGAGCCACACCTCTAGTCCATTTTGCTCTGGTTATTTTGGAGATGGAGTTCTAGTGAACTATTTGCCCAGGCTGGCCTCGAACCTTGATCCTTAAAATCTTAGGTCCCCTAGTAGCTAGGATTCAGGTGTAAGCCACCAGTGTCCAGCTGAGATTGGTGTTTAAACTACTTTCTTGGTTATCAAATTGACTATGTCAGTATTGAAGTTTCAATACCCTTATTTTACTTTAAAATGGCCCAAAGTGCAAGACTAGTAATGCTAACATTTCAGATATGTCAAAGAGAGATGCTTCCTTTAAGTGAAAAGGTGCAAGTTCTTGACTTAAAGGGGAAAAATAATCATATGCTAAGATCTACAGCAAGAACAAGTCTATCCATGAAATTGTAAAAGTGGAAAAAGAATTTAGTAGTAGCTTTCCTATCACACTTCAAATTGCAATTGTGGCCACAATGCATAAGTGGTTAGTTAAGATGGAGAAGACCTTAAATTATAGGGTTTAGAACTACCCACGATTTCAGGCACCCACTGGGTATCTTAGAACACTAGGTATCCTGGATGACTGTATTTGCAAAGTAGAATAATCTTTCTCACAAAATTATAAGGATTATAAAAGATTATGTGAGATAATGTTGGTAAAGTTTAGCATTTTGCCTGGCTCATAGTAAATGCTCACTCAATAATGATCAATATCTACTTCTGACTTCTCTTCATTCCACAAAACTTTAAGCTTCCAGGTCTTTCCAGGGGATTAAGAGTAGTAAGTCAAAATTTTACTTTCTTCTGCTAGGTTTACTCTTTCTCCTCTTCCTTAGGACAGTCTGATGGGAAACAGAGGCACACATAAGAGTCTAATACTAACAAGTAAGAGCCTGAGAGAAAGGGACCTAGGGAGTAATCCTTCATATCTCCAGGGAGTCCCCCTGAGGAAGCTGAGGAATGGGAATGGGAAAACAAACAAAACAGAAAAACCTTCTCCTTTCCTAGGGTTAGAAAAGGGAAGAAAGTGCACAGCTGGTTACATACCACAAAAATTTGGTGTCAAAGTGTTTAAAAGCCTCCAAAGGTTGAATGGAATTGTCTAGGACTGGAGAAATGGAGCTGAGACCTGTAAGGGTGAGGGAGTAGGGAAAAGAAGATAACCTCTAGAGGCACTAGCTGCCATCAAATGCTCCCTGAGTATCTCAGGGAGCTGGGGTTATGTTCTCTGGGCATTAGCCTTAGGGAAAAGCCTGCTATGCCAGTAATCAGGGTTGTCAAATGCAGAGTCAGTGGCTTCTAAGCTACGTAGAGTTTTGAGACGGGCATAACGGATATGAGGCGCATGTTGTTCAGGCCCCTGAAAAGCCTTCATTTCTTCATACCCTTGTTCAGCTGCTGGGCAGGCCCCCATGGCTGCATAATCCCCACCTGGACCACCTCCACCACGCCGCCGATTCATGTATTCATAGTCCTCATCTGGAGTTGTGCCAGCAGTGGGCATGATGGGCACAGGATGGAGTGGACAACTCTGTGTGCTACCTAGAGAAGCACTAAGGTCTGATCCCACATCCATGTACTCATAGCCTAGCTCCTCAAGAGAACCAGGTCTAGGGTGACGAGGTGGACTGTGCCTTCTCCGATTCATGTACTCATACTCCTCATCTTCGTCTTCTTCCTCAGTACCCAGGACAGAACTGAGACCCACTGAAGAAAGTGTGCCTTCCCGGGAGGAGGAAGTACCTAGGGTTAAGAAGAGAGGATAGGTATATGGAGAACTTCATGGTAACAGGGGGTGGAGGGAAGTTGAAAAAACAAAGAGGGTGCCAGTGGTTCATGCCTATAATCCTAGCTACTCAGGAGACAGATCAGGAGGATCTAGTTTCAAAGCCAGCCTGAGCAAATAGTCTGAGAGACCTTATCTTGAAAAACCCTTCGCAGAAAAGGTTTGGTGGAGTGGCTAAAGGTGTAGATCCTGAGTTCAAGCCTCAGTACCACAAAATAATAATAATTAATAATAATAATAGGGAGGGATATGGTCAGAGAAGATAAAAGAATTAAGAGAAGCTTAGAGAAAGGATTAGAGGAAGATTTTAGGAAAGCCCTAGGAGGAGTCAGGCACCTTTGAGGTGTGTATCTGGCATGACATAACCATTGACATCCTCTTCCTCTAATCCTGGTGGGGAGAGAGGGGTGACAGGAGTGAGCAGGCTGTGGCGCTGGGAATGGTAGGCACTATCTCCACGTGGCCGTGGACTCCGGCTCCGGCTTCGACTTCTACACATTGATGCTTTATCCTGGAATTCAGCCTCAGAGCCTGTCACATGGCCCTCTGAGGACTCCGATGCCAAGCGTCCCCGTGGCATTGGGTGCAGAGAGACCGGACGGGGGTACCGTTCACTGCCCCCATAAACTGTAGACTCCTAAGGAGGAAAATGAAATAGTGCAAGGAAATTTATACAGAGATGAGGAAAAAGTCATTTATTTAGAAGGATGTTTGGTTGTTCAGTGCCTTCCTTTTTGCAATATGCTGATTAAACCTTAAAGGTTTGTATGTCTCCCTGCCTTCCCCTATCAACCCTATCAAACCCATACAACCTGCCACCCCATCTCTTGTCAGTAAACCTTACCGGACAGGCCTCTCCAATATTACTTTGGTTCATGGGCATGTATCCAGATGACGGACTTAAAAGGGTCTGGCTCTAGGATAGGAAAAGTAAGGAAAAGTTTAAAATAAAGGAAGAAATCTACTTTTACCATGGAGGTCTTGAATAGTTAATCTGTAGGGTTCATGAGGATTCAAGATGTAGAGAATCTTGGGCAATCAGAAGGTATTTTACCCCACGTGGGCGATTAAGTGTTCCAACTGGTAGGCTGAGGTCAGAACCTAGGGTGGTCACCAGGCTGTCCTCCTCTGCCTCCAAGTCTAGGTCTAGGTCCAGTTCTGGCTCCAGCTCTACTTCCTCCAGTTCCTTGTTTGTCAGAGCAGGGGGCTCTGCTCCAGGGGGTATTCCAGGCCCACTCTCTCTCTATAGGGACAACAGTTGTTAAGGTGGTCCTAGTTCCAGCCAAGTCCTGTTTTCTCTAAAGGTCTTTGACATCTCTTAGTCCCTGCTCACCTTTATGACCAGATACCGTGGTGGGTCTCGGGCCATCCTGGTGAACTCATTGGCTAGCTCTTTAAAGGTTGGGCGAATATTCTCATCAATCATCCAACCTGTGGGTGAGATGTAGGAGATAAAGCTAAAAGAAGGAATAGACCCATGGAGGGGAAGAGAGGGAAGTCAGAAGATGGTAACTCACACTTGACCATGACCATGTAGACATCAATAGTGCAGATTTGGGGCTGTGCTAACCGCTCCCCCTTCTCTAGCAGGTCTGGCACTTCAGCCAATCGAAGCCCTGCATAGGGCTCTGCCCCAAAGGTCATCAACTCCCAAACTGTCACACCTGATACAGGAAGAAATGGACTAGTCAGTACAGACATAATAAACACGGGCATGAAGTAAAGGGAAGGAAGAATTTGATCTGACACAAGGATCTGAAGGGCTTATAGTTTCAAAGAGGAGGTGGCTCAAAAAGCAGTTGTGGAATTGGACCAGTGATGATATGGAGGGCACCCAGATGCACTGACCATAGCTCCAGACGTCACTCTGGTGTGTGTATTTCCCAAAGTGAATACTCTCAAGGGCCATCCACTTAATTGGAGTCTGAGGATTAAAGATAAAGGTGCCACCAGTTGATTTCCACAAATTTTCTTAGCATTTCCAAGCCCCAAGCTCTCTTATCATTCTTTATTGCTCTCTGAACTTACATTTCTCTCTTCTTGAATTTATCATGAATTGCCTGCTTATCTCAGAAGCAGACCACTGACTACTCTCTATCCCCATGCTTCACCTCACCACCCCACCACGTCACCCACCCTTGTGTCACCTCACCTTGGCCTCGCTGTGTAATAACTGCTTATCATCAGGTGGTAGCAGATCAGCCACACCAAAATCTGCCACCTGAACCTGACTGGGTGACTTGAGTAGCACATTCCGGGCAGCCAGGTTCCTGTGCACCATACCATGCTCCTCAAGATAGTACATACCCTAGAGGAGGAAGAGATCTCAGGGTTGGAGTCACTGAGATGAGAATCCCCTCAAAACCTGAAGGTACCTCTCAGAACTACAAAACCTCAGTCTTCCCATTCTCCCTTGACTGCCCCCATCCAGACAGTTCTTATCGCAGAATTCTTCCAGGCTCCTCTCACCTTGGCAATTTGTACTCCCCAGTTGAGCAGTAGCTGTGGTCCCAGTGCTCCCCGGTGTTGCCTCACATAATCCAGCAGAGAACCCAAAGGCAAGTATTGAGTAACAAGTTGCAGAGATGACCCCGGGCATAGCCCCAGCAGACGTACAATGTGGGCATGATCTAGGCTGCCAATGGCCAGCATGTGCTATGAAACACAAGAGGTGTTGTCTAGAAAACGAACAGGTTCACATACACGTACTTAAGTCACACACCCTGCCCAGGGCTTCCCCCAACATTCAAGTATGGCAGCATGACTAACATAGTATCTGCCAACATAGGACCATTCTTCCACATGACTGTATGTAACACTGTCCTCTCTCCTAGGGCATACAGAATCCCTTCCTTTACTTACATCTGTCACAGATTGAAAACTCTGCCGTCCACTCTTATCCTCAATGACTTTAATACAGACTGGAATCTTGATGGATTCACCCTCAGGGATCCATACCCCCTGGGAAGTTTAGAGTGGGAGTCAGGTGAGGGTCTTTCTTCCTAGATCATCCTTTGCTAAAATACCCCTCCCCTTTGCCCTAGATCATTCCCCACCTCCCCAGATTTCCTGTGGGTTGCTCACCTTGTGCACAGTTCCAAAGACACCTGAACCAAGCACTTTAAGCTTCCTCAGCTCTGTCTCTTTGAAGATTCTGGCCAAAACTTTGTTAGCCTTCTCACTGGGGTCCAGAGGCTCTATGCTCTGAAAATCAGACAGAAGGAGCCACTTAGGTAAGTGCACTCCCATATCCCAGTCCCTCCCGCTCCCCTAAATGAATGCCAAGGACAGCAGAGCCCAAAGAGCTGGGGGCAGGAAGAGGAATGGTCTTTACTCCTAAAAAGCATCATAGCCATATTGAGGAATAACAGGACCTGAGGACTGAGTAAATTGTGCTCATGAGATCAGGAATAAAGAGGGTTGTGTTTTTCCCTTTGACCGAGAAGAGGGAGGGAACCTGGGGAGTGCTAGTCATACTGCCACCTTGAGGGCCTTTTATTTAGCATTCTGCACCTTCTTTTTTTTTGCACTCAGGATCTCACACTTGCTAGGCAGGCACTCTACCACTTGAGCCACTCCACCAGCCCTTTTTTTGTGTGTGTGTGTGTGTGTGTGTGTGTGTGTGTGTGTGTGTGTGTGTGTGGTACTGGGGATTGAACTCAGGGTCTTCACCTTGAGCCACTCCGCCAGCCCTTTTTTATGATGGATTTTTTCGAGATAGGGTCTCAAGGAACTATTTGCCTGAGCTGGCTTCAAACTCAATCCTCCTGATCTCTGCCTCCAGAGTAGGTAGGATCACAGGTGTGAGCCACCAGTGCCTGGCTTTGTGTTAGGTATTTTTGAGATAGGGTCTTGTGAATTATTTTCCTGGGCTGGCCTCAAACTGTGATCCTCCTGATCTCTGCCTCTGGAGTAGCTAGAATTACAGGCACTTGAGCCACTGGCACCCAGCTGTGTTCTGCACTTTTTAAAGCACTTTCACATATATCATCCCCTTACACTCTTTCAGCCATCCCAAAAGGATGAATGTTATTTCCGCTGTACAGATAGATTAACTGAGGCACAAAAAAGGTAAATAACAAAGCCATATGGCAAATGACAAAATCAGGACTAGAATCCATATGGGTTCCCATTTCTTGTCCTGATGTTCTTCATAGGATCACACTGTCTTGTGAAGATAGGGATCAAATCTCCAGGGAAAAGGGGAGTAAGGGTCAACCCATCACTTATCTCTGAGTGTAGACAGCACACAGTGCCTTTCAAAAGTAAGTTACATACTCACCTCACCCCGTTCCAAGTACCGCCTCATAGCCCTTTTGTTCTGAATCCGGCGCCCACGCCAATAGAGAAGAGTGCCACACAGGATCAGAAAAATCACAGCCAATCCTACTGTCAAAGCCATTGCCAGATGGGTTTTGCTATAGGTTATAGAGAAGCCCAGCATTATCCTAGGTTTATACCTCCCTCACACATGTCTTCTATACCGAGCTGAAGGTAAGATACAGATCTCGGGCAAGAAGTTAACATTTTCATATACATATATTCTCTAGCACTTAAGGAGTTAACTTGAATCTAGGACCCCCCCCCCTCCAATTTAGGCTAATGCAAGTTAATTTTAAGAAGGGAAGGCCAAAAGCCATGATTTTTTTTTTTTTCAGTACTGGGGTTTGAACGCAAGGCCTATACCTTGAGCCACTCCACTAGCCCTTTCTTGTGATTTTTTTTTTTTTCCCCATGAACTATTTGCTGGCTTTGAATCTTCAAATCTTGATCCTCCTAATCTCTGCCTCTTGAGTAGCTAGGATTACAGGCATGAGCCACAAGCCATGACTCTTGAGTCCAGTGATAGTGGACTATATATTATGGCATGGCTCAAGCAGTAGAGGGCTGCCTTGCAAGAACAAAGCCCTGAGTTCAAATCCCAGTGGGAGAGAGGGGGATACAGAATGAATAGTCCTCTTCTGCCATGGGCAACCGCCAAGAGACAGTGGATATGTTTCACAAATATCCCCAGCTTCCAGAATCTCCAAGCCCATCATACCTTATCAGCGCTGGTGTTTGGCCTAAACAGTCTTGTAGTTCTGGTCCCTTACACCTAGAGAAGAAAGTCACCCCCTTAGAAGGGCACTTGGACAAGAGAGGCTGAAGTGCAACAGCCTCAACAAACAAAAGCCTGTTTCAGATCAAAACTACTATAGCATCCCATTCTAAAGCCCAAAGCCTATCCCATGGCATGGCCTTCATCTCTGGCTCACCAACCCTCCCTGATCTCCTCTTGAATGAACCCTTCCACTCACACCTTGAGATGAGGTTACTCCAGATTCCCTAAATTGTGGTGCATTCTTGTGCTACTATTGAGTTTTCCTTCCTCCAGTTCTTTACTATATAACTTTAATACTTATATCACAGATTCTTTCTGCTGCTGCTCCTCTCATCCTAGTTCTGTGTTCCTACCCTTTCCCTAACCCCTACTTCTCATTCCATCACTCACCCCTGGGTACAGTTCTCATGGCAGGGCCGACATTCATTCCGAACATCTGGGTACTTGTAGATAGGACCCTTGGCACCTAGGACTCCATGGGGGCAGCTGCTCACACAGTGGGGCCCATCTCGAAAATGAGCACACTTAGTACAAGCATCAGACCCCTGAGTAGAAGAGAGAAGGTCAGGAAAATGGGATTCCAAAGTTAATTCCATTCCTCCCAGCAAGGACCAACCCAGTCATTCAGGATCCTCCATACACGAACTCTAGCATTATCTGGCCTGCCTGGGCTGGGCTGGAGATTTGGCCATATCATTCCCTAGACACTGTAAGTGCTGCCCCTCCTCATCTCCCTTAGAGATCCTGGGGCTGCTACTATACCGAGCCATTGCATGTGGCAGTGCCTTCCATGGGCTGGCATTCTGGGTGGCAGGAGAAGCATTCGGTCTCATGGGCAAACTCACGAGGTTCCCTGCAGTGTGGGATACAAAGAGGGGAGTTTATTTCCAAGCCCTCAACTTCATGTCTTGCAATGAGCCCTCCTTCCCACCAAGGCATATGCAGAAAGCTATCTAAAGTTTATCAGGTGCCACCTAAATGACTTCACCCCAAGGCCTACCCCCATCCCTTCTTAACTGTCTCCCCTCACTGTACCCATTCAGAAAGTTGCAGTGGGTCACACAGACACCCCCTCGGCTGTAGTTTCGACAGGATAAGCACTGACCAGGGCCTGGGCCCCAGCATCCTCCAGAGGAACACAGCAGATCACATACTTTGCCCTCTGCCACTGGAAAAGAAAAGATGAATTAAGAGAGGGGTCTGAGGATTCCTCGCAAGCTTCTCACCACTTCTGGTCTCACACCTCTCTTCTTAATTCCATCCTCAGCCCTACTCCTACCTGAGGGCAGAACAGTCCTTACACCCCTCCCTCCTTGACTCCCTATTCTCACTCCCCAGCAAACCCTTTCCCTCACCACAGTCTCTGCGAGGCCTGTTGTGTTTGATGTCTAATCTCTCTTCAGAAGGCCCCCGAAGCAGCCTGGTCCAGTTCAGAGAGTGGTGGTAGCAGAGCTGCCGATTGGCACTTATGTAAATACGCCCAGCACTAATTTCCTTCAAGGATCGGAGACCCAGAGATGTGACATTCAAGTTCTTCATGATCAACAAGGAGAAGCCCCGGCTGAGAATAAGAAGACAAGGATGAAGGGCACACTACAAAAGGAAAATTAAATGTACAGTGGATTCATTTTCATTTAACAAATTTTCTCTGGCCTCATCAAGCCCACTGAGAGGAAATCCTCCTTCTTTTGCCTTCACCCCAGTAAACTTGCAGATCCTAGAGTCTACTGTATGATATAATGCCTTGTATGTCACAAAAGGATGCCCATTTCACTGTCTGGAGATGCCACCATCTCCACACCCCTTACTTACTTGTAGAGACTTCTGCCCCCAATGGTTGTCAGATTGGAAAAAACACTGAAGTTGTGCATGTGAGGAGGCCAGGACTGGATGTTCAGATAACCTGGGTGGTAGAGAGGCATATGAGCAGGGAGACTTCTCCCCTTCCTCTTTTTCAGGTTCTCTCATTTCCTCACCACAATATGTGCCAGTGATTCATCTATTCTCGCCACAAAGGGAAGCCTTTTCTCCCCCTCACCTGTGATCTCGCGTACTGTCCGGAAAACATTGAGCTTCTCTGGGTCCAGGGCAGGGATCTTATGCCAGGGGTCTCTGGGGGAGAACAGTAAAAATTGGACATGGTAGAAGTCTAACCCCATAGCAATGAGCACACTGAGGCTCAAAAAATTCAGGCCCTTGCTTATGCTGGGTAAGCACTCTACCACTGAACTACATCCAAGACCTGATTTATTTGATCTGTGTGGATACTTAACTTAATTCAATGACTTATGCCATTGAAATAAATAGGAAGAGAGTTAGGGAAATGGTTCAAGTGATAAGATCACCTGCCTAGTTAGGGAGAGGCCCTGAGTTCAAACCCTAATACTACCAGAAAGAAAGAAACAAAGGAAAAGAAAGAGCCACGCCTGCAATCCTAGCTACTCAGGAGGCAGAGATTATCAGGAGGATCACAGTTTGAAGCCAGCCCAGGCAAATAATTTGAGTGACTCTACTTTGGAAAAAAAACAAAACCAAAAAGGACTGGCAGAGTGACTGGCAGAGTATTCACTGGGTGGGAGCCCTGGAAAGAGAAGGCAGAATCTCTAACCCATTGAGGCCGGTGATAAGAAAGTCCAGGTTGCCCAGGATCTTGGTGCAGTTCACAAACCCATCGATGTTGCTCGAGTCCACAGTCTGGAAGCGACTCCCAGAGCCTGTCCCTTCACAGGCTGTAAACACAAAAGAGTCTCAGTGGGGGTGGCTTGAGTAGCCTCAAGGGAAAGAATGTCCATTCATAACTTCTTACCACCTCCTGCTCACCTTTAGGGCACAGCCCTCCACAAGGTTCACACATCTTGAGCCCATTTTTATCTACTTCCATCTTGTCAGGAGGACAGGCCCTGACACAAGAGGTCTGATCCACCACGAAGTTATCTAGAGAAGAGGTTTAGAGATGAAGAGCAGTCAACTACCAATGGACCCCTCCTCAACTCCCTCCCGCTCTGCACTGATGTGTTCCATCTGCCTCCTTAGGCTCTTCAGGTATGCCCTATAGATTAGACAGTCTCTTTGCTTTCTGTTGCTCCTAAGGACCACAGCTAAAAGTTCAGAGGAAGCTGCTGGGGGATTGGCACAGACATCACTCATGGGGAAAATCAGATAATCATGTCTAAGTTTGCTATTTGTCACCCAACTTGATTCCTTTTGCTTTCCAAAATTTTGTCTAAAAACGTAGGACCACTATTGTTGTTCTTTCCCTCAGACACTTACGGGGACAGCTGGCTACACAAACTCCTCCATACTGATACTTAGTGTGGGGATTGGGTTCCAGCTGGAAAGTTAGCTTGTTGTACACAAGGGGCTGTGGGCACCGGGGCACACAGGCTCCACTGTCATTGAAGTGTCGGCAGGCCTGGGAACATAGGAGACTCCTAAAAGTCACGTTACATGTGCACCCCTACTTCCTCCCCAAAGCCCAGGCAGACAGTATAGGTACATACAAAGCAATCTGTGTCCTGGGGGCCAGAGCACCCCCCTGCACACTCATCATGGCAGCACTGGTTGGGGTTGGGCCCGAAGCAATGACCATTACATTGAGGAGCACAGATGGTCTTTGTCACTATGAAAGGAGAGAAAGCATGGTCCTTTAGAGGCGCTGTTCATCCCTACCTTCAAAGATGATGCGAGCTTGGGTAGGCAGGGCTATGAAAATGCAAGAGTTCAAAGGTTATTACTTGGCTATTAGCCAAGTAATAGCAGAGTTTTACTGAGAGAATGAAAGAGAATGAGTGGAAATAGAAAAGTACACTCCCCAAGGAAGGGAGGAGAGTGGGCTCTGAGCAAAGTAGCTCAAGAGCTGAGTTCAAAGATTTTAGAAGGAATTTCAAACCCACATGTCTGGCAGTTGTCTGGTCCAGGACCCCAGCATCGCCCCTTGCAGGCCTCATGACAGGGGGGACCTGGATGGGAAGGAAGGCAACACAGGAGGGCATCAGGGTTGAGAAAGGCTTGCTTGAGTCAACAGAGTATGATGTCAGCACACAGGCACCTCAGTCCCGGGAGGTTGGAGCCAGAGCAGTGTCCCTCCCTGCCCTTGGAAAGCAGGGCTGGGCTCAAGTGAACCTGTCAACAAGGGGTGGAGCCACACCCCCACACCACCCACTGGGCAGCTGAAGGAGAGAGACAGGACAAATGCCAACTTCAGCCCCAGTCCCAGCCCAGGGACTTGGTTTCTCCTGGGCAAAGTAAACCCAGCAGAATATGTGTCTGTAAATGAACAGGGAATAGCAGACTGTGGTCAGAGTAGCAGGGAGATGTTGTAGCAGAAAGAGTAATGGGGGTACAGTAGAAAGATCCAGCTTCCCTGCTTAGCACCCGGAGAACTTTTGTCCCTTTTCCTGATAGACTACTTCTGTGGCTCAGACTCCAGGGGATTGTCCCAGTCCCTCTTAGCAGGCTCGTGGTTAGAGCGCCCAAGGTGACTGTTCAGTGGTGAAGTGGGTTCAGGTTAGGGATATAATAGAGTTGGGAAAGGAATCATTCTGGGATGGTGGGAGAAGGGGAGCAGTCTTGATCATGGCCACTCACAGCTTCTGCCATTGTCCTTCACCACTATTTCAGCATCTCGGTCCCTCACGATGTCCCTCCAGTCAATAGTATCCATGTGACAAAGTTTATCATTCTTCTCAATGTAAACACCCCCTGACAGAATTTCTGAGGTTGGGAAGAAAAGTTACAGGTTAAGGGCTACAGCACAACTCCTCTTCCCTACCTCCCCACCAGTCTAAAAAAAAAAACATTGGAGTTCCACGAGCAGGGGAACTAGAGTGGACAGGGGTTCAATTAGATACATTCTTCAGGAAAGGCTGGCCTTCTAAGAGGAGGAGTCAGACCAAAGAAACGCCTGCCTCCTCAGACACCTGTCCAAATCCGGTTTAGCCAGTGGGGCAGGGGAAGGAGGGAAAGGAGAGGACATCCTGACTCAAAGCCTACCCTCCCCCCTCCCCCCAGGCCTTCCTGAGTATTTTCCAAGTGACTGGGATAGGGAGAGTAGAAGGTGGCCAGGAGGTATTGAAACCCTACATTCCTCCAGGTGGTGGGGGCTTAGAGAGGGAGTAGAGGTAGGATTCCAGGAAAGAAGAGACATCAGGGTTCATTGTACTTTGGAGGAATGGATAAGGCCAACCCCAGCATGAACATGATCCTCCCTCCTGGAGCAAATGACCCTGGCTCCAGCTGGGGCCCTCTATTTTTTAGAGTGGTAGACTTTTAGACCACAGTGGCCAAGGTGATGGGCACTTTGGAAAGAGCACTTGGAGTGAGCAGTCTTGGGTCATCATCAAGGAGGTGCCTGTCGGCAGGGTGGCTAAGGGAAGACCAGAAGGACTCATCAGGTACTGACCAGTGAGTTGAGTAAAGCGGAGCTGGCGCAGAGCGTGGCTGGAATTGGTATTGTAGTTCAACATGACAAAGATGGCAAACTTCCCATCATAGACCTGGGTCCCCCGAACCACTCGGAGGTTGGGTAGTGGTAGTACAGAGAATTCATTCATGGCCACAAGGACATAGCCCGTCACTTCTCGGATCCACTACGATGGAGCAGATCATGTCAGTAAAAGGGACAAGAGGTCAAATTTCAGTCCTTTTTTCCTTAGGTACTAAAGAATCCTTAACTTTTTCCCCCAGTGCTGTGGATCAAACCCAGGGCCTAGCAGGTGTTAGACAAGTGCTCTACCACTGAGCTGCAGTTCCATCCAGTCCTTCCCTCTATTCCGGAATCCTGAACTCATTACCCAAGTTGGCCTCAAACTCCTGGGCTCATCCTGTCTCAGCCTCTGGAGTAGCCGGGTTTACAGGTATGTGCCATTGTGCCCAGTCTGTCTGAATTCTTTCTGATTCCTATTTGGACTAGGGAGTAGGCTGTGCCACACTACTGTATCACTTGTGTGAGTGAAGACAGGCAGCAGAAACGATTAAGGAATCCAAGTTTCCTACTCTTTTCTTCTCAGAATTCCTTGTGCCAGGAGGGTCCTGGTTTAGTCCCTTCCTCTTCTCCCCAGGTGCCTCTGAGTACTCAGGTGTTTCTCTATATTATTTTCCAATACCACAGAACACCACCTGCCCTGTTCCCTTCTTGTGGTCAGCCCTTATATATTTCTGGCTACATGACCAAGCCACAGTTTTCCTAAGTACCCAGGTTTGAAGCTTAGGAACAACTGAGTCTTAGGAATGCTCGACTCAGTAGAGGATTATTCTGAGAAAGGGAAGGAGTCTTCTGTAAAGCTGGCAGATAGGCCTAAGTAACTCCATTTTGGATCCAGACTTCATTAAGGGGACCAGGTTGAGGAAGGAGTTGAGTACTCTAACCTGCAGGAAGGAGAGGTCTGCATTGTGTCCTGTGAGTACAATCTCAAGGTTGCCCATCACCACCTCACATCTCTCGTACAGCTTATACAATGTCTGGTACTGGTTCTCGGCATCGCCAGTCACACTCAGCCCGTTCAGAGTCCCAGGACACACTGTTCAAAGTGGAAGAAAGAGTGAAAGTGGGCTGGACAGAAGTTTTCAGCCCCTTTTGCTGTCCTCCAAGAATACCCCCTTGGTTGCTGCCTTCCAGTAACATTCAAAGGGTCTGAAGATAGCTGCCTCCAGCCCCACTAGGGATAGACAGGCTTGTCATGGCTGGGAGCCTCCTCCCTTCTCACAATCCCCTCGACATCTCCAATGTGGAGGTGAAAAGATGCCCTTTTTCCACCAGCACCCCTCAGTGCCTCTTTCAGGCACTACTTTGGGTACTGAGGGGTTAATCCAGAAGGAGGACATAGGGGACCTTTTCCCCTCCCTAGAAAGAAGTTAGGCAAGAACCAAACTTTGATTACCCTCCTCTCCCCCTCAAATAGGGCACTTACTTCTCTACCCCCATCCTGCCTCTCTGTAGGCCCTGGAATAAACATCTCTTTGGGGCTAGCACACAGCCCCTATTGTGTCTACTGAGGGTGGGATGGGGGCAGAGGCTGGGGGCAGTGCCTAGGACCACAGTTCAGCCCACAATGAGGCGATTCTATCCACAAGGAGGGGGTTGCCCTACCCTGTCCCAGACACCCCCCATCAGCACAACTCCCCCCTCTAACCTCCAGCCTTGGGCCCAGACAAGTGACCTCACTAGAGGGGGAGCCCTGGTAGTAGGGTGGAGGTCAATGGGAGCTTTGTGTTTAAAGCTGGAAGATAAGGAACTGGCTGTCTCCCCCTTCCTAAACTCTGGTTTCCTTCTCACTCCCTTCCCCTATCCCAAAGGCACTCCAGCTCCCTCAGCATCACCCTGCAGCCCTAGAGTATTTTTCAGCAGACACAGAGAGGCCTGGAAAGAAATAATAGCAGAACCCCCTCACTCCTAAGCCTCCTCTCAATTTCATTGTCAGAAGAGATTCATTAAAAAGAATGGTAACTCTCACCAGCAGGCAGTCCACTGGAGAGAGCCTAGATGAGAGGTGCATGAGAGGCTTCAGACTTGGGCTTTTACCTTCCTTTGAAAATATGGAGGACAACAGGCTGAGGGAAGTCTTGGCTCCTAAAGCCCTCTCCCTGTCTCTTTCCTGGGCTCAGAAAGACCTCATGGGGAGGGTGACAAGTAGGGGAGGGGGCAGATACCACCTGTTCCAACCACCCTTCCCTGAGGCGAGGCGTGGCAGCTTAGTGGGAGGCTGGAGTGCGATGGAGGAGGGAGTGTGAGAGGCCCAATCCCTCCTATTAGATATACCCCTGGTCTGCCCACTTGCTCTTTCAGGGCTCCCCTTCCCTATCACTCCCCACGAAGGAAAGGGGTGAGGAGGGTAAATAGGCTGGGAGCTCCCAGAGGAGCCTGAGAAACCAAGGTCTTTGGGCTGAAATGAAAGAGACTAGAAAGGTTAGTCATTTCTGGAACAGCCCCACCCCAAACCCCTTCCTGGAAGGGCACCCCCTCTTCTAAGTTAAGGCGCCAACCCTTCTCCCCAGATAAGGGAGGAGCCAGAATTTCTGCACAGGGAAGTGGTGTGTGTATACACACTACGTGACACACACACAAACATGTACACAGCTCCCCTACTGGCCCCAAAATCTATACTGGCTCTGCCCTTGGATCCTTATCAGGAAGTATTGGAAGTGGCCCCATCCATCCCACCTGCCCACAGTCCTGCTAGACTTTGTGTCTGTGCTTGGAAGGCAACAGCATTATAGGTCCCAGTTACCTGCCACCTTGAGGGTAAAGTCCATATTTCACAAACAGGGGCAAAGGGCCCGGGCGGGAAGGGAGTATAAACAACACCTCTGGAGAGGAACCAGGCAACTTAGGGAGCGGAGCAGGGGAGGATGGGAGGGAATTATAAAAACCCCAGCTGGTCTGGGGGAAGCAGGAGTACAGGGGAGGGTAGAGTCACAACCTTGGGTAGAGAGCATTGGGGGTGGGACACAGCAAGAATCTCCAGCCCCTCCAGAGGCCTCCCCTTCAACACCAACCCCCTCACAACGGGACAAAGGGGCTATAGAAGGCCTGAGACAGGGCTGGATGCCCAGAGGCTGCAGGATCCTGATAAAGCATAGAGAGAGATCCACCATGCCTGCCCCCCTGCTTTTCAGGGAGGATGGTGAGAATCCGGGGACTCCTGGGCTCCGGTTAAAGAAGGTGGGGTGGGTTTTGAATGGGACAGTAATTACAGTCACTCTACTGGCCCCTCCCACTCCAGTCCTCAGACCACTCTCTCTACCAGCTGGGAGTGTCTACATCTCAAGATCCCAGGGGCTAAATTTAGGGCCAGCAACTGTGGGGGAAGCACAGGTGGTTTCACCCACTCCCACCCTGGGGAAGGGGCCCTGGCTGTGCCAAACCCAAGCCGATATCTGGAGCAAGGGGAGAAGAACCACAGGACTCTAATCCCACCAAGTCCAGCACTCTTCATGTGTCCATGGTATCAGAGACACCTAACAGGGTGCACTCAGATGGCATGGAAAGGGAGGAGGCCTAAGAAAGAGCAATCTAGGGCTCTGTCTGGAGTTAGACAATAAACAGAATGGCGAATGGACAGAAGTTGGGCCTAAGAACCACTTTACACAATACAGGAGGCTCAGAAATTAGGAGAGGTGCTCTCTTGGCAGGAGGGGCAAGAAAAGACAGAAAAAAGTAAAGTTGTACTGTCCTTTTCCCCACAGTTCATAGCCCAGGACATTGTATATAGTAGCTGCTCAATAAATGTTAGTTGACTTGACCTGGATATTGACAAAAGGGAGGTTGGTTAAATTGGGAACCAGCCAGCTTTATTTTGAGGGAAATCGAGGCAGCTAGCCTCTAAGGGGCCTCTCACCCTGATGTCACCTGGACTTGGCCCTCTGGTTAATCTCAGCCCTTCCCAGGGCAGTCCTACTTGCTGAAGAGGAGGTGACGTTCCTGTTTTTCCAACACCAGAAAACAACAACCCTCTCTAACCCTCCCATAGCTCCGCCCTATCAGCAAAACAACGAAACTGGGAGAAACTGGGGATCACCGAAATCTGATATGAGAGTGGGGTCAGGGGGTTGGGGAACAAACTGAGACCCTTTGGCCAAGATTTGCCCCCTCCCATCAGCTCCTCACGTTTGCAGAAAGGAGGTCCCTGCCCGCTGCCTACGAGGCCCTCAGAAGTGTGAACCACTGTGGCGGCATCCACCTTATCTGAGTAGACCAATTAGGGTCTGCGACGCCCTGGGGAGGGTGGGCGTCCAGGAATGCAGTCCCTGTCCCAACCACGCCAAGAACCGACCCAGACCGTCACCTCAAGGTGGTTCCAGCGGACCCAGCGTCGCGTCCTGTCCCGCACGCCTGAGCCCCTGGCCCCGCGCTCGGGGTCTGCGCGCACTAGGTCCGGCTACCGGGTCCCAGCCCGCCGGAGCGCCCGCGTCGCTTACCTGCCTGCGAGTTGCCCACCTCGGAGCCCCGGGCCAGGCTGAGAAGGAAGCCCAGCACCGGCAGAGCCCGGTTCGCCCTCATGACTCCAGCGGAAGGTGAAGGGAGCCCAGCCAAGTCCGGCCCGGGGGCCCCTGGACTAGGACATCGAAGCGACAGCCACCTGAGCCGCCAACGAATTGGTGGCAGCGGCGGCCGTAGAGGTTGCAAACTGCAACCGGAGCCGGAGTCGGAGTCTGGAGCTGGATGGCAGGGGAGGGTGTACGTCTGAGAGAGGGAGGGAGGGGACGCACGGAGAAGGGGGTGAGTCACGGCCGCGCCCCCTCCGGTGCTAGGCTGGAGCCTCGGACACCCGCCCAAAGCGCACCCCTCGCCGCTCCGTCCCGCAGCTGGTCCCAGCGGGTCGAAGAGGGGTCGCACTCTAACATTCCCACGGGAGCAGGGCTAAGGGGAGACCAAAATTCCAAACGCCCCCTCTCCGAGGAAAGGTGGGGAGAGCGCTCCGAAGCCCGGCCCCCTGCAAGTTGGCCTCGCCCATTAACCAAATCACTCAACTCCCCTAGCCGGTTGGATCACTTGCGGGATTTTCTCTCCGAGGGTGAATATTTCCTCTGTGTGTTTTTGAGTGGGAGTGGGAGGTTGGGTTTTGTTTGCTGTTTGTGGTTTGTTTTGTTTTATGCCTCGCACTCAGGCCACCTCAGTTTCCCCGGAACTCAAAGCCCCATAACTCATCCACCCTGCCCAGGAACCCGAGCTCCAGAGGCCGCGTGAAATTGCACTGTCTCCGGCCGCTTCCTCCCCCATACCCGGCGCCGGCCCGGCCTCTCCGGGGGATTTGGTTGGGGGCGGGGGTGGTTTCCAGCCTGGGAACAGACCCCGGAGCCCGCCTTTCCACTTCTACCCCGGGAGGGGCTCCCGCACCTGTCGCCGTCCCCTCTGCTGCCCCCCACGGCCGCCTGGGAGAACAGCTGCCTCCCCTTCCACTCCGGAGTGTGGCCGCGCCGTCCGGGCGGTCGCAGTTCCCGCTTCTCTTTTGGGGACCCAGGGTCCCCACCACAGGCCCTCCAGGAGCAGATCGCGTGGCGGGGGACGCGGCGAGGTCACCAGAGAATGCGTTTGCTAAAGTTGCGGACCCCCGGGACCTCCGGAATCAGCTCCCGCTTCCCGTGCGGAGGCAGTGTGCACACCGCGAGTAAGCGCTCCTGACCCCCGGGACCGACCCGCCGGGCGCCCCCTTGTGCTCAACCGGCGGCAATGGCGCCCCACACGCGTTGCATTTCAAATCCCTTAAGTTCGCATTCCAGATCTCGCCCAGAGAGCCTAATTATTTTCCCCAGAGAGTTGGAGAACAGTTGCACCTTAATGAAGGAAATCCGCACACACCCCCGCCCCGCGCAAACACACACCTCAGGCTAAGACTACAGGCTAAAATCCTTTAAATCCTTTAAACCTGCTGTCTATTGATGTGCATCTTAGAGGGTTCATTCTCTGCTGGAGGCTTACCTACGCCCGCTCAGGAGGGGGGCGTTGCTTGGGCCTCCTGAAAAACGATCACACTGAAATAGTAACAGCAAAACCATTAACATATATATCCAAACACCATTTCATTTGTAAAACGTGCCACTTAACAAAAAAGTATGTGACATCACTCCATTTTCAGAACCGGAAACATGACTTTTCTTCAAGTTCATTTACCTGGTGACAGTGATCCAGTGATGAAAAGGAGGGACCTAGGTTTTTACAAAGGACTTTTTAATTTATTTATTTATTTTAGTGGTTTTGGAGTTTGATCTCAGGTATTTTTTGAGATAAGGTTTCACTTTATGCCTAGGTTGGCCTCAAATCGGGATCCTCCTGATCCCTGCCTCCCGAGTAGGTAGAATTACAGGCGTGCGACATTTGTAGGATTTCTTATGATATCCTTAATCAAGTTAGATCCAAACTCCCATCAGATGGCAGCGCTAACACTTAAGAGTCTCTTCTCCACGTACTGTCCCCAGATTAAAGGGCCTTTCATTTTAGTACTCACCCTTTCAACCCAGAGTTCAAGGCCCTGATTCTGAAGGAGAAACATCTCCTTGGTTTCCTGTTTAAAAGCAGTTGTAGGGCTGGGGTGTAGCTCAGTGGAAGAGCACTGCATGCTAGATTTGAAGAAGAAGAAGAAGAACAACAACAAAACCAGTTGTATCTACTTACAAGGTTGTTGTTTGAATTTAAAGAGAAACAGGCAGGTCAAGTTCTGAATTACTGTGTTGTGCTCAACTTTTATTTAGTGAATGCTAGCTATATTGATTATCTTGAACCCCACCCCTTCCAGTTAGATCCCAAGATGTGTTTGCTGCTGTCTGTTCATTCTTCAGTCCTAAGAGAAATAGCATGCTAGGCATCCTGGGCTAACCAGTACACAATGCTGCCATGCTGCTGACTGGCTCTGTTAAGAGCTGCCATGAATGAACAAATGAAATAAATGAAAGAAGGGACGCTTTATTTGTGAATGCTCTCTGTAGTTTTCTGGCATCTCTTTATCTTTCTTCACTTGACCCCGGTAACTTTGGTTCTTGTTTTACTTTAAAAATACAGATGATCCAAAGAACACATCCAGTCTGGGAGTATAGCTCAGTGTTTTCTGAGTTCCTGGGTTTCATCTCCATTTCCACAAAAACCCAAAATGGAGATAAAATAGAAACCATCCTTATGTTCCTACCACCATTCTGATCAATTTACCACCATCCTTACCTATATAGTAAGACAACTTCCAACTTGTTGCAATGAATTGTCCCTGCTTTATTTAAGGCCAGTTGTCACTCCCCTTCATACTCCTGTCCCTCACATTTCCTTCTTGTCTAACCAAAGACTGATTTTCCTGCATTATCCACTTTCTTCTGTAAGTTTTCTCTATAGTATCAATTCATCACCTCACAAATATTTTGCAATAACTGCCATCTTAAAAAACAAAATTTGAGTGCCTGCTTTGCAAGTGTGAAGCTCTGAGTTCAAATTCAGTCCCACAAAAAAAAAAAAAAAACCTGGGGATATAACTTGATGATAGAGTGCTTGCCTGTCCATGCATAAGGCACTATGTTTAATCTCCAGTACTGGAAAAAACAAATTTTTGCCAGTTACTGGTGGCTCACATCTGTAAGCCTAGCTATTCAGGAGGCAGAGAGCAGGAGGATCACAGTTCAAAGCCATTCTGGGGAAATAGCTGGAGAGGCCCTATCTTGAAAAAAAAACATAAAAAAGTGGGTGGGGGGGCTGCTGGTTGAGTGGCTCAAGGTGGTAGGCCCTGACTTCAAGCAAAGAAAAGAAAAGAAGAAAAGAATGGTACTTTCTCACAGGGTCATGATGAAGATTGTCAGTTACTACCTACAAAGTCTATAGAGCATTCCTGTTGCATAGCTAGTACGAAGAAAACTGCTACTGTTTATATATACTTTAGGCAAAATTATTTAATGTCAATAAATTATTTAGTAATTTTACAATTTGTTATGTTTTGGTTGGTTTTACTAGACATCAAGGTCACCTTTAAAGTTGAGTTTTCTTCCAGGATAGCCCTCTTTAAAAGATGCTTAATCCAGTTGTTCACAAAATTTGGGCTTCTTTTTTAACATGGCCACTTGAATTGCAGATTGGAATTATTGATGGCAACTTCAAAATTCCCCATCTGAGGACCTGTGGGATTTAATTTCCTGAAGCAATTTATTGTTCAGTCCTAGGAGATTAATTATAGAAAGCACTTCATATTTTGGCAAATGATCTAAAATACCAAGTTTTTCTAGAAAACATTTTTCTCATTGCTTCTTTTCACTGCACTACATTTACTGTGATGGAAGCACACAGTAAATGACCTGTGTCTCAATTTAGCCACATTGTGTTTATATATTTTGAATCTATATTTCCAGCTACACTTATACAATGTTCATATTTTCTTGCCTTCTTATTTATTTTACCACCTCCCGCTTTTCCTATATATATATATATATATTTTTTTTTTGTCAGTACTGGGATTTGCACTCAGGGCCTCATGGCTACCCTACCACTTGAGCCACTCACCAGCCCTCTTTTGCTTTGGGCATTTTCGAGATAGGGTCTCAAGAACTATTTTCCTGGGGCTGGTTTTGAGTCACTATCTTCCTGATCTCTACCTCTGGAGTAGCTAGAATTACAAGTGTGAGTCAATGGCGCCCAGCTGTCCTATAAATTTTTACCTTAAATTTTGTCACATGTTGGGGCTGGACTGGGCAAAGGAAGTTTGACTGCAGAGCAATCATAAGATTCCAGCTAATTCTGATGGAAACTGAAATAAGGTTAATGTCCCACCTGCTAGACAGCAAGTCTGAGGTTCTTGCCATTTCCTGCTCATCTAGTCCTTTGCACAATGTTACTGATATAGTGATGTTCTGAGAGAAGTCTGCGGGTCAGATTCTTCAGATTATTTTATGATAGAGGATAGGAGAGTTAACATAGCCCTAGGGCAAGACTATAAATGTGTGTTTTTGTAGTTTCTGAGTGAATGTGAACTGTTTCTGTTTTCTGTAGAGTATGGGAAAATGACCTCCCTTCATCCTTCTAAGTTCTGGACTATGATTTAAATTCACGTAGACAGTAGTTCAGTGGTACATTCCTTGCCTAGCATGCACAAGGCTCTAGGGTTTTGTTTGTTTGTTTGTTTGTTTTTGTTTTTTGTGGGACTGGGGTTTGAACTCAGAGCTTTGTGTTTGCCAAGCAGGCGCTCTACCAATTGAGCCACACCTCACCTCCAGTCCATTTTTCTCTGGTTATTTTGGAGATGGGGTCTCTGGAACTATTTACCCAGGGTGGCCTTGAGCCGAGATCCTCCTGATCTTAGTATCCCAAGTAGCTAGGATTACAGGCGTGAGTCACCTGTGCCTGGCTAAGGCCCTGAGTTTGACCCCCCCAGCACCACAAAAAAAAAATTTAAATAGATTAACTAGAGAAAACTCATATTTTAATTCTGTACATATACATGGAAGTCCCACAAATTATGAGACTAGAGGAAGAGCGAAATGAGTGAAGTTTGCCCTGAATTACAGAAAAGAATAGTGGCCCGTTGTGATGGCACA